ATTTCTTTTTAAATTTCTTAACATATTTAATTATTTTTAGGAATTTCTTTAGCTCCTTAAATCATACTTATTTTATAACTTTTCTCTTTTCCATATATTTTTATATTTCTTTATTTAATACAGGGGTTACCGATCCTATCGTCAGGGATATTATAGCATCCTATTAATCCTCCTAATCTAATTACAGTATATCTCTAAAATCAATTAGTTTAGGGCAAGTTTGCTATCTTACCTAGCCTTTAATCTAATTAATATTAAGGTTACGTAACTTAAGCTAATTATATCCTAAGAGTATATTATATTTTATAATATTTATAATATTGAAACTAAATATATCTTTAATTTCACTAAACCAGATCTCAAAAAGATCAGTCTTGCAGTTAACAGTTCTATTATTATAGGTAAATTATTATTTCTTAATACTTATAAAGGTATATAATTTCTCCTTCTTATAATTATCTAACTATAGGTAGTTAACTAGTTAAGGCATAATATAGCTTATCGTAGCTCTAGAGTTTATGTAGACTATAATTGGATATCCTTCTAAGGTACCTAGTACTTAAAATTTTTATAGTTTCTTTCCTTCTGTAAGGGTATTTAGGTTATAGTAGGTTGTATTATTAGCACTGTTGTAATAATTATTACCGTAAGGGTTAATATTAATATTATCTAGGTCTAAGGTAATCTATCTTGGTTCTTTATTTTAAATATTATAGCATTTGCACTAGGTATATCTAGGCTTAGGTATATATCTAATAGTAAGCTTATAGTATTTCTAAAGGTTATTCTAGTTAATTCCTTATAGTTTATTGTTATTACTATATTTTATAAAGTTAAATCCTTATTATTCTAGTTTATAAGTAATATATACAAGGGCTTAGTATTAGTACTAGTATTTTTTATAATGATCTTTATTACAGAGTGTGAATTCTTTTTATTTATATTCAGCAGCTCTATAATCCTTATACTATTTATTAAGCTTAGTTATAATATATTATTTATATAGTAGTAGCTTACAGTTAATAATATTAGCTTTATTATATTAGTCTATAAGCTAGATATTATTAATAAAGTAAATAGCTAATTCTAATAACTTAGCCACTGGGTATTCGTTTACATTAGTCTTAATATATTATTAAAACTGATTTCCAGGTAATTAGATCTAGTCATAGGCAGTACTTAAATTAATCTATTTAATCTATCCCTATTATTTAAGGAGTTTCTGGTGGTCCTCAGGTTCCTTATATTATATAATTTTATTATAGCATTAGTTTTCTTTAATAATACCTTATATTCTATATCGGTCTTTATATTATTCCTAGTCCGCTGTAGTTATTTTATAAAGATAATAAATACTTTTAGGTTCTACTAACCTATATTAGTTACATATACGTTTCTTAAGGTCGTTAATTTCTTCCTAAGTTATTCCTTCGCAAAGGTTATATTACGTCGGAGGCACTATATCTAAAAAATCCTCGTTATACTAGCGTATAACTTTATTTTATTTCTATTCTTAGAATACCTCTTCCTTATCCTTAATTTTATTATTTTATTCTTACTTATTAAATTTTTATTAAATAAGTTATTTAACGTAGCTAAGGTCCTCTTAGGTAACTTTTTTAAACGTGTTTAAGGTTTATGTACGCCTTTTAGGGTACTATTCTAATTTTTGTTTATCGCTACAATAGGTCTAATAGTTATTATTATAGTACACTAAGAAGTATAGGATATTATAGTCTTCTAAGGGTTATATAGTATTAATAGCTTAGTTTTCCTTAGGCTCTAGGACAGGCGTAAATTTTTTATTTTTTATTTTTTTAGCGGGCTTTTAATAGTACTTTTTCATATATCCTTTTTCTCCGCAGTTATAATATTCAACGTTCTTACGTTATACCTTAATAGTGCTAAGGTCTATTAGGCCTGGTCGTCTATTGTTATATATAGTAAAATCCCTCTTCTTTCCTTAGTTAGTATTATTTCTAAAGTAAAAGTATTTTAGGATTATCTTTTAGGGGTTTCCTTCTCACTTACGTTTTTATCGCCGTTAGAATTATTATTTATTAATATAAGTGGCTTTTTCTATAAATACATTAAGAATATTAGGTTTCTTATCTTTAGAAAGTTTATCTTTAACATCTAAATTAAGTCCTTAGTAGTAAAGTATACGCTATACTTTGTCGTTTAGGTTAGTCCTAGCAGCTAGGCGTATAAAAGCAGTAGTATACTTTATATAAGGTCCTTTTTATTTAATTTAAAGAAGTATATCTTCTGCTTCTTTAAACTTATTAACTTTTCTATATAGTTTTTTAAACTATTTTTTAAACGTAGCGTAATTATTAAACAGGTCGAGTATATATTATTTCTTAGGAGTCTTGGTTTACTTATAGTCTCTGAGGTATAGTTTAAACCAGTCCTTAGCGGTTTTAGTCAAACAGCTTCCTACAGTTTAAATTCTTATAACGTTATCGGCTATAGTAATTAGGAAGTAGCTAAAGTAGTTTCGCATATTAGTAAAAAACTTCTAGATCTGCTTAGGGTCTTCTTTAAACTTATCTAGTAGTGCTAGTTTAATAATTTCTCCAGGTTCCCGTTGTTATACTATAGGGGCTAGGTTAACTATGGGATTTACTACTGGTTATACCACTGGTGGTTATCCTTATAGTATTTAAAGTTATCCCGTAAGTCTTTATATAGTAGCAGCTTATTATTACATAAGGTTTTCTAAGTTCGCAAGTCTCGCCAGGGCAGCGTTTTCTTATTACACCACAGTAGGGTCCTCTTAAGTCTCATTAGGGTTAACATCCTGCATTTAATCAACTATTATATCTTATTACCCATAGGTCTAAGGTAACCGTCTAAACAAAAGTTATTATCATATAATAAACCAGGTCCTATAGGCACTATAGGTTAGCTATTTCTAAGGGATAAACCTTAGAGTAGTTCTATAGTTTATATTAGCGGAGCAATTAAGTCAGTAAACAGGCAATCTTATCACCAGCTAGTAATATAAATAAAAGTAAATGTCTAAGTTCTAATCTAATTATATTATAAACGCTGTAATAACAACTAGCTATCTAAGTATTCTAATAAGTAACATAAAATAGACTTATATATCCAGTCGTATACTCTAGATTATATTAAAAAGCTAGCTTTCCTAGCTTTCCTGTGGTAGATTATTTAGAAAGCTAGCTTTCCTAGCTTTCCTATCAGGGAATGCCAACAGTCCTGATTAGTCTGTCGGCCCATAGTTAATCCGGTTCCGGCCAACCTGTTGGCCCCTTGTCGCGACCTTAAGAGTCGGGTCGTGACACTAGGTACTAATAATAGCAAACACAAGACGGAAAAACATACAGGTTAGAGATTATATTTAACCAATGACCGATACAATAATGTCGTTGCGGCCGCTGGTTTGCGGCCGTGGCTAGGGTGTAAGACGGAACACAAAGATTAATTTGTCTCTGCCAGAAATGTCCGATTACAAGTACGAGTAGAGGACGCCTATGCAGCAAATCCAGGGTCTTGACGTCTGGTAAGCCACTATTCCCCCAACGGACAGCATTCCTTACCTATGCTATCTCACTGCAAGGTATATAGGCAGGGAAGCGTTACAGCGCCCCATCAGGAGCCTTACAATGGGCTAATACGATGCCTTGATATTTCCATAGTGGAATTCATTTTAGGAGACAAATTAAGCTTATATAATAAGATGTAAACTTTAAAAATTAGCATATAGAGACATCAAACTCCCTGCTCTATGGGCAAGACTCATGATAAAAAATGAGTACTTGGAATCCGCGGATCACTGGGATGGTTTTCTCCTGCTGACAATTATGACCAACGGAATATTTATTCTATTGATGTGGATCACCTTGCCCATACGGCCATTTGCGCTTCAGATGACAAACTGTGATCTTTACATCCCCGTAGACCGCCTACGGGCATATTAGATTGCTCATGTTTGTTGCGGAGCATCATTAGAATTACCGCCAACCAGTTTCACCCGTTCATTTGGTTGCCAAAAGTCATATATCATCTCTCCAAAAGATGATCATTATCACCGAGACTCATTAAAAGGTGAATCACGAAAGTCTCAGACTTACTGATGCAATGGAGGTAGGCGAAATGAATCTTAAGCTAGTAGTCGATCATAAAGATAATCTGCTTGACCCGTTAACAGTCGGTGATTGCTTTTGTTTGCATCTAAAAGATTCGCTACACCGAGTATTATATCCGATAACGTAACCTTTGGAGTTCCATAATGCCGAGATGCCAGGGTAATGGCCAGCCAAATTGATGGCTTCGATGGCTTCATGAAGGCCACTTTGCGTATACCTGGCCATAAGAACCGCTAGCTCTTACCTAAAGGATGTGAGTGAACAAAAGCATGGTTACAGGTCTTTCGACATGCGTGTGATTGGAATTTAGCCAAACAAACATGAAGAGGCCCGGAGTAGATATCAGGTAATCGTTTAAGATCACGGCCTGTCGGCTGAGATCACGGTCGGTCGGTTAGGAGCCCAGTTATATGGCTGTCATCTTGCTAGCACTAAATGTGGTCTTATGGCCAGCGAAAGGCATCGAAGCCGGTGATCGGGCCATCATCTCCAGCAGCTATATCGAATCCTCTCTGAATCTCTTTCTCCGGGGGTTCTACCCGGTACAAATGAAGGATTTATTTGTCTGTCACGGGTTCTATCTCCCTCGTAATACTCTTGGCGGGCGTGTTCACCGGACAGGAGAATAAGAATTGGCCGGTCCTCTGCATTATAAAAGTCGAGGTTGTTCCCTACGAGATTGAAGTTTTTTGGCATCTCTAAGTTGAGAACATATTTCATCGATCGCCAATATACCACTTCGAGGACTTGTCCATTACACTCCGCTATACTACTACCTTGTATCTTGTAAGCACCAAGATCCCCGCGCCTGTTCTTACCATATGAAGCCACATAAGACTAACATTCCGAGGCAGCATCAACCATATTTACTTCTCGATTGCCACAATGCAACTATCCACCATTCGCGGCTTGCTTCTTGTTGTAATGGCTTCGTCAGCATATGCGGCAAGGACTGGCTGCAACGATGGTGAAGTTGCTGTAGGAACATCGCAGACTTGTGGTATCGGATCGCCAAGAGGAGGGCCAAGCTGTAATGACGTTCAAGCCGCTATTTATGCCAACGACTGCGGTATCATCAATAGATCAGATCACGAGGACCCTTGTGCAGGAGGTCCGGGAAACCCAGGCGTCAAATGGATTCATCCTGGCACTGTTGGATGCACAGCAGATGGTACTCCTTCACTCATCCAAACGGAAGGCGGTTTCTTTGGGAACTGCAGACGAGTGAACTCGAACTGTAGCCCAGCTCCGTTCATCTTCCAATTTGCATCTTGGTGCTGCCCCAGGCTCTGAGGACTTGTTTGTTTGCTCCGGCGGAGAGATGTGAATCCAGTCTCGTTGGGGATTTGGACGCACTTGAACATGACAGACATTAGTCTTAAACTATTGCTTACTTTCTATGTTTTCTCTTTGGACTCAGCGACATTTGAGGATGCAAGATATATATCGTTGTTACAAATGAAACTGAATTCTCGTATATTCCAGCGACCCGTTTTCTATAAGTAGCTGCAATCATTTTCTTGTACTGACATGTTTAGTCGATAGTCGTGCAGCGCATTTAAACTCTAGGTGTAGATTTTCCCACTAGACTAGGCCAATCATATGAAGTATGTCTATGTCAGACAAAATAGCTTGAATCCAACTAGCCGTTCCTTAACTTTTAGTATCTAAATCCAAGTATCTAAGCCAGGTGCGTATTGACGAGGTACGCCATGCCACTCCTCACGGTGATTGTGTTCAATCAAGCAATCGAACAATGGGGCCCAAATAAGTGTCATAATCACCGGGCAGAGTCTCGTCGCCACCCCACCTCAACACACTGAAAAACCACCGGTAGTCACCAGAGCCAAGTGTAACATTTGCACCGCTGTCGGTTGTCACCGTGAAATTTTTCCCTTGGATATATACACTGCTCGACGGTTGCCAAAGCCCTTTAGTTATCCAGATACTACCGTAGCTTGGCTTGCCAAACAGAGTCGAACTTAGCTCATTAGTAGAGGGAAGGTATGTATAATTGGCAGGGACAGTGAAGTTGACAGCATTGACGCGTGCCGTAAGGGTGGTGTTTGCTGGAACGATATCCGCCCTCAAAAGCGTCGTCCATCCCTGGACAGATAGGCTGAAGGCATATGATGCAGACAATTGTACAGCAGAAAAGCCATCGTTATAATTGCTGTTACCACTTTTATCTGGGAATGAGAGCCAGGGAAGACCGGGGGATGTGGTTGTGGCTGCCAGGAAAAATATGTAGTCCATATTATACGGCGAGTAGGCCGGACCAATGTATGGAATGCTGAGATTCGCCCCGTTCTCTGGGACTATATCAATATAGCCCGAGAAGAGGGGCAACCGGGCTATGCTGACGGCGAGATTTGGAGGAGACAGACGCAGAGAGATCTCTTTTGTCTCACCAGGTCCTAGCTCGAAGGTAGGGCTTGCAAACTCTACTGTCCCAAAACTAGGAAGTTGGTTCACCTCGGGATAGCCAACTCTCTCATACACATATCCTGCTGGGCGATGGCCGAGACTATATGTTTGGGTAGCTTCCCCACTATTTTGAACAGTGAAGTTAACTAGACCGAACGAAGTGCGGTTGTTATCTGTAACGGCGAGCTGTCCAAGAGAAACATGTGTGGCTGATGTGATGGCATCGTAAACATTGACTAGGCCAGCTCCCTGCTGAGCGGTGGTTGCCAACATGCTTGTGTTCCATATCCAGGGAGTTGGTCTAGCTGTGGTCTGCAAAGAAACCAAGATCTCGTCAACAGATAATTGAGGGAACTGGGCCTTGACTAGTGCATAACAGCCGGCGATATATGGTGTTGCCATAGACGTTCCAGAGATGACGCCGTAGCTGCCAATACTCTCTGGGAACGTGGAAAGGATGTGGCCACCGGGAGCCACAATCTGTGGCTTGAGCTCAAATGTACGCCTAAGCGGTCCCCAGTTGCTATATCCATCCACCATTCCGCCCATGCTCATTGGAGGGTTGATGTAAGTCGAGTTATGAAAAAGTAACTTGTACTTCTTATATCCTCCAGCCTTAACGTAATTGCTGTAAAACACATCTGAATCAGGTTCGATCACGGTAAATGGTTTAGTACTTCCGTTATTAAATCGGTAAGGCAAAATACCCTCGTAGTCTTTGTAAAAGGGATTTGTGCTGCTGTTGTAAAAGCCGAATAAGTATGGTGGGCTTGTGCTGCCGCAGCACACGACGTCTGTCAACGGACAGTTGCCGGAAACACTTAGAGCGATGATGGTAGTGCTGAGGTTCCCTGATGTCTGAATATCCTGGAATATTGAAGGCCAATCGAACGACCCACATGAGCTACCCGTTAGGAAGTACACGTCAAGTCCAGCGGGAGGAGCCGAAATAGGATATACTGATGAATAATGAATCTCTGCACCAAATTCATCTATCGCTGTGTAGATGAGTGGAAAGTTCGAGTTAGCAACTGAGCCAACCGATATAATACTTGTTAATTCACTGGGGAGTGTCTCCTGATAGAGGTTGTCTGCGTTCTGCGACTGAGATGCATCATTTCCCATGGCGACAACAATAGCAATGCCGGCGTCTTTGATCTGTTGTGCAGCACTTGCTACAGGATCGTATGTTGGCAATGACCCAACCATTCCCTCAGGAAGAGACAAAGACATGCTGATAACATCAACGCCGTCATCCATGGCTTTGAGCATTGCCGCCAAAACAAGGTCACTCGAGCCACCTGGTCGCTCCCCTCCTGTACTACTGCAACCGAAGATGCGATAGGCATACAAGGATGCTTCAGGGGCTACGCCAGTTATGGGGAAGCCGTCAGGAAGTTCCAATGGGTCCATGCCCAAGATTCCTAATGCCTGTTGTTAGATCACTGCCTGGTTGATACGGTTCTGATATGTTCTGGTTTACAAACCTGCTACATGCGTCGCATGATCTGACTGGGAACAATCAGAGTACGGGTCGCTGCTTTCAGCCAAGACTCCCGCGTCTGTTATAAAAGAGTAGCCCCCGGCAACCTTGTAACCAGGACCGAAACCTCCGCCTAGAGCTGGGTGCTTATAATAAATGCCAGTATCAACGAAGGCAATCTTAACACCCTTTCCCTTGAAGCCCGCAGCATGAGCTTTGTCAACACCGCCCATTCGGAGAGTGAAACCCAAATCTTCAGTAGTTTCTTCCCGACGTGCAATCGATGAGAATTCTCCTCGCTTTGTGAGTGCTGAAAGGTCTTCTGAAGAAGCTATCGAGCTGCTTTTAATCGGTGGTAGCTCATATTGGACGATATCTGCAATGCCAATAACGCCTGGAATTGCTGAAAAGCTCGACTTTACAGCCTCCAAATCACTGCCATCAGATATATCGACGGATATTCCAGTAAAGATTCCGCTCGTGTTGAAGGTGCGGCGGACGGTATAGTTGATACCACGGGCACTCTCGGTAAACGCATCAAGAGTCGTTGTCTTCTCATCCAGCTCGATGATGAAGGCTCCTCCGGATTTTTCTTGGGCCCCCGCCACCAGGACGGCCGCCAGAGGAAGTAAAAGTGATTGTAGGAGGAGCATGGCCGAAACTCACAGCCAAGGCCAAGAACTAAGAGGATACTTGCTTGGCCAGCAAATCGCCGTTGGCATGCCAGTCTCAACCTTCTGAGTTCCAATGGTTGTCTATATATACATTTTATACTCTCAACCTTACCCTTTCACGGATGTAAATATCTCATGGGCAGCTACACAGTTGTAGGCAGCATCAATATGCCTACGGTAGTTATTCCCTGCCTGTATCTTCAATAGGCCTTGGCCTGTTCTAACCAATTTCAGTGTAGACACTCAGTTGGATGGACCATTTTGGCAGCTGGAAAAGCTCTAAGGACCACAGGCCAGGTCGAGAACACAAAATGAAGAAGTACCTGGCTTGAGTTGCTGTAATAGGAATGGTAGAGCCCAACCATTCAGAAGAACTGGAAGGTTGAGTCCAAAAACGGTAGGATACAACATCTCTCAGGCGTTTGCCAAGGCGCGATATTTGGAGCGTGACATGGGTAAGACCAGGGTTACATCCCAGCCAGATCCCAAAGTTTGCGATAAGTACTAATCAAAATGATAAGACCCTACGGAATAATTAGATGGAGATACGAGAGTGACCACACAATTGCAGAAGATAGGTGAAAGCGGGGGATTCTAAGATGAATTTTGTTGAATCTACCCTGTAAATACGAGAGTTTGCGTCAAAAGTTCAGGACTTGTGCATCAAGAAGAGGGGCTGGAATCCATAGATATCAGAAGCAAAAGAGGGGATATCGACTTGCTAAGATACCAAACAATTGTTTGTCGCAGCGGCAAGGCCTGCGTTATATCAGAATCTTCATTTTAAGACATTTTCGGAGATATCTAGGCCGAATACGCGACACACTTGGAAGTTGGGTTTCCTTTCGAAAACCTTCATATTCTGACTTGCACGAACTGGTTGTACTTCAGATTGTACCTAGTCCGTGGCGTCATCTGTTTTCCGGAAATCTTCGAAATAGATTAACTGAAAATCTCCGCCAATATCCATCACATTGCTACCTTGTCTGAGCATCCCTTGCTATTTCTTCTCCCGAGACAGCAGAAAAGACGCAGAATGACAAGGATTCTAAGCGGCACATCCAAGCTACGGCCTGTCACCATAACCCACCACTCTGACGTCAAGGCATGGCATACGGAGGATATCTCAGCTCAACAACCGGTAGTCATTGGCGCGATAGACGAAGGAGAACTCCAAAGAGGCAGGTGCTGGAGCTTTCGCTTTACAACGGCATGCTTGTTGCATCGTTAGCTTTGCTTGAGCACAACTAGTTCGCTAAGTATATCCTTTCTCGGTGCATTGTGGAGTGACAGTCGTCTTATTCGGTACTAGCTTTGACGAATGCGCGTAGAGAGAGAGATAGTGGCACAAGAGAGTGTTTTATTTGCGTGCCTGTGGCTTGTGGATCATCTGCAGTGTGATTGATTATCAATCAGTAGCGTTAATATTGGATGAGGGGAAAGGTTTTTATCACTGCTTCCAATGTAAAGAGAGCATGTGACTTCACCTGTAGTTGGAAAGAATGAAGCTATACCAATTGACATCAAGGTTTTACTTTAATTTGGTAGGTTACCATGGGCTTCAATATCACTTTAGTTGATGCAGGTATGTACGTTCCAAGCTAGAGCCAAGTTGAATGATCTATAACATGGAAAATCCGAAGCAGGACCCAAGGTCAGGAGTTCAACATCAAACTAACAATAGACGGAGCCATATGGGCAGTGCTGCATCTCGAAATGATAGACGATTTAGCTATTTGGCGATTTCTCTGGTATAGTTACAATGGGTGAGAAGTTCGAAAAGGCGGGTGTAGCGATAGGGCTTAGTTTCTTGAATTTGGCGTCCTAAGTATTCTAGAACATCAAGCAGAGATCTAACTTAGGCATTACGCTCAGTATGACTTCCTTGCCAATGTTTTAAACAAAAGTTTGGTCAGCCCGACCAGGCTGCCTGCTACCATATCTGAGTTGACTGTACAATACTTGATGCTATCAAAGAAATCGGTGCTACAAAGCATATTTTGCTTAACGGCGGTCTTATGTATTTGTATTCTCTATTTACTGTCATGTGGAACAAAGAGTCCTTCGGCCTACCTTCATCTCAAGAACAGGGATCGGCGATATATAACGTCTAGCCTTTCTGTAAGCGCTAGCCGGCCCCCAGTTCTCTGGCGCCGACCTGGAAAATTGGGTCCATTTGATGCTAAATGCCCCGTAGTAACGGCTCGCACAAGATGCCCGACGGAATGTACGCTTCCAACTTCTTGGATTGGTACGAGACTTGGTTCTCCAGTCTGACCCACACGTTGATACTACTCGGCGTAGCAATCTGCCATTGGTATACTGCAGGTACAGGAATGGATCATAGACTACAAACTACTCGGCGTAGTACGTTGTATTTTGGGACCAACGGTGGCGATCTTGGGTCCCAGCCCGTAAGTATACGGTGCACAATATACGGCATATACGGGGCATATACGGATAGTAAATCGACAAAACGTAGAGGGTAACGCATGTAACATTGGTCAAATTGGAATTAAAATTACGTATGTATGACAACAAAGAGGAGGTTGGGTATTCCAGGCTTTGCAAGAAATAGACGTAATTACCGCCTTGCCGTTTCATAATCAAGCCAGGGACCTACTCCTCTTCACAAACTCCAGAGCGTATTGCAGCACTTCTTCCCACCCTTTCTCATTGACAATGCCATGCTGAAACATCATTTGTTAGCAAAATTGCTACCCATAGAAATGTGAGTTCTGAACTGATGTAGGTGTCTTGATAAGGAAGATATAGTTTCGTAAAATGTGTATCTTGGTTCAGTCAAAATGATGATAAATAGCCTTACCGAGCGGCGTTCGAATTCTTTGTACTCAACAAATCCACTTCCTTTCTGGTATGCCTTGAGCTCTTTCTTCACAGTTTGTGGTGGCACAACGTGATCGTTAGAGCCTGAAATCAGGAGTAATGGCGCGCGGTCACTTTTGTCAAAGTTCACGTGCAACACTCCTTTTGGATGCACGATACCACCGATGGCACCTTGCCAGAGTACATGGGCAATGCTAGGAATAGAGTACCGGTCATATAAAGCTTTGCTCTCTTCTTCTGACACCGCATTTCCAAAACAATAGCGGAACTCCGACTCCGAGATTTTGACGGTGCTTTCGTAGTCAAAGGGATTAGATAGCACTGGCAGAGTGGCCCTCACCGTGCTGAGAGGCAGTGCAAAGACGCCGGCTGGGTTAGCTGGACAAATGGCGATGCCGACAGATCCAAGGCCGCGAGAGAGAAGTATCTGCACAAATAGTCCACCAAAGCTATGGCCGATGATTATAGGCGGCTCCGGCAGACGTGTAATAATATCTGTGTAATGGTTGCAGATTTCATCGATACTCTTGTTTGCCATTGGCTTTGGGTCATCACGAATTTGTTGTGGTGTCCGGTCGTCGACACCGGGCCAACCTGGGGCAAGAACTGTGTACCCTTTGCTTTTGAGATGATCGATCCAATACTCCCAGGAGAGGGGGGTCATCCAAAGACCGTGGATGAGTACAATGGTGCCATTTGAGATATTGTCACTGGTCATTCTGCAAATGTAAAAATCCAGAGCTCAATACTTATAACAAAATAAAGTGACATTCGCTGAGAATCCTACCGTGCAAGCTATAGAGCGGTGAAAATCATGAGCGAACGTAGGGATATATATCACCTGTGAGGTTAGTGGGGGGCTTACAGTTGGCACATCATTTTGATTTGTCTCAATCTCGTATAATAATCTCTCTTCAAAGGGCTTCGAACGGCTTGGATAGCAAACACTCAAATTTGAAGAATGTCGCTTAACAATGGGGTACACCTGAGAAATTAAATCCTTTAGGCTGATCCAGTCATCCATCAGGAACGCCTAGGAGGAATATTAGTTCTCAAATAGGCCAATAGATGTTACAATGCTACAACACCAATAGAATGCGCTCGTATGCGTTGTATTATACCTTGATAACCCTATAAGTACACTATTGGTCAGGTGATGCAAACGTAAGACACTATCACAAGGGGGTGGCTGGATATGGGAGCACCACTGTACAAGCCCTTAGATAGACAATACCTGGAGCACCTGGTTGTTTTTCTTTGTCACTTTAATATTCATGTTACAATAGAACAGTCATAAACAATACATGGTGTAGTTAATATATGACCCCCGCATAGCCGGGCACTTGCATACGGTTATACGAGCCTTGCAGCACACCTATGCAATCCTACTCAAACCCCACACACAATCATAGTGAGACTGAGCTAGCTTCTCGTCTATGTTATTCTCAGTCTTGACGATGATTCCTGGGGCGTGCGGTAAGACCGCTTGAGTCGTTAAATGAGCCCCCCTCTTTCAATCAATTTTATTTCGAATCCTATATCAAACACTGTCATCAATCTCGTATATGAGTCACGTCATTCACACTTTTTAAAGATACATTTTGCGCCATTTTCTCTTCTCGGCTGTTCTCGATAGATTGAAGGGATAGTACCTGAGGTCCTTGCACAAGATTTGTCCGTACTAGTCTCATATAAATGACAATACGTGAGTAGCTGAATGCTTGATTAGTAAATATTTGAGGCTTGGAGAGTTATAATGTCGGACTAATCATCTTAAATTGGATAAATAAGCAGTTGTCTTTCTAAGTAAGTCTTTCCCGAGTTCGTGGTGTCGAAAATTTCACTTCAATTCTCATACACTGGCAGATACCATTCAACTTACCGGTCATGAGCTCGACTGGGAAACTTCGCTTCCCGGAAAGTTTGTTTACGTCGCGCCATGATGAGGCTACAGTTGTCCTTCGTCGTCTCATAGAAGACAACCACAATCAGAACAGGCTGCTTTATAAAGAAGTCCTACACAATCATGTCCAACATGTGAGAATCATGATGTACCATACGGATAAGCTTAGCAACTAACTTTAAGTGCCTAGGGCTTGTTAGCTGCGTACTGCCTCGGAAGCAGCGGCGCACGGTTAAGAGAATTATTTTCGGAGGAGATGAAGGAACTTGAATCTCGCGAAGAGTCAAAACGTGAAAAAATCACGACAGAACTTGTACTTGATGAACTCTTAGGACATAAAGAGTAAGTAATAATACGAGGGTGAAAAGGAAAACAATTAACACGTGCTTTAGAAATGAGCTGGATTTTATTATATACTTTGAGCAACAACGGTCCAATTCTGGCGTCCACGTACAGGAAGCTTTGCAGTACTGGATTCTTGATCGGGAGAAAGAATTCTTACCAGCCTTCATTGGCGGCTATGCTCACCCACTCATTATGCTCGCTGATGCGGTGGAGCTGGGTCGCTCGATGCTGGCTTTTGATGCCCTTGCTCTCACTGCCACAGACTGGAGCCCCCTAACAACCCTAGTCACTATGAGTCTTCCACCACCAGAGACTTGCTCAAATTCCTTACTTGAGATACTCGACAAAATCCGGAACGACTCGTCCTTCGAACATGTCGTTCCCAGCCCTGGCATTCAGCACATTGCTGAAATTGTCCACAATGGGCCCGCAACGGCTGCAATTATAAAATACCTTAGCATCGGCAACGAATACATCTCGAGAACGGAGTTCAATCTCCAAGTCACAGGGGAAATGGTAGAGGTTGCTATCTATCTTCTCATGTGCACACATGTTCCTGGAGCGCCGGCCTTTGACTTTTTTCTGAACCATAATCTGACGTTTGTCAATTGCCTACATATTCTGCTACCTGTATTTGAACACGCAGATGCAAAGAAAACTTTGTTGCGGATGTATTGGCTACTAACTATTCTTGCATTTGTAACACAGGGGCGACCATTAATCAACACAGGATTGATTCAGTCGCGCGATACAAGGCCTTCAGCTGCTGAATGGGAAGAAATAAAGAATGCTGCACTCAATCCGATTGGGACTTTGAATCCCAAAAGAATTTTTGATGCACATTTTCTCAAAGCTGTCCATATTATGCATACATTCGGTCTGGTCATGGAAGATATGGAACCTCTGATACTAGCAGCAGCACAAAAGTTTGTGGGAGAGTTCAATCATTGGACTGGATTTGGAGCTTCTTAGTATACATAACATTAAGAAGCTGAGGCGTCGGAAATTCTTTCAGCACACTTGTATTGTATATTGTGCCATATCCGCTTTTTGCTGATTGAGATGATACCTTAAGAGTAATCGCACATTTATAGCAATCCGGGCCAATAACTTCCCGTCTATCTTCATGTCTGGTAGCTGCATTGAAAGAAAGATAGCAAAAATCTTGTTTAGCGTCTCTTTGCAGCCTTTCCTCCAATTTGATGTTTTCCAGAGTAGGCATATGTCATATTAAGTCTCTCATTTTAATTCAGGAACTATCCAATGTGATGAATAGGTATCGGTTATCCAGTAGGTCCGCGGTCTTTCCTAAACGAAACATGGGTAACCTTTCTTCCGGCCCTACTTCATCCAAACAGAAGGATGCTGACGATGCTGCCGCACCTTTCTGTATCCTACTATGGCCTATGCATCAATCCTTCGGTAAAAGTGGCAACTTAGAATCATAAAGCCAACTACGGAGTATACTCACACCATATGCAAAAGAATTATTTGGGAAGTGACTGTCTATATGATTGGCTAGGCGCACTTAGTCGGAAAGATCGGCACGTTCTGTATGCGGCTCTCGTATATTCGCCTAGACACGCACGGGCCTAGAATAGCCTACTACATGCACTGTAAATTAGCCTGAGCAACTACATGTAAGCTAGAATACCACCGCTAATAAGAGCGGTCGAAACCACATTTACACCGGAGCGTATGGCATACGGACCACCCCCTTCTGCAAGGTTGGAGGCTTCTGTAGTACATGCGTGGCGAACTATTGGTGCGATCTAACTAGAGCATTTACAATCTAAGGAGTTGAAAAGCCGGGATAACCGCAGAAGCCCATGGAGATTCTCGCTGCCGTGTAATAATGCGTTAAGTTATGAGGTTTGCTCTATATAACGTGGGGGCGGGGTGGTAGCCTAGGCATGCATCTCGCCTACTTTTGTGCCAAGGATATAAAGCCCAAGCTCTTGGCCTATTTTTTTTCATTCGTTGAGAACCATGAAGCTTAGTATTATTACCAACACTGAAAAGACATTATGGCCCAAATTCGACTTGGAGAATACCTGTTTCGCCGTCTCAAGCAGATGGGCATTGAGACAGCCTTTGGCGTCCCAGGAGGTAATGCAACATCAACCAATTCTCGCTCTGCCCAAAAGCACTTCTAACAACGCGTTGCATACAGATTATGAGCTCGCACTTCTCAATTACGTAGAACCTGCTGGCTTGAATTGGATCGGTACGCCAAATGAACTGGTTGGAGCCTATGCTGCTGATGGATACGCCCGCCTTAAGGGCGCCGCTGCCCTGGTCACAACTTTTGGGCCTGGAGAGCTGAGTGCTCTTTGTGGGCTTGGAGGTTCCTTTTGTGAAATGGTTCCCGTTCTCCATATTGTCGGATACCCGTCGTTTGCAGCTCAAGCAAGCGGCCAAATCTTGCACCATACTCTCGGTGATAAAAGTTATGAGTAAGATTTACTTTATGATTCTAGGGGGAGTCTACCAGCTAAGGTCTTTGCAGTCACTATGTTCGAATGTCATCAGAGCTTTCATGCGCAACTGCTGTTTTGAAGGATCCAAGTCACGCTACCGCTGAAATTGATCGAGTCTTGAATGGTTAGTTTGTACCATCTCAACCCCGTATAGGGTCTCGGCTATAGTGTACTAAACTCATCTGACAGCTATGATGTATCACTCTCAACCAGGATAGTAAGTTTGAGCACCCAAAATGAAGAATTCTGACTATTTCCCATCCTGACAGACGTTATTAGTATCGGCATCACTGAAGATGCCGTCAAGACATTGGTTCCCGCCTCCGCTCTGGATGCAACGATGATTAAGATGGACTTGTCTTCTGGAACAGAAGATGATCGCGCTTTGACAGCTATCATGGCTGCATTGGAGGCGTCTAAGAACCCAATAGTGATAGTCGACGGCGGTGCGGGCCGAAGTAGCTGGGCCTCTCATGCTACTGACCTGGTCAAATCTCTCAAATCCCTACACTTCAACACCGTCATGGGGAAGGGCATTGTTGGAGAAGACGACCCGCTATTTGCTGGCTGCTATGCCGGTGTTGGTTCGTCGCCGGCAACGAGCAAGGCTGTTGAGCAATCAGACTGCATTCTTTGGCTTGGCCACATGCCATCCGATTTTAACACGTCAGTACCTAATCAAAAAAAAGATTTATGTCACTGCTTGGTACTAATGCAGCTTACAGCGGAATGTTTACGGAAGATGTCAAGTCTTCCTTGGTTATTGACTTCCAGCGATTCCACATCACGGTACCATGAATTCATTTTCTATCCTAATGTCACCAGGCTGACAGTTTTTAATACAGGTTGGACAAAAGCAATTCCAAGCCGGAATGAACACTGTATGTCATCGATGGTGTATCAAAAGTGGGTAACTTCAAGATCTGACGACTGCCAGGTCCTCCCCAGACTCTCTCAATCCATCAAATCTAGCAGTATTCTGTCTCAGAGAACGCCCCCAACGCCTGTGGAGTATTTCCCCGAAGTTCCACTGGAAGTGCCGTCGTCTATAATTTCTCAAGCCTGGCTTTGGCCGGTAGGTTCTTATTATTTTACATAATAAGTCGTAATGATCAAGCCACTAACTACTGTTTCTTTTTTCGCAGCGCCTGTCATCGTTTGTCAAGCCTGGAGACATGATCGTCGCCGAGACTGGAACATCTCAAATTGGTGCGCTTGCTACCAAGACTCCACAAGGCGTTTACTACTGGACACAGGCAGTTTGGGGCAGCATTGGCTACGCCATCGGCGCAGCAGTCGGTGCCGCGATTGCAGGCAAAGAATTGGGCCAATATCGCAGGATGATCGTTTTCACCGGCGAAGGAAGCCTGCAGCTGACAGTGCAGGCCATGTCCATCCTAAACCGCCATGGCGTGGTCCCTTATGTGTAAGTCGAATATCTTTTGCAGGATCGCTTCACATTGCCATGAATGCGACATTGACTAACTTGCGTGGCAGGTTTATCCTGAACAACAATGGGTATCCTCTACCCCTTAACTCAGAAGACTGTCGTAAATGCTGATCCCATTTTGCTAGGTACACCGTTGAGCGTTACTTTGAAGGATGGGATGCCGCGTACAATGATGTGCCTGACTGGGATTACAGTGGTCTATTCAGGTCTTTCGCACCAAATCTTACTACAAATACAGTCAAAGCACGAAGCGCAGCAGAACTTGACAAACTGCTTTCGGAAGAGTCATTCCAAAATGCTACAGTTCCACAGGTGAGGATCTACAGTCAACTTGTTCCAAATCTACCGCGTTGTACCTATACTTACTACGTTTTCCATTTGCAGTGCATCGACATGACCCTAGACAAGTACGACGCTCCGGCGGGACTAAGAGCTATATTTGACTTTAAGAAGAAGATGGCTGGCGCGTAAACTACATTTCTGGAGATAGAGCGGAAACGCAGGATTTGAACCAATAATGTGTTACCCGAATTATAAAAACAACTTTCTCAATAATATACACGGCCGAAAACACTTCGGATATCCATTTCTGTCAGGCTGGTGAGCTCCTTAAGCAATTTTCTCAAAAGCCATTAAGGTTACAGCATCGCAATAAGCGACGCCGGCTAGGCGGGATGGAGTGGGGCCGGTCAACTCCGGGCCTCGGTCGATAGCGAAAGACCAAGAAAATCTTCGGAACGGAAGCAACAAACGCTGAACGCGATCAAACCGGAGTGCCCGAGTTTCGGCAGTGAATGCCATCAGGAACCAGATTTGCTATTTGGAATAGATCAGCTAACTTTTCTATTCGCGTGTAACTTAATTGCCAGCAATTGTGATGGTTTGCGGCTGCCTCTGTGCCGGTGGCCTATTTAAATAAGACAGCACATAACGTACAGAAGCTGACATTTTGCAAGACGGACTTCCATCTTTTGAACCAAGCCATAAAATTGGGGCTGCCATTATACCATCACATAGCGCAACCGGAATGAGTTCTTCTGAGTCTCAGCGCGCGCGCCAGCGGCGACATCATACGCGTAGCCGCAATGGTTGTCGCGAATGCAAGCAGCGGCATATCCGGTGTGATGAAACAAAGCCATACTGGTAAGCTATTGCATTTCGGATTGGCGTAGGCCGATATTGGATTAGTAGTGTCTTACCAACTTTGACATGCAGCACAAATTGTCTAGTTCACGGACGCGATTGCCACTATGATGCTGCCGGGGTGAATATCCGCCGCGGAGGCACGGTATCAGGTGCAGATATTATGGAAGCAGACCTTTTCAACGTCTTACCGATCCCTATGCCGTTCGAATCGATGCAGCTGCTGCACCACGGTAAGTAACGATGAAATTTCGGCAAAAGAGATACGCAGATTGGTTAATTTGTCCAGCGACTCATTTTCGCCTCTTGACCACAACTGTCGTGGCCAAAAATCCCAACTCTAGCATGTAAGGCTCTCTTGGTATCTTGTCCGCCGCTGTAACTAAACTGTATCTTTTAGCGGTGGTTTGGTCATGCACAATGCGGCCACGTTTAGATCATTCCTTCTCATAGCCGGCATACATCACGTTTGGTCTGGTGGTTCGCTGCAAGCTATCGAAGAGACGATGCTGCACCACAAACTCGAAGCAATTCGCGTCGTCAACGGCATGATTGGAGATCCCGTACTGTGTCACAGCGATGCATGTATAACCTCCATGGTTAGCTTGGCCATGGTTGAGGTTCGTTAGCTAGCCACATAGACCTTGTGCAGTTCGTTGCTAACAGAAAGCTTAGGCCGCATTGGGAGATACAAAGACAGCTGAAGCCCATTTGAAGGCATTGGCTGGGCTTTTCGATGAGCGCCGTCTTGACCGAGACAAGTACAGGTTGTTTGGCCTCGTCGAGAGACTCATTCTGCTGTAAGCAAAATTCTTTATCGAAGCTGCGATCGAAGTCGATCTAACATGACTCCCGTTATCTCGCAGAGCTGCCAGTCTAGTTGCCGCATCAAAAGACAAAAAGGAGAATGAACCCCATTCCTTTGTTGTCGAGCCGCGCCAGGATTCGGAGCGGCGGTATTACTACACACGACCCACGCGGCCTGTGTTCAGCGCTGTTCCGTTCCTCAGTATCCATCTATCGCCCTTCTATCACTCAACGCCACCAGACATTGAAGCCTGCAATGCTGACGCTGAATGCGAAATCATTGCTACAGCGTTACGGAGATTGTCTTCCCCTCCCCAGCGCCAAGATCCCGAAGGCAGTGACAACGAACATGCATCATCACCAAGTCCAAAAGAGCATGCTTGGGAAACCCTTCGAGAAGATGCAGAGGCATATGTTGGCTCTCTACTCTTTAAACCTCCTCCACTAGCCCAAAATGACAGAAGAGGCTCCGGAGACTACAATCATGATCCGACGTCCGGATCAAGATCACCCTCGCAGCATGGGGCAGATGAATCTGATGATGCAGAGAGTCATTTCATCAACCTTTCCGAGCAGCCTTTTGTCAATCTCCCAGCTGTCATTTTTCCATCCACATCGCGGGCTTGGGCGTGCGCCGCATACTTCTATCTCCATTTGATTGTGGACCGCATTCCACAACGACGTCGAAATTTAGGCGCAACAATGAACATGGACATGTACCTACAGCGCTGGCTGATAGACACTCTACACCAAGATCTTGATCACACCCAAGAAGCGATGCGAATCGGAGCACATAGCTCAGAGTTGTGGCTATGGAAGGCTATACTCGGTGCGTACGCACTGGAAAAGTCTCGCAAAGAGGGGTTCAGCAATGAGGGTGAGAGCGATGATGACGAGGACGAAGTATTGGCCAGGTTTGCGGATAGAATGGCATTTGACAGAAGGTCAGAGGTAAGTGGAGGTTCGAGTCCGTCGTCATCCACTGGTGGCCAGGTGAGCTTGCGGAGGTCATTTGTTAGGAGGATGAAAACATGGAGCTCTGTTACTCGTGTTAGGTCGTGGGAGGATGCTAGGACAGCGTTACATCGTATTGCCTGGCCCGAGAGCTTTGGTGATGATCGAGTATTGGCTAAGTTATGGGAAGAATGTATAGATTTAGAAGATGTATAACGACTGAAAAGTATTTCTCGAGGGAGCAAAGAGGAGAGACTGGAGCTATAGATGGAATCAGATATCGTTATGAGACATTAAATACAGACCAAGCTCATCTATTGGTAACAGATAAATCGTTGTGTTGAGAGATTTTCTTCACAGAGATTATGAGTCTATCTCAGATATCCATCGTTTGTCCTTCACGACACAAGAGAAGATTCTTCAAAAGGCAAAAGACAGCGATAAGGTGTTGTCACTTGGCCCATGACAATGCCAATGATATCTACTTCCTTATATCGATCAGGCATGATAAAATTACTCTCACTTCAGAATGTTGAGGTCTGGAAAGCAATAGAGAGGGCATTGGCAGTCAAAATGTTTTTTTTGCCGCCGGGATTAGGGTAGCATGTTAACCATAGATACTCGGCAATATAGAGTGCTTATCTCAGAGTAAGCTCTACCAATGGTTCCTGAATGAGCGATAAGCTTATGGGCCACAACGAATAAGAATTGAAACAACTGTGGAAAAAGCAACAGAGTGATATCATGATTAGACTGGTTGAAGCCCCTACACCCCAATGCATCTAGGGAGCTGTAAATACGCTGCACAACAAGGTAACTATAGTTTCAGCTCCCATATTTCAGCTGTACCAGGCCCCTTCCAGCTCTCATGCCCATCCCCGGCACGGACCAACTGAAATCCTTCAGCCTCATACAATCGTCTCGCGCCGGTTAACACACTTTGTGTCCAGAGCTCAATCCGGTCATATCCAGATTTCCTTGCGAACTCGATACTTTGTTGAACAAGCTTTTTACCCAACCCAATTCCTCGAGCCCGGTCTTCGACAAGAAGCAGACGAAGTTTCGCCGTCTTGATCGATGTTGAGCTTCTATCTTCAACCAACATAATTGACCCAAGGAATTCTCCAGTATCGCTCACTTCTGCGATCCAACAGCGGTCCTTGGTTTCGTCGTAATGATCAATAAAATCGGCTGTGACACGAGCAACCAAAGCCTCGAAACGCTCATCGCAACCTTAATCTGTAGCATAGAGAAGGGCGTGACGGTAAATAACCATGCCCATGTCACCAGGGCGATGGGTTCGAATTCGTACTGAATCAAATTGCAACTTCTTTGGGTCCATTCTGAATAAAATTCCTTTTCAAGGTAAACAATGATTAAGCGTAAATAACCTAGAAAAAAAGCAGCGTAGGGCTTTTTTAATATTCGTGCACACTGTACCGCAGTGTGAATCTTTCTACAAGTATCTAAAGAGCGGCTAAAATTTGGGGCCACTGTACTCCGTACAGCTCTCATTTATCCTACCCCTGTATAGTTCAATTATCCTTTCTAAATTAGGAAAACGGTGGGTTTTGTCAATGATTCGTTTGTTTAAATTTTAGTAATCAATTAATATGGAAAACTTCATCTTATTGAAGAATAAAGGCGCCTGTTAAGTCTAAGCAATAGGCCGTTACTATTACGCTGATTGGAAGAAACACTACTGGATTAGCAATTTCAAGCCATATCGGGGCTTTCCCTTCAAATTCTGCTTGACGAACAACAGTTCAAGCCGCCACTTTAGCTGATGTAAATGGCCCCATCTATGATCCTCAGCTACCAAACGCGGGGCTTAAGACTTTGCACATGTCTAGAAAGGTAGGTTCTTTAACCATCTATGGATAATCAGAAGCATATTTATGCTTTCGTAAGGATTGTATCTAGTTGCGAAACCTGTACTATGCTATCGACAGTAATCGCCTTTCGAACCTGAGATACTTCAAGGCTCATCTAACTCGGAGTTCGACATTCTGACTGCAGCATTGAACTAGATTTAGCCGACAGGATCTTGAGGCAGAACATTTTCCTACCTTACTTATAGAATGTCGGTGAATTGGCATCCACGGAGTAGTTAGGGTCATCCGAAAGAGTGTAAATTGTTCGCATGGAAACTCTTCTGCTCTATAAGAAGTGTGTAGATCAAACTAATTGTACAAATGAGAGAACCTTCTATCATTACAGCTAAGAGTGGCTGTACTTTCTTAGGCTGCGCTTTTTTTTTAAAAAAAAAAAAACAAATGCTGCCAATATAAAATGTAGTTGAACGCTAAATTACTTGATGTAGAGGAGATAAGAGTACCTCCGATAACGGAATTGCTATTCTTTAGTATTCAGTATGATTCCCCATACATCTGTGAAGCCCGACAATAGCCTAGTTAACATTTCGGAAATTGTCGGTTGGGTAAGCAAATTAAGACAGTACACATCCATTTGCCCGAAACGCACCTCTGTACGAAGCACATGGCTAGCTTATTAATGATTATGACAAATACTTCAAATTCTCAATACGTACCAATTATCGTCATATATAAATAATCGAGTTGCAGTTCTTGAGTAATTGGTTCAATATCCTCGCTACGGCGTCTCAATTTGCCAATGTCGTTTACTCGTATGTAATAAAAGTAAACAGATTCAATTTTACCTGGCTAACATTTTTCTCCTGACAGGTCTTGTCCGATTTGTTCCACGGGGACGCCAGGATATCATTCTGATCGGCGAACCTTTGGATCCTAATATTGATGTTGGTGAAGAAGTTCGAAGTGGAAACAATGTTAAAGTGAACGTTTTCAGTGGTACTACAGTCTTGGACTTTGGCTCCGCTACGGGAACCATAGAATCCATCGACCGCATTCTATCTCCACTCGCTATGACTGAAGTTGGCACTATTCGATGCATCGGATTGAATGTGAGCATAGGTTCAGATATTCACACAATTGGACCGTTTCTAACCATTTTTAGTATGCAAAACATGCAAAAGAGGCAAATCTCGAGTTGCCATCTGTACCAGTTGTATTTCTGTACGTACCCTTTCCTTGGTTAATAGATGCTGATGCTCACCACTCTTTCTTGCATTTATAGGAAACCGGCGACATCTCTTGGAGATCCATGGCCAGCTCCAACAATAATACCAAAATTCTCACTCGTTGATGATACAGCAGATTATGAATCCGAACTTTGCGTGGTAATTGGCAAAACAGCCAAAAACGTGAATGAGGAAGACGCACTGTCTTATGTTTTGGGTTATACCGCATCAAACGATATCTCGGCGCGAAAACAACAGTTTGAACAATCACAGTGGTGTTTTAGTAAGGGCTTTGATACATCATGTCCCATTGGTCCAACTATTGTTTCAACGTCTGCCATACCGGATCCGAGTCAGCTTCATATCCGTGGATTGAAGAATGGCAAAGTCATGCAAGACTCGCCGCTCAGGTTAGTTTTACAATATTCATATTCTTCCTTTGCAAATCCCTTTTTATACTTATCTATGTTACTAATTTATATGACGTTTAGTGACTTGATATTCAGTATCCCAAAACTTGTCAGTTGGTTATCCCAGGGAACAACACTACCCGCCGGCACACTCATTCTTACCGGAACACCTGCAGGTATTGGCATGGCAATGGAGCCAACGGAATATTTGCATGATGGGGATGAGTTCGCTGTTAAAATTTGGCCTCACATTGGAAGCTTATACTCTACCATACGAATGGAGCACTGAGCTAGTACAGGTTAATTAAGTGATCCATTAGCTTTGCTATGACTATATCAGTTATTACGCATTCTTTTGCTTGCAGATAGAAGTGAAATCACTGTAAGATAATTTAAATAAACTCCTGGTTACAAAGCACCGTAATTCCACGGCGCCTGGAGATCCTGGCTGCTGTTCTTCTGGCCACCTCGCACCGAAGAAGCTCCATCACTAGTTTTCTCCCGGGGTGTATCCAATGGACGATCAAGACCGAGGTGCTGGGCCGTCGTATGAGACTTAATCCCCCCATTAGGATCAATCTCTGTGATGAGCCCTTTACGACTAGTGTCAACAAGGAGCCGGATCAAGTCTGGACGCATATAGTGGCCGCCCCAGTCGGCGTGCGACTTGACCAGATGGATCGCGTCGAGATCAATCTCGGCGATTAACAGGCCATCGAAATCCTCTGTAGGGTTGGGAACCGCAAGGGCGCCGCCGGGCTTGTAGATGCGTGCATATCCTCCGATCGTGGGTGTATCGGGGTCGGGCGTTAAACCTGGAGGTGTGTTCTTCTTGACGCCTTCGGCCGTAAGGCGCTGGAAAGGCGCGATAACCCACGAGCCAGTTTCTATGGCGTACTCTAACGTAGTCACGTCGGAGCCCCAAGTCAAGTCGCTCATAGGCAGGACCTGGCTGTTGCTATATACCGGCCAGGCGGCAACGTGAATCTGCTCGCCTTGGGACACTGCGAGGGCCTTGAGGAATGGGTTGCCATGCTCCCAGCAGGCGAGGTGCCCAACACGGCCAAGCTCGGTCTCAGTTACAGGCATGAAGGTATCGCCGGAACCGTCGCCGAAGAGAACCTTCTCATAGTGCGTAGGCTTGATCTTGCGGCGATGGTTAATCACGTTGCCATGAGGATCGATCAACGCCTGCGACATAAAAATCGTACCATGATCGATCTCAGCAAAGCCGAGGGATACAAAGATACTGTTATCACGTGCCGCGCGTCTGATGCGTCGAAATTCTTCTGAGTCTACTGCGAGGGAGTTTTCGCGGTACTTTTGCATCAATGGCAAGTTCTGCCCATAGCTATATATCCATAGCCAGCCAGGGTAGCCAGGGAGCCCTGTACCGTGGGATACTGTGTTAGCTAGGGAAGCGTTGTTTTCCCTTGATGCAAGGCGTTATCGTATAACTTACAAACTTCAGGGAAACCAATCAACTTGCATCCCTTGTCGCCGGCTTCTTCAATAAAGTCGATAGTCTTTTGCACACCAGCCTGAAGGTCAAATCACTAGCAAAGATGTCAGCATCCCTAAGTAGGGGCCTCTTATAGGCTTGTAGATCATAACATACTTCAGGTTCAGGATTGACCTGCAGAAAACGAAACGTTTAGTAAAATATTCTCTGTACTTAGTGACACGTGTGGCTACATACCGCTGCGGCCTTGTACTTTGTAATGGCCATATTTGCTGGGTCAAGTTTCAAGGCTGCTGTATACTATATAAGATGAAGTAGGCAAGATGGTTATATAGAGAGATCTGCCTCCTTCTTATATAGTGTCATTGGGAACAGAAGGTTTATATTGCTTGACTAGGATGGTTACTAGTCCTGCGGTAAGGGTAGAAAAAGGGTTGTAAACCTACACCAGACGGTTCTAGCTGCTTCTTCTCAGTAATACCACTGCTCTGAAAACTTATCTCGGTTCTAGCTGCTTCTTTCAAGAGATAACGCTGTGTTATTACGACATCTGTCTTGCCTCCATAAGCATTGCGCCATAATCTAGGTATTACTTTTCCTTTTGAGTTGAATCCAACCAATCATACGATATAAATAAAACACTACTTGACTTTATAAATCGAGCTCCGTATACTCCGATCAAATCATTTCAAAGCACTTCCTTGAGATATTCGTTGATTAGTTATTCATTACTCGATATACGCTAAGCCGCTTGATACAAACTAAGCCGCACTTGCATCACAACCTATATCCGCCCAGTTAATTAACTCTATGATATACGTTAAGCCGCTTGATACAAACTATGCCGCACTTGCATTATGAGGCTAATAATATTTTTACACATGAATCTGAATACCTCCAGTTGTTTACACGCCGATATCGGGTGTTACGTGTCAACCCCTCGATCAGATTTTGCGCATGATAAGCCACCTATATACTCCGTAACAAAAAGGGAAGCTAATGATTGGTAATCATCTATAATAGGAATAGATCTTCATCCAAGACCAATCTTTCTGATTCATGACATAATAGCAATTACCTCATAGTGCCTTACTCGGACAGCAGGATCCTCGCCTATATGCGGATTTGGGCTCAGGTATCAGAAGGGCGCGCCTAGTGGATGTGCTACAAGTGATGTTGACGCTAAGATTATTCGAATTCTAGTTTGCACTAGTAGTAACATGAGTAACTGGGTAGGTTGTTTTCTTCCCTTCCTATGCATGCCCGTACTGCTTAGATGAGCCCGTTCATGGATAGCCGTGGGAGCGCCCCTTCGTGATGGATGGTTATGGGGCTGCTTGCGTCATTCCCTATGTAAATGGCAATACTCTCTGGGTATTATCGGCTCTATTTGCCATGATGACGGGGACAAAAATTTCCAAATATTTAAGATAGATAATACTGCCTTTCTCTCCAAGTACGCATATAGATTTCATTCTTCATGAGTCAAAGAAACCCATTACGTCAAATGGCATCTCCAGAGAACGACGATGGGCTCAAATGGCCAAAGTTACTGAACAATGGCACCGAGACGGCTGCAATAATAAATACGCCAATCAAACCTCTGGATAATCTGCAAACAAATTGCACGGAGCACATGCTTATCTGGCAGTGGGACGAATCTACTGGTTGGCAGGCTCCCGAAATCCGACCATATGGACCACTTCCTATCATGCCCAGTGCCAGCGTTCTTCAATACGCAACGGAATGCTTCGAAGGCATTAAAATCTACCGAGGGCATGACGATCGGTTACGCGTTTTCCGATTGCAGCTCAATTGTGAGAGGATGCGAAAGTCATCTCTTCGTGTGGGATTACCCGAGTTTGATACAGCTCATTTAGAATCTCTTTTGATGCAATTCGCTGCGCTTGAGGCTGAAAAATGGCTTCCTAGCGGCAAAACCGGTCAAACGTTATATCTACGTCCAACTCATATCGGGTTGACGGCGGCCCTAGGTGTTCAAAAACCTCGACAGTCTTTGTTGTATGCCATTGCAACTTTGCTTCCAGGCTTCACTACCAAGGGGAATGGTATGAGATTGCTCACCTCCCCAGCCGAAGCTGTTCGAGCCTGGCCGGGTGGGTTTGGAAATCGAAAGCTTGGGGGAAATTATGGGCCTACACTCCCGGCACACGATGCAGCTCTTCAGAGAGGTTTCGATCAAATACTTTGGCTTTTCGGCCCAGAGGGATTTGTTACTGAGGCCGGCGCAAGCAACTTTTTTGTCGTATGGAAAACGAAAAGTGGTGAAGTTGAGCTCATCACTGCAGGCCTAGACAATGGCACGATTTTGGAGGGCGTTACCCGCTACAGCGTTTTGGATCTGGTGCGATCTAATCGTGACAAACCTTCAGCGTGGCATCATCGGGGTCATACTCTGCCTCCTTTAACAGCCATTGAAAGGGACTTCACCATAGATGAGATACAAGATGCTGTGAAAGAAGGCCGGCTGATCGAAGCATTCGCCGCAGGAACTGCAGTAAGTTCACGTCAGGATGTAATCCCAGATTAAGATAGCGATGCAAATAGCTAACTGGATGACTATAGTATTTCATTGCATCTGCTGAGGCAATACATCACCGAGGAAAGGATATACCGATCCCGCTTCCAACAGCAGAATCAGCATCATATGCTCAACTGATCAAAGAATGGCTATCGGATATCGTTTTCGGCGTCGAAAGCCCTCATCAATGGACGAAGGAAATTTCTCTGTAATGAGTTATTGAGACAACCCAGCTCTGGTGGTATCGCAAAGGCAGCTGCCAGGGCTAACTAAAAAAAGCCACTAGACGTACGTTAAATTGTTCATAGTGGTTCAGATAGTTGTACATTTATAGTCTAAATGGTTGAAACGCATCTTCGCCATATAAGATGAACGAATTAGCTTCCTTTCCGCTGCGGCACTCATTAATACAGACATTGAACTAGGCGAGATATATTTCCAATACTACTGCCAACTAATTTCACATTAGTCTAACCAGGAGAGCTGAATTTCATTACATCACTTGGAATTTTCTAGCAGTAGAGTATTTAGGTAAGATACATTTGTTCTTACAGTGCGCTAATCAGCCTAAGAGCTAGATTCATCAGCCTCGCGGGCGTGATTCTTGTTTCCACCCTTCTTAGCAGCGGCCTTCTCTTTAGCAGCGATCTGGGCTTCAGTGTGGTGAGGGTCTCGCCTGGTAACCCAAGATCCAAACTCATCGTCCTCCGGAACCTCATCAGCCTCGCGGGCATGGTTCTTCTTTCCACCCTTCTTCTGAGCAGCGGCAGCCTCCTTGGCCGCAATTTGTGCCTCGGTGTGATGAGGTGCACGTTTATCAGCCCAGGATCCAAACTCATCATCCTCGGGAACCTCATCAACGTCGCGGGCATGGTTCTTCTTTCCTCCCTTCTTCGCAGCAGCAGCCTCCTTGGCAGCAATTTGGGCCTCAGTATGGTGAGGTGCACGCTTATCAGACCAAGACCCAAACTCATCATCCTCAGGAACCACGTCGGCATCGCGGGCGTGGTTCTTCTTACCGCCTTTCTTCGCAGCAGCAGCCTCCTTGGCGGCAATCTGAGCCTCCGTGTGATGAGGCGCTCGCTTATCAGACCAAGACCCGAATTCATCATCTTCGGGGACTACAGTCTCACGAGCATGATTCTTCTTTCCTCCCTTCTTAGCGGCGGCAGCCTCCTTGGCAGCGATTTGGGCCTCAGTATGGTGAGGTGCACGCTTATCAGACCAAGACCCGAACTCATCATCTTCGGGAACCTCATCAGCCCCACGGGCCTGGTTTTTCTTTCCACCTTTCTTGGCAGCCGCCTTCTCTTTGGCAGCAATTTGAGCCTCGGTATGGTGGCGAGCTTCAACTCCTGGAATAACGGAGCGTACCAGCTTGGTAGCTAGAGCTGCAGCAGAACCCTAACAAACTCCGTTAGCTTGATTCAATTATCCTCGCAATCGACAGACTCACAACATATCGGCGCTCGAGGTCTACAGATCCAGCTGTTGGGAGGCCAGCAGCGAGAGGGGCCAAGCCAAGAAGGCCCAAAACCAAAGCATTGGTAGGACGCATGGTGATGAAGATTTGAAGAATATGTAAAGAAAAAATGAAGGAAAGTAATAAACGTTGATGTTTAACAAAAAGGGTAAAAGAAAGAAAGCAAAACTAGACTGGCCGGCAGTCAAAGAAGAGTAGAAAGGGAAAGAAGAAGGATGAGATGAAGAATGAAGTGATGAATGAGAGCCGAAAATCAGAAAAGAAGGTAAAGCCAGGCGTACTTTATAGGCCCTCGAGTACACTGACTCTGCGGACAGCCGTAATAGCTGGTTCACTCCGCCATACAAGATCGTCTGCTCAGGGTATCATTAGAAACTTGATTGAAACGGAATATTCCATCAATCACTTTGCCAAAATCTAGAAGCGAGTACCAGTTGAAACTTACTATCGATATTGTGCCGAGGCTTTTGGAATTCTCCAGACTGTTCTCCGTAGTGGTTTTTACCACAATACTCCAGTTTCAGGTTGGGTCGCGTTAAGCGCTGGTATCATATAAGACTATGAAACGGTCGCTATTTCAGATAGCTGTAAACTATGAGCGATATACATCTAGCTGTTTGAAAGTCCGTTGATCTTGTTTTCCTTAGTCGTCGCTTGCTAACCGCCCCGTGTAAAGGTACGTGGTTTAACATTGTCCCTTTTCAACTTTTGTAACCGTTCGAGTTTCGTTTTGCCAAGGCCAGCCCGCTATCCACTTTCCCCCCTGCGCGGCTGAGGAGCCCCAATGACTAGATCATTCCAGTGCAGCTCTCATTGCGATCCCTTTTTTGTTCATGAAAATCCCAAGATTCAACACAATAACAAAAAAAAATTTATTTCCTAAAGTTTTTTATCCAATTCCATTATACTTATTTTCCTTTGCGCTACTATGGCTTTCGAATATCAACACCTTGAAGCATCTTTGGCTAGCGAGAAGCTTAGCCGTTTATCGTCCGACTCTACTTCAACTCTGCAGGCAATTGATGATCTAGACTATTTATCGGACAATACAGAATTGGGTTATAAAATCTTCCTCCGCGAATCAGCTTCAGGATGGATTAAATCGAAATGGCCCTGGGTTGCACATGCAGCTTTGCTTATTATCTCATTCGGGATGCTCGCCAGCACACTAATATTGCGATCTTCCACCCTGCTTCTTGTTCGACAGATTTCTGCTTGGTGTAAGTGGTGTATACGGAATCAAATGGACACCAAAATGACTAAATAATACGCAGCGCCCGCCGACATTTCTGTGCAATACGATCATGTTCGATACAACCTTACAACAAAGGGCAACCCCTTTGTAGGTGCTGGCCCAGAAGTCGATAGAGTTTGGAGGGAGATTTCGTACGATAGTGAGTATACAATCAAGTAAGCAAGTATAACCGGCTCTAATAAATGTGTGAAAGTGGGCGACCAGTGGATATCAAAGTCCGACTTATGGAAGTTGGATATGCCAGAGACTTCGCTCAAGACCAACCATCCTACCACTGGGGAGGAAGGTTACAGAGTTGGCATGGAAGTCTTTCACCACTTGCACTGCCTCAATCTTTTGCGACGAGTCACCTATAAGGAATACTACGAACCTCTTGGCGGAGAGTTTGCACATGGGCCGGAAGCCCTCCAAGCACACACAGGTATGTTTGCACATGTACATTCTGTCGTCGGCATGATGAACACACCGAACATGCCTTTGCTCACTCATATGTAGATCACTGTATCGAAGTACTTCGTCAAAACATCCAATGCAACGCGGATATCGGACTCTTCACTTTCTATATGATTCCAGACGATCCACTTGCCTGGCCCGAATTGAACTCGAAGCATGTTTGTCGAAATTTTGACAATGTGCGCAAGTGGGCGCTAGACCACTCAGTGGGAAATATGGAAGTGCTGGAGGACTAGACGAACTCCGTTAAAAAAATAAAAAATAAAAAAAAACATGTAGCCTTGAATTTACAACAATAACAATACTTTCATCCTGATCTCAAGGTGTGTGCATTTGGTCTTAGATGCCTTCATGTGATTAGTCCTTGAACACGAATTTTTATGTGTTGTACGCTCATAGCCTGCAATTGAATACTATGTGTTTTTAGTTGTGGCTCATTCTCCATCGCATTAGTTAAACACCGCCCATCTGAACTCGGAGGTTCGCTTTCGTTCTGATCGCCTAACAACTTAATACTCAACTAAAACAGCTATCTAGCTCAAACCCGATCTTTCACTACATGCAAATCACGCCTTTCTTTCAGAATTGGATTCAATAGCTCCTAGGCAAGTAATATTCAATACATTGCAAACTACAGGGTAGTAGACATCACCCATCTCAGTGTATTTACTCCGGACCTGATAGTCCGGCACTAAGTAAACTTCAGGATAGCAGCCGAAGTCTAGCGCTGCGGGCCGGATTTAAGGCGTCGCTTGCGGTGTATAGACTAGAACTGTCGGGTTTAGTTGGTGGGAACAGTGGATTTACGGTCGCGTAGCTACAGGTAGCTTTGGTGGAAAAAGGGGACCCCGTTTCAACTGCTCTGATTCCAGTATTTCGCCGATCTCCAGGCCACTCAAACACTCGTCGCATAGTTTAGCGAATGCCTCTGTTCCGCCTAGAGGGTTTTCGCTAAGGGGGTTTGTTTCATGCAACAAGTTCTTGTGAGAGATTCTGTTCGCCTCAAACAGTAAAAGTTTTGACTGTGTACGTACTAGTTTAGGAGGGGCGATGCCGTTTGGACTAGTTTCATCGATTCGGCGGCTATTTTACTTCCACTCTATTTCCTAAAACCTTCCTCGCTATATCACGACGTTTCTAAAACCATTTGCTAGTAGGGAGGGCGTTTTCTTTTTCTTTTTCTTTTTTCTTCATTTCATTCTTGTACAATCATTATCTTTCTAAATTCTATGCATGTTCACCAACTGGATTTTGGTGACACTATGGCATTCGCTGGGAAATACTGCAAAATCGAAGGAGACGACCATTTCCATGAGAGTGGAGATGATTTAGAAGAAAACAAACCCGGTTCCAGCAGGTCTTCATCAATCACCAACTTCTTCAACAAGACGAATGCCCTTCCTTTCAGAGATAATGCAGATTTAGCGACACCCTACCTAGCACGACACACAACGACAAAGGCCGGGGCTTCCACCAACTTCTGGACGTGGCTACGATGGGGAGTTGTCGTTGGGCTTCAGACAACTCTGATCATATTAATTTCTATAAAGTCAAATAATGACACAAGAACAAGAAACGATCTTCAAGACTTAGCCGCAGGCGGCGAATTTGTTGAAACAGGCGGTGACATAAATGGCATTTACAAAACTCGTGAGTACCACATTGTTGGCGTCGGGCTTCTCCATGCTAACCATTGAAAAGTATCGCACACGTACACATATCTCAAGCCCGAAGAAGATAAATACGTGCCGAACATGACATCAAATGATAACCGCATGGAAATTCGGAAAAACTGGGATATGCTGATGCCGCGTACGAAACCGATAATCCGTTGTCGGCGTTATAAGATGTGCTAATAATATTTGTAGTTGGGAGCGGAAGTGTTCTTATTCCCAACTACCGGGATCACCCTTTGCTCGGAGATCCTATCACAGATGACCCTATTCGTTCCGGACCGTTATTTGAAGCGTCATGGACGCACGCATTACACTGTGTAAGTCTATGCTACTCCCGCTCGTCCCCATCTGTCAATATTCCTTTTCTAATCGCATTACATCCCTTGTAGCTATATTACAGCGTGGATAGTTACCACCAGTTGATAGTGAATGGACCCAGCGAAGACGATAACCCGAGACATGCTGCCCATTGTTTCGAGTATCTTCGAAATAGTATTCTGTGCAATCTTGATATGACCTTGGAAGGATCCATGTCAACACCAGATGATAAAGAAAGAGGGCAACCTCATGTTTGTCGAAACCGAGAAGAGGCTATCTCTTGGATCGAAGCTAGGAGAATGGATGATGCACAGGACATCGTTGGTCCCTAGAAATATGTCTTTTCATAGTACCTGTAATATTGTATAGACCACCATTGAGATGAGTACCGCAAATATGTGCTTATGGAATGTATTTTTGTGTCAAAAAAAGTAATGGCCAGTAATATACGTCACAATGGCTCAATCACAATGACAAATCAGTGGCAAGGATGCGCAATGCACAATCACTAAAGGAGACACCAGAGTATATACAATTCATTCTAATTTTTTTTTTTTTCAGTCTTCTTCTAGTGTTAGTGCGGATTACATATCACATTATATGTCCCCTTGTATACATGTAGCTAGAATCTATTGAGAACTGATTCACACACTGGCTGATCCATAGCTATAGAGGCTCAGTCTGTTAGAACCACCGCAAATTTCAGCAGCGTTGCCAGCACAATTCATGTTGCACCCAGCGTTTCCGTCTGGAGCGATGGTATTGCCATTGGCGAGGCTGTTACCGCAGTCTGGAATTTGTTAGAGCTAGAGCAAAAGAATCACAAGCTGGAAGGACACTTACAGCACTCATCAGCGAACTCGAGGCCTGCAAGAACATAGCCCAAGCTCTTGCATACACTTTGACATGCCTCAACAGTCATTGACGTTGGCCCGTTGGGAACGCCCTCGGCAATCAGTGCTCGAGCGTTGACACTATCTGTATAGCATCCTCTGGAGGTCCATCCGGTGGTCACGGGGGGAGGAGCTCCAGTTGCGGTCGCCACTTGGTACACGTTAAGGCGATTTGGGCCTCCACATGTTTCCTGGGGCGCACCGCTGCAGGTCATGGTGCATTGAGCATTTCCGTCAGAAGCAGGGCCGCCTCCGTTTTCGAACTTGTTATCGCACCCTGGATACCGTTAGTCCTATCAGAGTATTGCCGTCCTCGATACAATACTTACAGCATTCTCCCGAGTACTCAACACCCGCAATCGTATATCCAGCAGCTTTGCAAGCCGTCTCGCACGCCTCGACCGACATGGCAGATGCACCTCCTGCGACTTGAACCTGGTTGGCTAGAGTTCGGCCATTCACGTTATCAGAGTAGCATCCCAGGGAACTCCATCCAGTTTGCTTGGGCGGCGACGAGCTAGTGGTGATGGTTGACATTGTTGTCGGACCCTTTGTTGTGGAACTAGGAGGAGGGGGGTTCGTGCCTCCACTGCCAGAAGCAAGCCGGAAGAGAGCAATAACATCAGCGAAGGCGTTGGCATTGGCAGAAGAAGCCGCCAGCACATTTCCATTCTCCGTGATCGAGTTGACGACGCCAACTGTTCCCAAGTTGTAGATGTTAATGTTGGTCAGCGTGCCTTCGAGGTCGACGATGTTATTTTGGCAATTTTGCGGCTCCACACCATTGTTGCAGCCTTTTACTTGTTAGCTTACTCCTATAGATGGAAAGAGACAACGACTTACCTTTTCCATCGTTATTTTCGAAGAAAGAATACAAGCCGGCAGCATAGATGAGAACATTCTTGGAGCCAAGGACTCTCAGGCCCCAAGCCTCAGCACATCGGCCAGATTGGCCGGCGCAGGAAGTTGCAAAGTCGGGGTCATTTATAGCAGAATTGACGGTGAAGGGAGTTGGGGCAAGGGGATTTGGTTGATAGTACCTGGTCGGAATTTATTAGCCATGAGCAAATGAGGGTGGTTGATATACCTACGGTGTCTCTGTCTGGATAACTCCTGCATAGATGTTCTGGGTGTTGGCAAACTGATATTGATACAGAACATGGTGCTCAACAGCGGTTCCAACACTGGAAGAGTGTGTCAGTAGATTGCTCAAAGTAAAACAGAATAGAAAACTTTGGGACTCGGATAGAAGAGATCACATACAACCAGAACGTTCCTGTAGTGCTTTCCACATACAAGCCTCTGCCGCTGAAGATGGTGATTTGCGAGTTGTTTGCGTCCTCAATGTCGTGGTCTGCAGTCCAGAGCCAGTTCTGTTCACATTAGCTAGGGACTATGTTTCCATACTGGGTTAACTCACATTCTCCATGTACAGGTTGCTTGCGCTGGACGTGATATGCATGGACATGTAGGCACCGATACAAGCTGTGTTGACAGCCGTGCTGCCTGCAGTCACCGGACATTGTGCAAGCTGGAGGTTTGATCCCTTGAAGCCACCAATTCTGGTATGTACGTCCCACATACCACTGGGGGTTCCAGAGGTAGCCAAGTTCCACTCGATGAGAACAGCTCCAGCTTGTGTGCCTTGGGTGGCTACGATCATGTCTGACCACTCCACCTGCCCAGTCTGGCCAGGTGTACCCACTTGAACAACAGGCTTGGGGTTGTTCTGGTCATTGAAGAAACTTCCAGAAGACAAGATGATGGGGTATTCCTCTCCGACCAGCTTCGCACCAGGGGGGATCTTGAGGGTGCTAGTAACGCGGTAGATACCGGCATCAAAGTACACGATTTGGCCTGCAGCGGTTGCACTGTTGATGATGTTTTGTAGAGCAGCGGTGTCGTCCGTAACCGCGTTACCTGGATTCGCACACTAGGTTAGCACTCAATTCTCTACAAATCACAGGCACTCATGCTCACCAGTGGCGCCGGCAGATCGAACGCTCTTGAATGACGAAACCGGCAGGGTTTCGTATTGTGGCTTTGAGCGCGTGTAATATTTGGATCCGCTCAAGAGTGATGAGGGACGGGCATTTGCTGCGATAGTGCCTTGGAACGATGTCGGTCCATTTGGAGTATACTGGTGGCCCTGACCCCATGCAGCGATTGTCGTAGTTCCGCCAGCCAGAAGAGTAGCACCGCTGGTCGATTGAACGGCCACCGGAACATTGTTGAGAGAAAGGTTCTCAATGATGAGGCTGTTGGATGTGGGGGGCGTCTGGTTCGCACTGTAGCTGGTCCTGATTCCGATTGGTGTTCCGGTGATAGAACTGTCGATCAGTGTGATAGACTCGGCGGACGAGATGTCAATTCCCAATCCACAGTTGTTGATGCTGATGCCCTGGTAAACCCACTCCCAGGTAAAGCCACTGACAATGGCTGTCCCACAGTTGTTGAATACCAAGTTGCGCATCGTGAACTGTTGATTACCTACAGCTGCACCGATCAAACCACCGTTGAAAGTCAAGTCTGTGAGGAATCCAGCAGAGCCTATGGAGCTATCAGCTAGGAACAGATGAAAGAGTGTCGTGGCTCTGTAAGACATACCGTTTTCCACGAAAAGACCAACTTGTTGGTTTCCAGACGCAGTACTCATTGTGACCTGGATGTTCTGCAAGCTTGTCGCCTGGGCTGTCGGCCAATGGATACCATAGGTCTTGGGTGCAGAAGCCGGCATAGATGTCATATCAAGCTTAAAGTTGCGCACTTGACGATAGAACACGTTGGTAGAAATCCAGTTGGGGTCATTGGGGTTGTTGTCGCCATAGTAGGTATCACCATCAATGAGAGCAATACCGTTAAAGTTTGCCGTCGCCTTAATGGTGGGAAGATTGGTCGCATCACCAATGATGTTGGTATAGTATTGATCAATGATGGGAGTCGAAATCAGGTATGTTCCAGCCGGGAAGTACACTATCGCTGGAGTCAAAGTGCTGGATTTGCAGAGTCGGCCACATCGACCCCCTGACAGGATGGCATTGTTAATTGCTGCCGTGTCGTCGGTAACACCATCACCTTGAGCATTCTACGTCAGTAACTGTAAGACACCTAACAAAATGAGGGAGAATAATTATACCCTTTGCGCCAAAGTCCTTTACATTGCGGTATACGGTGTAACCACTGGGTGCGAAAGGCGCAATTCCTTGTTTGGCAATATTCTCATACCAATAAGACGAAGCACGCTTTTCCACAGCCGGTTCAGCCTCGGCCCCAGGGACAATCACGCCCCGGCACGTCGCTGCAAGCGCGAGGGCCGAAAGCACGACGGAGCGCATGAAGCCCATGATGATAGAAGCTCTCTGCGCAGCTTCGCAGTTACAATGGATGAGCCAAGTGGCAGGGTGAGAGAAGAGACTTCCCAGGGGGCTCTATGCTCTTAAATCATTTTGAAGAAGAATACTGAAACACGGCAAGTGGGCATGGATAAATTACGCTTAATGGGAGTTGAGAACTCCGCGATTCAGTTAGACAAAAGAAAAGGGCCTTTTAGTCAACCACGAGGAAGCTGTTCATGAGCCATAGATGGAGAACGACCGAGAAAGTCATCGCGATTGCGTTGCGAAAGACGAGCTATGCTGGCAATAGCTCGGCACCCCTTACCCGGTAACCTTGCTCGTGGGTAAACAAATAGGGCCCAATAAAGAATAGGCCCGAGATGATGCCAGCTGTTCATGCTAGTGAAGCGTTCTTTCTATGCATCTTTGGCGGCAGAGAGTCCGGGGTGGGAGATGTGGGCTTCGGCGATGTTTGGCGGTTGGACCGACATGAAGCCTAGCCATCTATCCGAACGGTCACGCATCGAACGGGCGCTGGAGCTGTGGGAAGAGAGACTGAGAACAACGCCGAAACCAGTCTGGACTCTGGACGCGGCGCTCTCGCAAATCAAGTTTCCGCAACTTGGGGGTGGAGCGCGTGTTCAGTTTAGCATTTCTCGCGCCGAAACCTGCGATGCTCAAAGGGGAAAAGGCCCAGACAACGTGAGATGAGCAGAGGCAAAAGTCATGCGGTCGCGGAATCTCGGACTCCAGGGTCAGCCCAGCCCAAGTCCAGCCCCATGTGCCGAGTAGCTCCGAACACCGGTACCAGGTAGCATCTCATTAGGACCGAAATCTGCTGCAGAGTTGTGGCCTCTTGCCGCATATATGCGGGGTGATAGCGAGTCTGGGGTCGAGACTCCAGACTTCCCCAGGTTGACAAAATAAAAGCGCGGAGAGCAGGACGAGGTGTAATTGGCGCGGACCCCGGCAGATCGGCAGGGCCAAAATACGGCCGGGAATCACCTATGACCTATCGGTGATATGCCACAGCGGGACATGCCTAGGCAGAATTGCCACATGTGGCCACGGGTTGATTTGAATGGGTTACTTTTGTCATTTCATTCTCCCACCACTTATCTCCCACACATATTAAGATGATGTAATAGTTAGTTGACGGCTCAATCAAGCCGACCTGGTCTGTCAATTAACCCAATTAATTGTTGCCAGCTATACTGTGGTCATGAGAGCTCCTTTGTCTGGTCCGTATGCTGCGCCCTGTCCTCCCGCCCTTTTCAGATTCAGTTTTTAACATCGCTTGCGCAAGAAGAATTACTATCGCATGTTCAATGGAGTCAAGATTGAATGAAATCTGCCATGGAATGTGCTTGGTGGAATATATTTAGATATGTAAGCAAACTACTCCGTGCTCACTATGAGATTCGGTTCGGGGTGTGTGGGGTTCAAAGAGAAAAAAAAAATCTCAGAGATTCGCTTTGTGGTCCGATAACTTGAACGTATCTATAGTAGCTTATTAAACAGTTGAACATGATGAGAAGTTTTCCAAGGCATCCATGGGCGAGAATTATCACTTTCCGGTAATAAAGCCTCTTTCCAGGTTGAATTACATATCCTAGAATAGTACGTAGAATACCACGATCAAGACTTTGGGCATCTTTCTGTTATCATGTGTAGGTTAGGTATAACATGGATTTTATTAATGACGAGTCTTAGTTATCTATCATAATCGAGGGTAGGGCTCTTATAGCTCTTATACATGATCTACTCCGTATGAGATCCGCAGACACAGATTGGTCAGGGATACCCTGCAGTCACTACTTTCCGACTAAACCAAATCATGTTCCCATTCAGTGCCGGCTCAAGGTCTAATCCCACTTGAGTGACTTTATCATCAGCATCTACTTTAAACGACGCTCGTACAACCAAGTGGTCGCGTGGATCTTCGTTCAAAGTCATAAGAGTGGCCAACCAAGATTCCTTGCAGACATGCACCATCCGTATCACCATAGGGATCTCTTGAGCAAGACGCGAAGCAAATAATGAATCTCCACGACACTCCAAAACTAAATCGCCATAACCGGCGTGAATATAGTCTCCAGCGTAAGATTGGTAGGGAAGAGGAGGTGAACATCCAGGGCATGGGAGAGACGGGTAGAGGGTTTCTGGGGAGCAAGCGATATCCGATCTTCGCTGGGCAAGACGTCCCTGGAGTTCAATATTCCAGTCAACTCTTTCATCTTCAGGTGTCCCAAGGAGATCATCAAGCATCCCCATATATAGAGCTGTCTGGACGCAATGGCTTGACCCTCTTGTGTTTCCCATCATTACCAGCCCCCATTGGCGATCTGGCAGATACATCGCGGTGGTTCCAAATCCAGTCCAACCACCACTGTGCCATACGATGCGTTCCCCGCGGTAGTGATCAATGAACCATCCCAAGGCGTAAGAATGCGGTACCGGGAATGGATTGTTACCGGGGGCTGAAAATGAGATCCGCGGGGTAGTAAGGGTGGTATGCGCAGCCGGACTTATAGGCGGAGACTGCGTCATCATGCACTGCAGCCATTTTGCGTAGTCAACAACGTTGCTGATAATAGCGCCCGCCCCTGACACTGCAGGAAAATCAGGCACTGGCTCTTCCACAAACGATTCATTCGCTTCGCTCCATGCGTATCCGCGAGCTAGGACTGTTCCTGATGCTTTGGCTTCCATTGCTTCTGCCGGCGTCCAATAGGTGCGGGTCATGCCCAAAGGTTGCCAAATGTTTTGTTTCATGAAATTGCCCAGACTCATTGAGGTCATAGTCTCCATAGCATGTGATACAGTCGAAAACATGTAGCTACTATAGAGATACCGTGTACCTGGTTCTGCAGCTCTAGGGAGATGCCTTAAAGAGCGGACAACATCTCTTACAGATGCGGATTTCGGCTTGAAGCTAAATTTATGGTCGGGTAAACCAGTCTGATTGCTGAGTGCATCTTCTAGCGTGATACGGGAGGTGATGGAATCATCGTCCAGAGCAAAGTCGTCACCTAAAATTGAAGAGAGCGTTGTTTGCCATGACAAATTCGATGGACAGTGATTGAACGACGAGCGCAAATCCGCATTGTCCACCAGTAAAGAGACGCTAGCAGCAGTGAAAGCCTTGGTAGTGCTAGCAGCAAAAAAGACTGTTTCTGGCGTTACAGCAATATCAGGTAATTGTGCAAGACCGTACGCCTAAATTCTGGTTACTTCTGCCGTCATACTCTTTAGATAATGGCGTACCTTGAAACTGGTCGAGGAGCCTTGAATAAGTCCAATTGCTAGGCCGGGAACATGCCATGCATCCATCAGCCTTTGGGCTTTTTCGTTGAATTCATCGTTAAAGTATGAATCGCTGGATCGTGAAGGATCATTTACGTTGTTTCGCTCCATCTGAACGGTGTTGAGTGACTTCGAAGTAAAGTGGTCAATGAGTAACCTCGTAAAAAAAATCGCCCTCGCTGTATTAGTGTCCGCTTCTCTGCAGTAAACATATAACCTTTGGACTGTATATAGGCTGAAGAAAACAGGGGTGCATGTGGTTTAGAGATATATGTATAGTTTCTTTTGACTCTCGTAGAGAGTGTGGCGAAAGTCCACTCCATCATCGGGAGTCCGCATCATAACATGCGTATAGTAATACGACACGGTGGGTACAGCATCCGTCATAAAGGATTCTTCCACATGTTATGAGTCACATTAAGGTAAATGACAATAGTTCCTTATCTCAGCGGTCCTTTTGGAAATTGAACATCATACTAATGGGTAAAAAATGTTTAGTTTAGTTTGGATGTTGAATACAAGCGAGGAAAGCGAGAAACGGTCACCATACAGAAATAAACAAACCGTACACACCCGCCACGCTAAACTCGCCTGCAATGGCGATCGTATTCTCCTCATATGTGCGCACACTCATTTTGCTGCGCCAGCGCACCGACACAATGATTAAGGAGGCAGCTAAGATAATACGGCTTAGACTCTCTCGCTCTTCTTTTTTCGCAGCATAGGCACTGCCGATGCTTCCACGCCAGAATCGTTAAGGAGCTCGCTATAGCCCCGCCGTTTATAGAATTCGGGTACGGCTCCATCTAAAAAGAGAGGGACGTCGATTTCATCTGCTATTTTGTCCGCTTCTGCGAGAATTGCAGTTGCGCATCCTCGCTTTTGCCAAGTATTCCGAGTGACCAAGGCTTCAACGACTGTATTTACCGGGGAAAGATAATCAGCCGGAATCCATTTCAAATGAAAATGACGATGCGATGGACATGGCGAAGGCGTTTTGTTTGGAGAGAGACACTTACACACTCGAGGCTGGTTGCCCATGAGCTTGTTGTGGCGCTTCGTCCATGCGCCGAAGAGTTTATCCAGAACCTCTTGTTTCATTCCTCGCTGAAGAGGGACACCCCAGTCGTTCCATACGCTGGTAAAAACATCACCCGCGGCGATATTGTATACAGTTCCCGTTGCAATTGGATAGCCTGCAGTCAGCTATTAGCTACTTTAATTCGCAATAGTACTGTCGGGGTCATTTGCTCGCTTGTTGGCTAACCTTCAGCGTCTCGAACCACCAGCAGCTTGACGCGACTATTATCCGCCTTGAGGAGAGCCTCGAACACATCAGTTGCATACTTTGCCCCGTGGGCATTATGCGGGTAGATGTTGTAATCTCCTTCTGGATTCAGCCCCTCATTGACAAGCTCAATCAGCTCTGGTACATCTGCTACGGTAGCAGGTTCTACTCGAATTTGAGCATCAATCGCCATGTTGACTTGACTTGCTGAGGGAAGAGTCTGCGAGTTTAGAGCGGGGCAAAAAGAGTCGTAAAACCTCTGTTGGTCTCATCGCTCATGCTCGCTCACTGGTACAGACCATCCTTTAAATACTGGAATGAGGACCCCTCGAAGGATTGCATCGTTCTAGACCTATGACCTTTTGTTATCACTCGTAGCCCATCGCCTCCTAACGCGGTGTTATAGCGGGCTTTGGGGTGGCACTACGGACCAAGTGTGAAGAACCTGTGTAAGCGTGCAGCCAATCAGGACGGCGGCTACAAATATCTGCCCGTGCTATTTGTGCGGGACTACCCTCTGGCGGTGCCATTTTACGGGTGCCAGCGTCAGCGCTAGCAGTATTACTCTCGCAACGAGTTTGACTCCGGCTTCTCGGGCTTCAAGTATATGTACCCATGACTGCGGTATCTCTGAGGCGGGCGCGTTCATAACATCGACGACCTAAATGGAGCCATTATAAGACTAACTGAGACGCTTACAGGCTTTCGGTTGGGGGTGTATTAATATCATAGGGGCTATGGATAGTTCAAAATTTTCGGGTTGGTTGTCAGATAGTCTTTCAACTTCACCAGCGGCAACTGCTGAGTGGTCGTACGCACATTACCCAGCGGATGCAAGCACAATCCAGTCGCAAATCCATACCTCCACGCTGTACAAACTTGTATGATGCCATCTGTCAAGAAGATTCACTAAATCTGCATGTGGCTAGACTATAGAATCAAGCTATTGCTAGATCACATGCTTCTACGAAGCATAGAAGCCAAAAAGATGGTAATTATGCACCTGGAAGTTGCAGATGTATGACACCAGTAACATATAATATTTCGAATTTTATTCAAATTGTGCATACACGACAATAGCTCATCATGGACACTACCAGAGAGTAACTACTCACGTCGACCTAAGACGGTTTGCCACGCTCGGCGCTGATGAATGCTGTCCCACCACCGTTTGACATTTGGGCGGCTATCTATCAGATCGGTTTCGCCAGCTGCAGAGAGTAACTCGCCCCAAGATAAGTGAAATAAGTCAGCCAGTGTGAATTCCTGTTGAACTATGTTAGTAACGTGTATCCTTAGAGCCTCCGTTATATGAGAAGAAACGTCTTACGTCTCCAGCGAGATATTTTGACGTCGCAAGTAGGCGGGATTCATATACGTCCAAGATCGCTCCAAGGTCAGCTCGGTGGCGTGCAACTTTTGCTTCGTCGACAAATTCTCCTCGAACTCTACGCATATCAGTAAAATTATTTGCATATCGTAATGGGGCTGTGGACTGGCACACTTCTTGAAAAGCTTCTCGCTGACCAAGTCTTTGGCGGCTGGGTCAAAGGTAGTAACCTCTACGCTGAGAAGTTGCTCGTAGATGGCAAAGGCTCTGGCGTCAGTCGGATCAACAGTAAGCTTTGACGCTTTTTCTGGATACTTTGTGCATAGATATTTGCTAATGGCTCTCGATTCTATCGTCGGATCCTTGTCAGCGCGAACTGTGTCCACAAATATCAGCCTAAGGCTCTAATGTACCATAGAGAACTAAATCATCGTCCATGACGATAATTGGAATCTTGCCAAAGGGCTGTCTCGCTAAGTGCTCCGGAGTCTGTTGAGATATCTATTAGAGTTTTCATAGATGACCTATGAAGCTGGATGGGTTGCGATACATTGTTCATCCCACTTAAAACGTCGACGACTTTGATCTTGTAGGGCACCTCCAACTCCTCGAGCACGGCCATCACTCGCCGTGTACAGACGGATGCAGGCATTCCATGGATGACAATAGACATCTTCGAGTTTTTCGAGAGTATAAACGTTAACGGCTCTTTTTTCGACCATGAGAAGAGGAAGAACATTCTTTCATGTCATCTTATGCTCACTTCGGCTACGCAATTATAAGCAAATTTGTCACGATCGGAGTTCCGATAGGAGCAATGACAAATGTTTATCACATTAGGTGCCATCCATCTTTCATGATGGAGACAACGGGAGCTTATGAAAGATGAAGATGACAAACTATCCGCTGACGCAACTGACCAAAACACCGCCATAGTCTCTTCTATCAGGACTAGCCCATTATAGCTTTTTTGAAAAGCACGCAACTGACTTAGACGTTGATAAGATCGGAACTCCGCAGCGCTTATACTGCAAAATGAAAAAGCAATTGAATTCCAAGAACCGTAGGAGTACCGAAGTGCCACTACCGCCGGGGTAAATCGGCGCTATGTAGCTCCTACGGGGCGTAATGTCGATAGCTAAGCACATCCTAGTGATGGATCGGATCTCCGCTAACCGATGAGACGTCTCCGCCGATCCGACCATCACAGTATGAGAATTCATCTGAGGAGGTGTAGAGTGTGGTGTACATATACATTTACATGGGTAGCTCATATATCTCGAGGACACACACTCAAGTCAGCATTGTGAACGCCAGATATTCCCCTCTTACCAAATTTACCATGTCAGAAACATACGAACAATACAAGGTCGATCTCGATGGTATCCTCGGAGACTCGGAGGAGCCATTTCCCAATCTCAAAAAGGTTAAAGTTGAAGCTCAACCTTTGCCTCTGGAGTTAGGTTACGTTCGAGTGAGGCTGCGGGCTGCAACCGTCAACTGGAGGGATTTACTCGTCGTCGAGAATTCCCCCTTGTACATTCCTACTCATCAAGGATTGGTTCCTCTGGGTGACGGTGCTGGCGAAATCGTTGAGATCTCGTCAAAGGGCAGCTTGTGGTCAGTGGGTGACAGAGTAATCACCGTCCCCAACTGTGGCTGGAAGCAAGGCTATGATGTTGCCGACTTTGATCCAGTCTCTGGTTATGGCTCATCAAATGTAGATGGAACGCTCTCGAAATTCATGATTGTTCGTGACGATGGCGTCGTAAAAGCGCCATCAAACCTCTCATGGGAAGAGGCTGCTTGCCTTCCAGTTGCTGGAGGGTCGGCGTGGAATGCCTTGTTTCACGGCCCAACGCCTGTGAAGCCTGGTGACTTCGTGCTCACCGAAGGCACTGGTGGCTTGAGTACATTCGCCATCCAAGTAAGTCTTGGTTCTTCTCATATCGCGTTGTCCATGGTATTCATTATGATGCTGCGCATAGATAGCTTCAGCAGCTGGCGCGTCGGTCATTTCCACGTCTTCTTCGGACGATAAGCTGGAAATAGCCAAAAAGCTCGGGGCTACATACACTATCAACTATACGAAGCATCCGAAGTGGTCGGAAAAGGTTTTGGAACTTACTGGCAACAGAGGTGTAGATCATGTTGTAGATGTTATTGGCCTTCCAACCGCGGCCGAAGCTGTACGGTCTCTCCGAACTGGTGGACAAGTTACATTCATCGGATTTCTTGGCGGACAGGCTCCCCCACCTGATCTTGTCAATACTCTGCTTGCAGGTGGCAAAACTGGTATGTATACAAAAATCCCATGATTGAATGTCCAGTATTTTGCTGACCCAAGAAAGCCCGAGGAATGCTCGCCGCAAGCAAGCCAATGATTGAGGAGCTAGTTCGCGCCGTGGAAATGAACAACATTCACCCACAAATTGGCCAAGTCTTTGATTGGAATGAAGCTAGGAAGGCTTATGCCGCACTTGCATCAGGCTCAGTGGTTGGTAAAGTCGTTATACGCATTTGAAAAGGTGTTGGAGCTCTACAGAACATAACTTTGTCTTGCTTATGTATCGACTTCAATATACTGTAAAGTAAGAATACAAGTAAAGTGTAGATATTTGATGTATTGCTATGCTGAGATTAAATAGCTATCCAACTATTATTAATGAACGTAAAGAAACAAAGATTGGGCATCTATTTGGATATATATTCAGGTCGGTTGAGACTGCGGTCAGCTTGGACCAGTTTATATCATAATTGCACCAGGTTAATGATGAATTCTTAACTGGAGATATTGGAAGGAGCATGGTTGGTAGAAAATTCCGAAATACTGCTTGTGGACAAGCAAGTAATCATTATGGGAGGGGGCATGCTCAAGGTTTGTTGAAGCTAAATCTTCAATTCTCTGATACGTATATGTATTCTGTACTTCATAGGGAGCATATATGCTGGAGTCAATGAGATATATACCTCATCAGTCCTTGTTATATAACACTATGAAGAGATGGTATACTTATAACACGGCTCAATAATAACTGAATTGCCATTTGTTGCTTCCTGATCATTGTCACATAATGTAGTCGGGCTCCCCTCACACGACATGGAACCCTGACTGTTATTTACAGTATACACAGGACTGGTAAACAAATCAATACTGAAGGCGGGAAAGCTATTCGTAAGACCAGCAATCAGAAGACGGGGTCTATAGGGATCGATGAATTGGCATTGGGAGGCGCTCTACTGGAGGCAGAGTCGATATAAAAAATGTCCACCATGTGCGAAAGGGCAAGTTGGGATTCGTGGAAACTTTGAGGCTTCAGTTGGCCAGGATAGAGGACACCTGATCAAGCTGTGAGGCGGGTTATGATATGGTTGTAGGGATGGTGATTTTGAGGAGATAGGAGAAGGCGATGGTAGACTCGTTGGTGAGTGATCTGTGTTAGTGGCAGTAGAGAGGTTGGACCACGGCTAAACAGCGTACTAGGCAGAATTATGACTGTCCCAAACAACAGCTTGCTTGCCAGGATGTTAGTCACTGGCCAATAAAACCAAGTTAATAGCCAATAATCGTCTGGAAGTGTGATGGATCTGGGAGCGGAACTGCAATAGTAGGAAGATATTTAATACTGAGGAGCGGGCTAGCAAGGGGCACGACAAATAAAGATGAAAGGGCCATAGTAGTGGTAAGAGCTGTACTGGCCGTGTACGTGGTACATCCTAGAGCGATGGTTATTGCGAGACAAAGCATGGTCAATGCGTGATGGGAATCTCCAGTATCTGGTTCGTAGGTATAGCTGGGCAATGGTTTGAATGTTCGTCTGGGGAACGTACCCCTGAGTTGTTCTAATAGAAGACTTTTAGGGGACATGAACAGAGTGTGAACTGTTGAGAAGTGTAACGAAGGCTGAGAATGTGTATCGCGAAAGTCGAGGCGGCGGAGTGAGAAGCACATGGCATGATGGTCAAAACAGAAGAAAAGGCGAAAACGAAGTTTTGTGCTACCACCAAACCATTTACTAGAGACCCGACGTTGGTAGGATCTGCCTACCAATATTCAGGGCAAAGGCGTCAATGTGGGCCTCTCGGACAAATTATATCCCATTGACCCGGTCTCCAACCATCTATTACTCCGTGTTTGTAAACTAGGTGGAACCCCAAGCTCCAAATAATGCAAGAGATTATCGACCACGACATTGTGGCGCCCTGGTCTATCATACCATAGAGTGAGCAAACACAGCCTCGGTATAAGCTCGGTGTATCCGGCATCTCGCCAACGACGTTACTGCAAACGACGACGATTTATCTCGTAAAAGTCAACTGGCCAAGTCAAATCTTCTGAGCCTAAAAACCGTAGGAAGAACTGATTTTGAACTCATGGAAGGAGAGATCTCGCCATGAGACACCTATTACATCTATATTCCAAGTCTACCTCAGTTGTCCTAGGTATCATATGACGCATACTCGTTCGACTAGTGGCTCGATGTAATGATGGTTCTGACACTTGAAATCTCTCGTAGGTAATATAATGCAGTATCGATTCCCCGAACAGCATCTAGTCTCACGGAGAAGAGCGCCCTATACACATAAGCCAATAGGACACTCTACCCCCTGAATGATTCTTCTCAATGGAATAACTGGCGTAGCTGTAACTATTTACACACGTTATATTTTAGCTAACTCCACTGATGGGTCGCAGGTCCAAAAGCATATGGATGACTGAAGATATAGTTATGTTTCTTTTGTTTACGTCACATACAGTTTCTACGGTTTTGTCTTTCTTCTTGTTCATTGTGAGTTAGTAGCACATCTTAAAGGGCAAGATATCTTGGGTACTGGTTATAGGGCCGGTCTCTTCAAAGTCACTTAACATCACTCTTTCAGGAGCTGGACTATCATAAGGATTTCTAAGCATTAGTTCGAATACTAAATAAATGCTATTATCCGGTTGATCCACATACCCCTGAGTCAATAATTTAAAATATCTACCTAGGCGACCTTGGGAATTTGAAGACTAGAGAACCAAAACGGTTGACCCATAGAAGAAGATACCCGGCGGGTTGACTAGTCAGGCCGCTGACTAGCCAACCCACCAGGTAGCCCAGCTTACTCTTGGCTATAAGTATATGGAGAGAATTATTTGGGTTGCCGCGCGACAGATGGTAAAAAACTAGGCTGATATAAGCAATTACAGCGACAACTGCAGTTATTCAAAGCTATTCAAAGGGACCACCGCTTTTTTCAGGGGACGTCTTACCAAGTCTCCTTTGTGGCTCGAGTGTTATGCAAAAAGCCCCGCCCTTTCCTATTTATATTTAATAGTATGCATAAATCAGCAAACTATTGCTAATAACTAACCTTAGCTACACCTTAAGTCAGACCACAGGGAAGGTGGCCACCCCTAGAAGGTGGCCACCGCCTTTTCCCCTCAACACCAACAACTACACCAACAACCTAGGTTATTACAACTGCAATTTCTTATCGAATTGTTAACCAATTTTAAATCTAATTGAATTTTCTTAACGGTAATGACCGAATCTATTAAATCTGCTATTCTTTCCGCAATTAACAACGTTAATAACGGTATATTGCAACGAAAAGCTGCATAACGCTGGGGAATACCCCGCTTAACACTACAGAAGCGTTTAAACAGCAGCTAGTCAAGGGCTAATACCCATAAATTTACCCAACGCCTTTTAAAGCAGCAGGAAGGTCATCTTATTCAATAGATTCTAGTCTAAACTAACCTAGGTCTCCCCCTAATACATCAGCAGGTTAAAGAATTTACTATAAGGGTAGTTAAAGCCAGCGGCGACAATCTACCACTTAAAAAACGATAGATTAAAGGTTTCCTAAGACAAAACCCTAAAGTTAGGACTATCAGAGGTAAGCTAATTAATTCCTATTATTTAAATAGGGTAAAGGTTAATATTATTAAGGATTTCTTTTAGTTCTTTAACCTCCCGGTAATTAAAAATATCCCTAGCAAATACTAATATAATATAAATAAGACTAAGATACTAAAAAACCGCAGCAGCAACAGGCTAGTGCTCAGGTATACTAAGAAAAAGGCTATTATAAGGAAGCAGCCTAAATTGCGATATTAGACTTTAATCGTTAAGTATATCTCAGCCACGGGCCGGGTCCTCCTACCGTTAGTTATTTTTAAAGGCTTAACAGTCTAGTAGTAATAGTTCCCTAAGGAAATTAAATTCCTAGCTAACTAGGCGTTTAAGGCATCTAAAAAAGGCTAGACTAGCGATAAAATTGCAATCTAGTGGTTGTAAGAGATCTTTATTCCTTAAACTTAACCTAGTCTACTGTTAAAGCAATTACTTATTATTAACAGCTACAGCAGCTACTATATTAATAATTTCCTCTATAAATACTTTAAAAATAATATTTATTTACTCTGCCTACTATTATATAGCTCCTACGTTTTTTAACCTCTTAATATTACTGTTTTTTCCCCCGTTAAGACCTATTACTATTAAGCTTTATTAAAATTTAAAAACTATAACAATTCCTCGCCAGCTAGGAAAAGGATCTTCCTCAAATACTATTACAAAGCTAGGAAGCTAGGCCTTATAAGTAAAAACGCATAAGCTGGCTAGCTTAAATCCAGTCTATGGCCCCTTAATGTTAATAAACCGTTAGGGAGCAAGCTAGTTATTAAAGAACCCCCAGAACCAAAGACAACCCCTAAGACAGCAAAATCAACAGCTAGGAAGAGGAAGGAAGTAAATTTAATTAATTTTAATACCCCTAAACAGTCGTAAGAAGTTCAAAGAGTTATACAATTAATTAAGGTTATAACGCTAAGGACCCGGCTGCTGTTGCAGAAGATTAAAAAGCAATTAGACCAATAGAATACTATAATAGCGGCGTCAGAGATTAAGATTCGTAATCTACAGCGCTAAGTCAATAGCTTCCGACCTAAAAAGAAATAGAAAGTAGAAGAAAACCTAAACAGTTAATTTATTAGGATTAAAGAGATTATAAATACAAAGAAGAAGATAGAATAGGAATTACAGTGCGCCGAGGCATCTAACGAAGTTAAAGTTAATAAATCTGAAGATGTATATTACGTATTTTTACTAGAATAAAGAAAAACAATAAGAAGATAACATCCTGATGTTATTGTGCTGATTTTTCCCTTTAATTTGATACTAATTACGGTCCGGCTTAGGTGGCCACCTTCTAGGGGTGGCCACCTTCCCTGTGGTCTGACTTAAGTTATTAAACTCAAAGTGATCCGAACAGATCAGGATTGCCTGTCTGATCAATGTTATCTCATGTAATTAAGATCATCTTGTTTAATTAAGGTTATATTTTTCTTCTTCTTTCAGCTGGACCCAGTACAGCTGAATCTTCACATGAGTCCAACCCGTAATAATTTAGCTACAGCTAGGCCTAATCCTGTGCCTTTCATATGCAATATGATCAAATCCATCAAACCGTGACCGCTTCAATCAAGTGAGAGCCCTCAAGAATACTTTGTCGACCCAAAACATTAGGTACGGTATCTAGTAAAAACACTTCGCACATAAAGCAGGAGACACAAGTATATGTAAGAGATTCCACTTTCGGTCTGTAAAGTAGCCGCTCCTAATTGGTGGTAAAATGCGATTATGCTATCTGACTATTTTTCAGAAGCACTTTAGGTAGTCTCATTTCGCGCATTTAGCCCGGGTTTACTATATTTGCTAACATAATGAACGAATAAGACCACACGTCACGCCCATATGCCTCGCCGGTTAGATGGTGATGAGAACGGTATTCTCCACTAGATGGGGAAGATTTTTCACATGGCATGTCAGCTATTGTTCATTCAATGGATGGTCTGATGCAGGATGGGAAATTATACAGTAAGCATTGAAACGTAATGTTGTTACCGGACAACTTGCCGAACCAGGAAAAGGCGTTACAAAGCGAAAGCAAGTGCCACCGGAGCAAATATCTACTAGCAATATGCCTTGATACCTGTTGTATTATTGACTGTTGGTCTTCGGCTGATGACATGAAGAATAGGCTAGTGCTGACACCAAACCTCGGACCCTGCGTGACCCTAACTAGAGAGTGCTTTCTTCACCACTACTTCAAGTTCATGTTTTGACAGCTATATAAGAAAGATAACCAGAACCTTATTTTGTCTCCTTCATCACTTGCTACTTATACAATTCAAACTTTCATTGATAATTTCTGATTATTTCCGTCCTGAAAACACCTTCGAAATGGCCAACGCAAAGAGAATTCTGTCGGGCATAGCGACTGTCGCATCACTCTTTGGCACTGTAATTGCCAATGATCCGGTTCATGTGGATGATTTCTATAATAATCCTGCCTCTGTCGCATCTTCCGGCGCACCGTATGATTGTGGGATCCAGATTCATTGCATGGATTTAATGCTAACAACTCTCATCATAGTCAATGGAACCTTCCAACCGGAACTTGTCTTCCTGACGCCGCCATAATCAACGGTGTTCAAAACGGGGGTAATGCCCCTGATAACTGCAACATAGGCAAATTAAACCACAATTGCCACTCGCAGCCCAATTGGAATGGCGCGAACACGGAGCTCTATTCTTTCCCAACTTATTGGGATCTTCGGCGTTGCAGCACTACCGAATTTCGCATCGCTTATAATGTTTACTTCACGAAGGTATATCCATTGCAGGCACAGCGCCCTAATTGCATGTTATAGCCTACACCTATTTCGGAGAGCTGACGAATTGATCGAACAGGACACTGGTCACAGACATGACATTGAATGGATTGTGATGGTATGGAAATCACACGATGGCGGAAACACCTTTATTCGTGATTCTGTTGTTTTTGAACAAGACGGATCTCATCCACACAAGTCCTGGGACCAAATTCAAAACACCTTTTAGTAGGTTGCCCTTCTCATGGCCTCGTACCTCTGTTTATGCATGCATTTGTCGCCACACTGATTCTTACAATCAACGTTTAGTGATCAAGAAGATTGGCTCTCCCTTGGCAACAAAAGCAAAAATCACGCCAGAATCTTTGTAGGAAAGTGGCACCATTCGATGCACGATGACCGCTACACCCAGTTCAAGAATACCTGCCCGCCAAATTCCGTGTCAGACTTCCGAACCGACGACTTCTACTTCTGGTCTGCACTCAACCTGACCCCCATGGATGTTATCCCAAGTACGTAATGTCCCTTATTGAATCCTCGAGCTCTACACTGTCAATCTTGCATCCCCACATATGAGCGAGTCCTATGGCATGACACGATGTAACTAATATAACTTGAAACAGCCAGCTGGAGTTATTCCCCAACTGCATTTGCTCGAGGCGACGGAATATGTAACCTTTAAGGTGTTGCCCTACCGTCAGTCTGAAGCTCTCGGTAGAAACTTGTCTCTTTGCAACTTAGGTTGGAAGAGCAGGTTTTAGGCTTCGAAAGCTGCAGCGGCTTTCAACTTTCCCTTCGAATTAGTTTCTAATTATATTGGAGATATCTTGGATATAAATAGGATTAGGTTGTGATTAGGATTTAAAGGACAGAAGTGCTGTAAAACTGTATGTCTAGTTGCAATTACCGTTGCGTGGCAAAGTATATCGTCAATTTGCATAACCGGATGCAGTAAGAGATTGGTTGATGATTGTGATGATATAATAAATTAGCAACATTAATACTCACGCCTGTTGAAACCTTTAGATCTATATATACCTTTATTACATATATTATAGATAGGTCTACAGTCGGACTACTATAGTTGCAAAAACATACCTATTATAACAAATAATTTTTTTTTAAAAAGCAAAAGAAAAAAAATATATTCCCACCGATTGGCATGATCGGGCGATAACTTTGTGTTTACTAAGGAGCTACTGACCTAACCGAGGCACTGGCTTTCTTTTCATACTGTCATTAGGTGCTTTGCGGAACTCCGCTAATACGCTTAGAACCGGACTTGTATTCTCACTTCGTCGTCGTAGTAGCCGTCACGTATCGTGTTGGCAACGTCGACTTGCGCATATTCATTCTTCTTTGGCCGATTCTATACCTAGCGATATTAGTCAACATGGCGGACACCCGAAACGCTCTCCCACGTCGCAAGGCATGTTCCGAATGCTATAGGTCGCGGCGATCGTGTGACCACCGGCGACCGTCATGCAGTCGATGTCTTGCGAGCCGACGGACTTGTATCTACTCATCTCAAGTCCGCCATCGAGGAACGGATGAATGCGCCAATGATGATGCATTAGCAAACAATCTCCTTCAACAGGGCGGAGATCTTGGGAGTGGTACACCTGATAGTACCTCTTCTCACCGAGAGCTCAGCGCGTTACCGTCAACTAGCCCAGCTATCCAACCTCAAGTAGAATCTTTTGCGTCATTTGACACCATAGATTCTGCAATTGAATTTCCGCCTATCAATCTTCAGGTAGACCGATTGGAATATGAAACGATGAAATACTGTGCAAAAGCTTTACAAGAATTCCCGGCGCTACTCGTGCGAGCTGGTACGACACCATTTATCCACCGCTCCATGCTCCATGCCCAAGGATATCCGACCATTCTGTATGACACATTTTCAGCATGCGCCAGCTATTTAACAATGTCGGAATCTACAGAACGCGTGGTATTTAGCATCCTCGACATTCGCACCAATCAGATTCTTCAAGCGCCTCAAAGTTCATCCTTGCTGGAGAACCTGGCCCGTATACAAGCATTGACTCTACTGCAGAGTATCCGTCTGTTTAATGGCAATATCAGACAACGTGCTCTCGCTGAAGCTCAGGATGAGTTGTTCGAACAATTAATCCTAGTCCTTCAAGCTCATCTTGCAGGCCTAAACAGGGATTTCGAGTCTTCTTGGTCAGGATGGATAATTGCTGAGAGTGTTCGACGTACCTTGGTCACGGCTTATATGCTACGCGGCGTTTACTCTCTACTGAAGAACGGCTACTGCACTCTGTCTCCTATAGTATCTCAGATGTCATTTACAGCTCAATCGTCGCTCTGGGACGCGAGGACGGAAAGAGACTGGAATCGTCGTCGCCGTAATGGAAAGACATATTTCGTGTCCTGCATGGACTTTAGCGATATAATTCTCAGCGGAACTCAAGACGACTTGGATGACCTAGGTATGATGATGCTGGTCACATATCGAGGATACGACTCGGTGATGGCATGGTCTCAAGGACAGCAAGAGGGTGTTTGGGCGTGGGCATAACAACGGGAAATGTGCAAGAAGTCAGCAATTGACTTGGTTTCCCGGGATATCGGCCCATGAGCGAGATACGCAATGCCATTGCTCATATATGTGAGATTGTTCATATTTCTAAGGCGACTTTCTCTTTGTCAAGTTCGAAAATTGTACCCAAAGCCTGCTATTTTCCTCTATTATCAAGCCCGTGACATTCACTCGATATTCTATCATAATATATAGAAAAACGGACATATTAGTCAAGTGAAAGGAAAAAGTGACTCCCTTAGCTCAAGATAGCCGTGCCTTCATTCCTTGGTCTAAGCCCTGCAAAGCTGCCCTCTGCTCGTACAAGGCTGTGGTAGCCGGATTGAAAATGATCAATATTATTCGGGACCAAAAAGTCGTCAGCTTAAATAATCTCAAATATTGAGAGAACGATATACTGGCGAGCGAACCACGTAGGTCGCCGATGTGGAATGTTGCGGAGCTCCGCCTTGAAAGGACCGCGCTGCACACCAACCATCCATACGCGTCGGAGACTGGCATAGTCCTCAAATCCGACATGTTCCATGTGCGTTTGTCAGCATAGTCGTAATATAGCTGCTATCTAGCTAGAACCTTTATGTTTTAATACCATCAAGTTTGATGTCAAGCCGGGACTATGATGCGTAGTCCGGGCAACGTTCGTATGACATATTAACAGACGGTGAATTTGCAAAACGAGATACCTGAAAAGATCGGAGTTCCGCTTAATTAATGGCTGTAATAGTTTCATATATTAATAATGTTAATTCCGACTTACTTTTAGGATTGATTTTCTTCAAGTATATATTTATACTTCTCTCGGACGCAGCATCCAGGTTCATCAACGCTTGTCAGCTAAAATGTTCTCTGCCTCCACATATTCTCTTGCCACTTAAATATTTTAGCATCCATCCACGAGTACCGAGGCATAAATATGTCGACAGAACTAGAATCGGAGCCGAAAGATATGTTGGCAGTGTATGCCAATTATGCCGACCAAGACAATCCTCTCCAAGCCCTAAGAATTGGTCGAGTACCACTTCCTCCTGTTCCGGACGGCTGGGTGCGGGTAAAAGTTTCAACCGCGGCGCTGAATTATCACGACGTGTTCACTCTTCAGGGAGTTGGGACTCATCCTCTAACTTATCCTCGTATTCTCGGATGCGAAGGTTGTGGCTATCTCAAAGACGGTACTCCTGTCATCCTGTATCCCGTCATGTGTGGTACCGACTACCTGGGGGAGGAAATATTGGATCCTGCCAGAAATGTGTTTCACGAGATAACAGACGGAACTCTTGCGGAATACGTTGTTGCTCCATCCCGCAATGTTCTTCCCTTGCCTTCCGGCTTAGATCCTATTGATGGCGCTGTACTCGGTATTGCGTGGCTTACTGCATACCGGATGATTTTTACCAAGGCGAATATGCGTCCTGGGCAGACAATGCTAGTCCAAGGCTCATCGGGAGGCGTATCCACAGCTCTCATTCAACTTGGCGCGGCCGCTGGCCTACGGGTCTGGTGCACAGGCCGCTCCCCAGAGAAAAGAGAACTTGCCCGGAAACTAGGGGCGGAGAAAACATTTGAGCCAGGTGCTACTCTTCCCCAGCAAGTTGACGCAGTGTTTGACACGTCGGGCAACGCAACCTGGTCGCATTCAATGGCGTCTGTGAAGCTAGGAGGATCAATTGTAACATGTGGTGCCCATGGTGGCTTCCATGTTTCACTCGATCTACTTCGAGTGTTCAACGACCAGATTAGTATACATGGCGTATATGCTGGAACATTGCAAGAGTTCAAGGATCTCATTCAATTTGTCATTGCGAAATCTATCAAGCCACGAATTGGAAGCACGTTGCCATTGTCAAGAGGAGACGAGGGACTCAAGGCACTCTATACTGGAGGCACGGACGGTAAAATCGTCCTAGTCGCTAATTAGGGTAATCATCAGCTACTCTAATCATCAAGATAGTTGGCATAAATTGAGCTTGCTGTATCTGAGCACTCTTTAATAATTAGCGTTCCCATTTCTTATGGTACATACCAATACAGTGCTTCCAAACTGAGAAAGCTGTAGAAAATACTTGTAATTCCGGCAGCCGAGATACCATCAGCGCTGCCCTGTAAAATAGAGAGTACAGCTGCCAGAGTGTAACCGAAATAGTCTCTTTAATATTAGCCCTGGAGCTTCTCTGGGGTCACTAGCTCACTATGGTAGCGCTATATCGGCAGCCTGTTTATCTACCTGCATATTTCATCATATATTAAATACCTCCTTCGTAGCCCATTGTACTTAATAAGGATTTATTCCCTTTTTATAAAAGCTTAAACTAAAGGCTGTAGGCAAAATAAAATGTCGCTAGCTCCCAGGTTTTGAATCCGAACATCTTGACTAATTCTTCTTTGAGTAGCAAGCTGGTCTAGTGGATGGAGAATTCAGTACGTCGATAATTTTCGACACCTAAGACATGGCCTTTATACAGATTGCGTCGCTTGTTTAAACCCTTCCGTCTAGAAACAGTCAGAGTACAGCACAAGATTTAACCTGGATATTATTTATAATATTCCACCTTCCAAAAAATATTTACATGCAGCTTGAACATCTCGTATTCCCACCCCGCCCCTTTCTTTCAGTCCACTTCACCGTAGGCTAGGACTGCGGAGTACAAGATCTTTTGAAGTAGATAGAATACCACTTCTTTTGACAAATTGCATATAGTTACAGAGAAGGCTCGGTTAATGTTATGTAATGTACAGGTTTCTTTCACCAGTACTTAATTACTACAAGTTAGACGAAATGAAAGTAGTATTATTCGCGTAGTTCGCGCTGGCACCTCAGGCAGCTAGTATCTGTTAGCAGCTCTAGCTAGGTAGTCATTTATATATTGTTCCAAATCAACGTTCTAGATCAGTGCATCACTATATTCGTTCGGCCAGCTTTTATCATAGAGTTCCTCAACAAGGCGAAAGTGGCGACGTTCAAGTACCTACATTTCCTTCTCCCCTGGGATGGTGAATAATTTGCCTCAAGCATCAACTAAGAACAATCATCATGATTATGCAAAGCCCACTAATGCTTACGATTTAGATGCCAAACTTGGTCAGTGACCCCATCGTCTTATATTGCTCGGATGATATTTGCTTAGCCAAATCGGTATTGAGGAGATCTATCGGAATATGTTAAGTAATTCTCGGCTTTTTAGTAATTCTCGGTGCACAAGGGGTTCACACGCCGAACTTGCCCACCACACCTCCTAACAAAGCAGTCAAGACGGAGGTAGAAGACTGGATGATAAAAATACCAACTAAAGGTGGATTGACTTGATGTAACCTCAGTAGTACCTCTAAAGACAGAGTGGCCATAAGGTGGAACATAAATGAAAACATGGAAGATGAAAGGATATAAAAGGAGGGCTGTCTGCACTCTAGGGAAGACAATCGCTTTACTTGCACTCCATCGTTGCAATAATCTAGTGACCGAGCTGAAATGATGAAGCTCATCTCTGCTATCTCGCTGCTACTCGCAGCTGTTAATGCCACTCCGCTTAATCTAGTCGAGAGCGACCTAGGATCATTAGAGAAACGGGACACAGAGATTATCTACCTCTCCAACTGCCTCAAGTCAGTTTCTTCTGGTAGTCCTACAGCCTCGTCGGAGATCATTGTAAGATCAAACTCTATCCTCCCACTGACTCCCTGTTATTGATAAGTATAAAGTATTACGCCGCGAGTGCCCAGTCGAATGGAGAGGTGCCACCTACTCAAGACCAGTGCACTGTTTCTGCCAGCTCCTATACAACTTGGGAGGGCCAGAGTCGTGCCTGTAAATTTTCCACTGGAGTTACCTTTACCTCCCACATAGAGGCTGGCTCGCATAGCTTTCCCAACTTTTCGGGGTAAGTATTCTTTTTGTGCTTTCTCTTTTTCATATCTTGGTTGGTAGACTTACGAACAGCGCATAGAACGGGAAATAACGGCAAAAATTGGAATTGCTACCGAGACAATGGGCGAGGGCTCTTCACCACCTCCGGCCCTGAATGGTCCCGCACCTGTTCTTCGGTGTATTATTGCGTTCCCGCTTAGAGGATGAAGTGGAATTGAGTGAATATCTGAGCGTATGTCACGCTAGATAGATGAATACGAGAAACAAGCGACCGTAGGCAATTTCAGGCTCAAGGGCAGCTGTTGGATGTCATTCGCTATGTTTATACTCCGGTCTTTCCCATAGGTAGCTGATAGATAAGAGCCCAATTGAGTCTACCTTCAGCTGTCTAGACTAAATAATGGAAATCGATCATTGTTCCGCCCGTCAGCACTTCACCCTGTGGCCTGAACTCGAACTTACGCTTGTTCAACAACCAGTGGCCTAAGAGACGATTTGAGGGGGACCATAATACGCTGGCTGTGGGTGGAAACAGGTTAGACAGCCAATCACGCATAATTACATGTGTAACCTTAGTTTTTTAAGTGTAGGGGTGTAAGAGGACACAAGGACACTACTCGTTGTGTGGCGGTCGGGATAGTTAGGGTGGCAACTACATCTATCATGTTTCGGGCTCTGTATGACATCTTACACCAAATGCCTGTAGCATTAATGGTAGCCATAGTCACACAACGAATGCAATAGCGCCGAACCTTTGACTGAAATGGGTATTGTCAGGGCAGGTATGTAAGTTATGCGCGCCTCTTTGAGACCAACTGGAATACGGGCGGGAGCGGCCCCGATTGGCCTCTAGCGGATACGGAGATAGCTCCAGCTACATACACAGAGTCACTAACCATGGACCTAGCCTTCCTTGGGAAGAACACAGACTTAGGTATTTTACATTGTGTAGGTTAATATTATTTGTAGAGGAATGGTAATGTGTTAGCGAATATAGGTACTGTATAGTATGTAACGCAGAGAGTTGAGTTCGGTAGCATGTACAAGATCGAGGTTGGTTCTGCAACGTAGAACTAATCTACATCCAAAAAGTGTGTAGACTAGAATTAGCCCTATGCCAAGTAGAATGGGCGGTTCTATGAGGACTCTTGTTGGCAGACTTACGCCCACCTTGGCAGGTAATACGCTGTCACTAGAATAGCGTTGCTATATATTCAGCAGCTTAGTCTGGACTAACAATAATCTGGCTCAGCCAGCGTGGCGATTGCATTTGACGAGGGTTAGAACGAGTGTACTCAAATATTATTAGACTACAAACAAATTGACGGACGAATTTCTTACTAACCACAGACAAAAAGCATGTGTAGATGGCTTCCCCTCGACAACAATGGATGAATGATCATCTTTCGACGAATAAAAAATCGCGACTCTTGTGTACCTAATACTAAATACAGTAATAAATTGACTTGCAAGTCACGCCGTTGTTCTTTTGGCTAATGCCATGTCCATCATCCTTATAGCATGTAAAACTTCTGGCACCATTTCCTCCTGATCTGTATGAGAATGCTGTTAGTTACAATATTTCCGGTAGCGTTGAAATTGTGTGCAAAAGGTTGTGTCCAAGTCACATAGATGTAGAAAATGCTTTAGGACTGACCCAGCTTTTTGATATGATGGATAAGAGCCAGCATTGGAGTTAATGCTCCATGAGAAAGTGACGCCTGTATCAGAAAACTTGCATGACCCTGATCCCTCCCATATCTTCCAAGAGTTTACAGTCGGAGTGCACGTATCCGTCGCGGTATGGCCACTAACTGCGTCGGCGTCGTTGGACCAGTACTGGGATGGAAAAGAATAATCAGGGCTTGGTCGTAAATATGTAGATCGTTGGTAGAAATAAGCTTACAGTGACCTCAGAGTATACAATACCACCGGGACCGGAACAGTTATCAAGATGAACCCCTTCACCTGAGCGCTTGACAATATCTTTATCCAAATCACTAGGAAGGGCAGCAACCAACGCGACAAGGGGTAGCAGTAAAGTGGAAGAGAATTTCATCTTTAGAGCAGTGTTGCGATGATGATGATGTAGTGTAGTATGGGTAATATTGGCTTGGATGTCACAGATTTCCACAGCTTCAGGAACTGGCCGCTTTATACATACGTTATCTAGCTCAAGTTTCACATCGGAAAAGGGTTGAGCAAGGCACCTGGTAACTGTAATCCCACCAAGAAAATTATCTGTGGAGCCAGTTGAGTTACCTATTTCTTTTATATAAGTGATGACAGATTATTCCGTCGGTGACTATCGAGCAGATTGAGATCTGATTTGCTTGAGTTTACAAGTTGTGCGTATAGCTGAGGTAGCCAGATGGATATCATTCAGTGGATGAAACAGGGTTTAGAGTCTGACAACACCGTATAACGTACTATCCCTCGGGGCTGATTAACTAAGAACTCCGTATACGAGCCTTTGTTACTAATAGTAAACAAACTGACCGTAGAGAGATCACCCAAACAACCAGCATAAGCAGTTCGACCCTTGCAGTTTGACATATCGGAGGAATTCCTAGCTTAAAGTCGCCACTTCTTACGTCGTTTATATCCGGTTAACTCTACTATGAATACATTATGACAAATTAGTCCGCCTGTTGGCTTCTTCTTTTCTTTTTTTTCCCGACAACTAGACGAGAAAAGAGCGAGGGTTTTATTTACTTTCCCTTTATGGAGTACGGAGTAGCTTAGTAGGCTATGCGCCTATCACGATTAATAGGCCCGGCTTTAGCATGCTCGCAACTATCGAAAGGTTAGCCCTACACATTCCGAGAAGTTAGCTCATATCTTCCGGGGAAATAGACTAGCAGACTATTTCACTGATCTCGTAATTAGAATAGTGATAATTAATAACTAAATTGGGCATTACCCTGTTTCTTTATAAAAAGCGAACATTTTCTTACAAAATAGTCAGAGGGCATAAGACAGAGGTAAGTATATGTACTCAATAGCCCACCAGAAAGCGCCCTCAAACTTTTAATTTTGTACGCTACGTAATAACATTAGTCCATCTAAGCATTAGAGTCTGCCGCACGGGTTACGAAGTGCATTTACGTTCTTCACATTCCAACCCGTTGCCATCTGTTTCACAGACCAACTTTGGATCTGACATTATCATGCATCTGGGATCAAACTTTGCCTGCTCTATTCTTCTTGACGCACGCCATCAGATGACTGTATGCCCTCTGATAATCACTTCTGATGAATTGATTCACATTCGTTTCTTCGTCTATCATGAAGTGCCATCATCAGCCATAGATCCGTGCCTACTAGGTATAAACCTTTATCGTTGGGTCTACCTCTAGGTCCTGGCGGATACGCTCAATAACTGTATCGTCTGAACGCATATGCGCAAACCGTTCTTCGTCTTCCACAATTGGTAGCTTACTGTCTCTAACATCTAGCTCGGTAAGTCGTGGCTTCGATTTATATACCCCGTCAAAGGACTCATCCGAGGTTAAGCCTCGAGTAATGGGCCCTGAGAATGCGCCTTTATCTCAATAAATGTAGCTGAGCCTAATCAATATTCTCCAAGGCCCATAGAGTTGTATATCTTATACGTGGTCAGAACTATAACAATCATGGAGCGTACGTTGATTCTTATGTCCACAGGATCCATCATGTGGCTGCTAAAGATCTACGCTGCAGATGATATAACGCCTGGTGGCATGCGCGCTAAGCTGCCAAATTGGGTAAGATATCGCGCACCCCTAGCTGTTTTCTTAGAAACGCCGGCCCAGATAGAGAGTACAGACACAAAGATCTTCATACATATGTCCCGGGGGGTTGATCATCATACCGGCGACAGAGCCACCCACAGTAAATGCCGGGCTTATATTAAAGTAATACAACCTACCTTATTCCACTTGAATCAACGCAACTGCGGCATACTCCAACACGTCTGCAGGGGCCGCGCAACTTGCAACCTAGTTGCTCAAACCCAACGGAATGCGCTGCCATGCCAGGCATTCCCACATCCAAACGGTGTCAGCGCTGCAAGCGACGTAAAATCAAGGTCTAATTTCCCCCATTAAGCCAATGGCCTTGATATGTGCTTACTCACACTCTTCGTAGTGTGATAAAAAATGGCCAACTTGCACACCATGCTATCGCGTTGATGCCGTCTGCTCCGGACCACCGACCGAGGCCAAGTTTGTCCACAATGGTATCCATGCCACCAAAGGAGTAGACTGTGATGCATCAGCTACATCTGCAAGCCTACAGGTGTCGTCCAGTGCTCCATCTCACGCCATTGTCGCCATCAAGTCTCGAGATATACCCGGCGGGGCGACCTACAGCGTGCTGCGTCTATCACAAGAGCCACGACCCAATCTCACAACTGTGGCAGATCGTCTGGCTGCAACTCTCGTCAGACATCTCGAAAATGGCCCGGATAATGCATTCCTGCTGACTGCGGGCCACATCAAATTTCTGCCCGCTCGTGTTGGAGCAAGCTCTGCGCTACGTGACTGCGTTGCCCTGCTTTGTTCCACATGGAACAACTTCCGACGGGCTCTACCAGTTGAACAATTAATAAATCCTGATGTTTATGGAAAGGCGCTGCGCAGCCTCCAAATTGCTCTCAATGATGAATGCCGGCAGCTTAGCACTGAGACGCTGGCCGCAGTCACCATCTTGGAACGAGTCGAGATTCTATTCGACGCGAGGCGGCCCCGCCATAGAGCATTGCATGGGCAAGGGATGTACGGGTTGATGCTCCAGAGAGGACCACCAAGACTCAGCGACGAGCTGGATACATGCTTGGCATTTGATAATCTGGGGCCATTGGTAGGTAATGTGATGTGCATAGGCATTGATGAGTTCGGGACTGACTTTATCTAGCTAGCACTCTCACTTGTCGAAGGAAGGCAAGTCTTTTATCTTACACCACAGTGGAGAGAAAGGATGGATGAAGCACTGAGAAACACTTTGGATGTTCCTAGTGAACGTCTAGATGCGTATGCTCTAGATCTGCATAGCAGTTATTGGCCATCGCTAGTGCATCAACTTAGGCTCGTACACAACAATCCTAGAGCAATTTCCATAAGAAAGAGCGCTGCTTCTCTGTGTGGGCGAGTTGTAAAGCTTGTCCCACAGCTCAGGATGCTAGGTGAAAGCATAGTCGCAAAGATGCGCAGACTGGGTAACATTGTTGAATTGCCAGACAGTGAATCTCCCTTCGGCATGAAGTATCATTTTGAGAACATGGAGTCCGCACAGTGTTGGATAACATATAAAATGCTCTCTATTGTCCTGAACAGAATTCTCCGCGCCTTGGCTATCATTCTAAATGATCCAATTGCTCTCTTGGACGATGAGCACACGACATTGTCTCGGGACATCTGCATGTGTGTGGCATACATTGGTACATTAGGTACATTGCCTGCTATTTCGGCTCAACCGCCGTTGTTCATGGCTTACGAAGGAGTCAATGAGACTGAGAGAGCCTATTTACGAAATTTTATTCGACAGTCTGACAGATTCAAGAGAAGATTGCCGCAAAGCGAGTCGGCATTGGAAAACTTTGCGCTCAACACAGCCTATGCACTCACAGGACGAGAAAATTTCTTTTAACATAAATATTAGTCACAGTGAGGTAGAATAAGCTGAACTTGGTCCTCCTGCCGACAATGTGCGTTTGACAGGTCAAGCTTGTTGCTTGACTACTAAAGTTCCTCTGGAGTAAGAGCATATTGGTCAACAGATTATCTAGCAATGCCTTCCGAGATAAGAGTGGAGTGTTTAATGTGCAAAATATAAGCTCGCAAATCCTTCTGGGATAAGAGTGGAGGAGCTTAGTGATAGCAATAACCTAGGCTACTAAAAGACAAAGTTAATAAATTGTTATCATGGACTACATGCTGGAATAAGGCTAGGCAAGGTAGGATTTTATAAGACACCTTAGAAGCAATTGATGCTGAGATCCGCTGTCATTGCTAGACTGTTTATAGGACCTCAACTACAGCAAATTTCAACTTCCTATTGTGGTGGTTAACCACCAATACTTCAAGTAGTAGCAAAGTCTTCCATACAATAAAGGTTTCAGTCAGAAAGAACCTCAGGCTAGTGCTGCAAGAATAGCTTCAGCAACACCAGCAGCAGATGCTGGATTTTGGCCAGTGATCAGCCTTCCAGACGTTACAATATGTGGTTCCCACACTGAGGGTGCTTTCTCATAGCCACCACTTTCAGCCACTAGCCTATCTTCCAAGAAAAATGGTACGACATTGCCGAACCCAAGAGCATCTACCTCCGCTTTTGAGAAGCCCCTAAGCAAGTGCTCCCCCGAAGAAAGCTTCACGTTGGCTAGAGATCCCACACCCGCGCAATCGGCGGCAACGATTTTACCTTGTTCCCAGAATTCTGCGGTTAGAGCCTGCGATTCCGTGTCAAAGGCGAGATCAAACATCGGCCCATGGCCACCAACAACATAAAGCGCATCAAACTCGTTTGCTTTTCCAAGGAAGGAGCTAAGCTTTTTTGTTTGCTGGTATACATCCTTCTTTTCTTTCAGAAATGCCATTGCATTTGGGTCTTCAATCGATAGCTGTATGGAAGTAGGATCTGGTACGGTGGCCCCTCCCTTTGGCGACGCAACGACTATATGGTACTTGGCAGATAGTAGGAAATATGGATCTGCAAATTCTGGCTGTAAAGAAGCAGTTGAGTGTCCATCATAATTCAGTAGTCAAAGGAAGGGAGATCTACCAGCCAGAAGCCGATTTCAATGTCCTTCTCTGGTACGTTGGTCACAGACGTAACGAGGAAGATAATTTTCCCTGACATGGTTCAAACTGTTGGGATGCGAAAACCGATCGTCCGAAACAAATCGTGTGTGATTTTTACGTCTAAAGGTCAGAGTTTATCACTTGATAAACCACTGTACGCGGTCAACCTTTTATATTAGAAAAATGATGCATAGTGTAAGCCGACATAAATCCGTGCCTCCCGAGCATTGTTATCCTTTCGTGTTTTAATGAGGTCTAGAAACATCCATGTGTTGTACCTTCGATGCAAGTGCTAGTCTGTTGTAGTATGAGAATAATATACAATTGTCATGAATCGTACCTACGGATTAGTGAAGTACAGTTTTCGAGGGGATATACTGCAACATTTCTGTGAGCAGCTTCAATGTTGTTACATGCGTAACCCCACTTGGGCGCGGGAACTGCACTAGCAGGTCAAGAAGCCATTAGTAGCGTCGATGGCCATATGGCTCGTTGCATTGCTAACCTCGGACTTGGGATGGAGACCATTGTTGGTTTGGAGCCATGGTGTGCGTAGGAGTCTTCAAGAGACTGGCGAGCCATGGCGTCCGGAACTTGGTTACTATGAGTAGGCTATGGATATGGATGTCTATGCCCCTCTGCCAGCTGCAGAAAGAACGTACTCTTTTGCAAGTAAAACATCTAACGCGTATGGTGGAAGCTGGTATCGATGCCATCCTTGGGCCGACGACAGCTTATATCGCATCCAAGAATGGCGAACCTAAGACGATGAGCTATAAATGGTTTCATCGTCTTGGACTTTTTAAGAGCCTCATTCCCATCAGGTTTATAAGCGGACAGGGAGCTTGACAAGAGACTAGTAGGCCATGCCACTAAGCACCATAGAAACCCTAGCCCAGAAGCATTATGACCCTAATGATACGCATGGATTGTCCATCAGCCTACAGCTGACAGCAAAGACACTGCAAGAGGACAAATTATTGGCAATGGTCGAAAAGATCGAGAGGGTTTGCATAGTAGGATTAAATGAATAACCAAGTAGCCATAGTGGTACCATTTCAGAATGGACAATGCTTTGCGAGGTCTAAGTGTCGACAGTCTTTCGGATCTCGGTAGAATGCGCCTCCCAGTTCCTTGATCATGTCACATTGCTCTTCCATGGTATCAGATTTCTAGATGATGCCGACTAACTCTTCGCTGCGTCCCAGACACTTGCGAGAAGCGCCCAGACACCTAGCGATCCAAGTGTGCGGCGATGACCGAGACTATTTGCAGGCCATGGGCCTGGTCTTTAGTATGAGTAGCTCTACCGACCTCGTGCAACTATAAACAAAATTAGAGGCAAGGCACCTAAGCTTCTAATTAATAGAAACTGGCTGTAGCTATTGGACACAACGGGCAACATCAACGCTATTGATCAGACGCAGCGTCGTGCTTATGCTACTCTCTAGTGCTTACTTCATACATGCAGCATCTGGTCTGGACCAATTTTATATTCGGCAGATTGTACGGAGTACTCCAGGGCCACATACCTCAAGCAACCCCGTCGCGTCCACAATTCACCAGTGATTCTGACGTTGCTTCTGCTCGTATTGTGTAAAGCATTGCACATGATTAGCTTTATCTAAAGGATGCCTCGTGGCGAAAACAAGGTACTCCGTATAGCCTGTCTGCATTATTTTACGATATGACTTTACCTATCATTTTGACGGTAAATGCACGACTCTCTATGTGTTTTCTCTCCTAGGATACCCTCCAGCCTCTGCCCCTGCTTCTCGCTGGGATCTATTCGATATATTTGGCACCCCGCGCACCCTAGGGATCTCCGATTGTGTTCTGCGCTGACTAGTTGACCGCTTCTAGAGCGCTTTGTTATCAAAGCAGACGGATGTCTATCCGACGTAATAACAAGAATTGATATGGATTTTGCTATCTGAGTCAGGATCTGAGACAGGGTTGCACAGTTACGACAGTACAACTACGCGTTTTCATAGACATTGGACACTGCGCCACCACCACTCTGGGAGGCCTTACCGAATTATTGTCAATATATCCCGGCTTTCATAACTCTTTTGGTGTAATATATAAAACATTTACTGACTATTATAAAATGTCGATAATTGTATAGTGCTTGCCAATTGCTAAACCTTCCTTGCCTGCACTCTGGTATGTTGAGTCACAGGGAGTCATTGATACTAATTGAAGATAGATTCAATTCTTTCACCCGTTGAAGAAGATGAAAGATGAATCATTCAAGTTTACCGCTATATCCGCTTATGGGATTTGTGTAAAGTCTCACCAATAATACATTCGTTGGTAATTTGTCCCAGAATACTAACTGACCGCAAATGCTCAATCTCATTAGAAGGTGGAGTTGCATGGATCAAAGTGTTTCAATTATCGGGGACTGTCATTCTTGGGCACAATTAATAAACAACAGACTCATGTTGTCGGTGAGATAACTACGTTAAGATGATGAATTTACCCTGGTGATACACCCCGGCGATAGCCCCTGGTTGTAGAAAGGTAGAATTAGTCCCAATGGCGGGGGTGGAGGCAACATTGCTTCAATATATATAGCTAATTAAATCCTTTTACATTTCTGTCAACTAACATAGACTCCAAACAACTGCAGGTTGACAATTATTCCACCTTATAGTACCAACTATTGTTTGACATCCATACTCATCTTTCAAAATGAAATTCTCTATCACCCTTATCACCCTCATCTCTACAGTTCTCGGCCACCTGGGCAATATTCCGTCTTGTGCAGTCAATTGCATCGAACAGTCAGTAGTCAAAGTTACTGGTTGTGGCTCGACAGACGTCGACTGTGCCTGCCCACACTTTGATGATATTGAAAATGATGCTATTCCTTGTGTCATCAGTTCCCAAGGCTGTGGCCCTGACGCAAACCATGGTAAGTATTGTCTCGTTTTATAAGATACAAGTACTGATATATATATAACAGACCAAATCGTTGCTGCTGCTCAGGCCCTTTGTGCGGGTCATGAATGAACAATGTTGAATTGTCGCTTAGGACAAGGAAATTAGCGACCTACCTTCAAATCTTCTAAGATGACCATGGCCGATGGAAGTGAACTTTGTGTACAAAAAGACTGTTCGAGAATATAAATACACAACATAATCGCAACATCTTGTCTCTCTATTTTATATACATCTATAAATAAATATTTCTCCTTTGTACCAGTCAGACAGGCCCAGCTTTGTTAATAATCCCAATTGCCAATTGATCACGATGTCAGCCAAATCCCCTGGTGCAACTGTCTTCTCAGTGGCTCTGAGCTTCCGGAAGATAAAGGTTTTCCACATCATCAGACACGGTGCCTCAGTGAGCATGATTCTGCCAATCAATAAATGCAAACCCAGTTTCACGAATATCCTCTTTTAAGACACGGGCCTATTGGCATGTAATAGCCATTTTCGGATTACTACTATAGATAGCGATGGGACTGAACGTAATCCCGAGATATTAGGGACCGGCACCTAATAACTACCTTGTAATAATCTTAAAAGATATATATAAGATTGAGTAGGCCATAGGCTAATGACTAGTACTAGATTGACCGCACCGCATTGTATCTATGCCTGCGCAAAATACCGTAGTAATCCTGCAATTATGGCAACGCCAAGACCCAGCAATGTAACTTTTTTAACAGAGTTTAACAGTACCATAATCTCACCCTGCCTTTGGCTCTCGCTGCGCGATTTGCTATCATTTAAGCGCGGGAACGGAATATCTGGGACGTCTTTGCCCAAGAACGCGCACAGAGGTTCCCATCCATCTCCCATGGTGTACTCCAATCGCTTCGCTTCTGGTATTATTGCCCTAATCTGTCTATAATATTCGTCATAGACTTCGCGGGCATGCTCTCGGATTTCAGATACACTTGTAGCCTTGAAAAATCCGTAATTCACCTTGAGCATGGCCTCGGCCGCTCGCGATCCAATCACACTCCTGATAAGGAAGACGAAAATTTGCTGCCCTGGGGAGAACAACTTGTCCAATACCCCTGCTTGGTAACTGTTCCACCAACTATCAAAATCTCGCTGAACAATGACAACTTTCGCGTCAGGGTAAGCCTGGATCAGCTGGTCGGCGAACGGGCAGGCTAAATCGGTAACTATGTCGTACTCGTTCCCCCAGAGATTATCCCAATCACTTCGCGTGAATCGTGGCCTAGGACGCGCATTAGGCACAGTTGGCCATGTCGCTTCTGCAGCCTGTTCGATTTCGTCCCACGGATTTCCTAAAATATCCTCTACCCCGTGGTGAGTCTTGTAGCCCAGGGTTCTATATGCTTCTGCGAGCGACCGGGTTGCCATGCGGAAGAGGGCGACATGAATGACGAGGAGTCCTTTTCCGGCATGATTATTGTTGAACTCTTCATTGTCACACATAATGAGATCAAAAAGCAGTTTTCCGTAATATTTGTGGTTGCAGAGAGCAGTGTGAGCGCAGTGTAAGGCGAGTTATGTTGCATGCACAGAGGAAGAAAACAGTAAATGCTTGCAATTGAGAATTCAGTGATGCAAAAGTGAAAGTAAATCTGACAATAACCCCAGCATCACAACCCAACGTTTTTAATTGCAACACGCGTTATGAATGGTGGATGGCCAATCAAATCATGGAAACCAAACTACAAAAGCTCTCTATGACATGGAATAAAGAAAATCGCGCACTGGCTGCTAATAATAACTAATAGAAGGCAGCACTGCTTTATAAGTTTCGCAACTAGACCTATACAAGCTTGGTCACTTTATCTTGGATAACATGAAAACAACTTTGTAGCAGTATTTCAATACTGCAGGTTAGGTCTAAGCAATAGTGCTCACTTGGAACGCCAAGGTGCGCATTGGTAATGCAACAGGACATGGGGGGTTCTGTCTGACCAGTAATACAATGTATCTTCAGTAGCAGCAGCGGGGTAGCAACTCCTCTTGCTCCTGTCCCTTGAATCAATTGGTTATTTTTGGAGAAACGTCTCAATTCACCTCCAGGGCTATCTATTGTATATGAAGTAATTCCACCATCAATGTTAGTTGGATTTTGCCCAATTATTTTAATAGACTACTTTCTTAATAACACGGTAGTTAAGTAGTTGCAGTGGAACTAGTCGCGGAGCAAGGAAAGCGGGTGCTGAGAAATCAGCCTCAAGGCGGAAGATGACTAATTGTATAATCCCTACGCGGAGTACGGAGTAACAACTTTATATTCTGAGAAAGACATCCGTCAATGGATTGACTTCTAGGCATCTCATTTACTACCTTTGCAGTCATGAGTAGTGAGCAATAGATCAAAAATCGTCCGCGAGGCCGACCACGAAAAGAAGTGGCCCATTCGGCACACGATGTAAGTGAACCAAGAGCAGCGAGTAGCCATTGGGATACTAATTCCATTCCTCTAGGCGCGAAGGGCTCGGGGACGGAGAGCCCAAAAGGCACTTCGGGAGCGGAGACAGCAGCATGTTAAAGCGCTCGAAGAAAGAGTCACTGGCCTTGCATGTATAATTGAAGAGATGAACGCTTCCTTCGTGGCATTTATTGATAATACCTTTTTCGGGTCAACGGATGTTAACCCTGCGCTGCTTAAACATACCATGGAGAGATTTTTAGGGCTGGCTCAAAGGGCGAACCGCCTCGTAGAGGATAAAGATCAAGTTCACATGGATCGTCAACAACAAGTCGATATTAGCTACAATACTCTTCAACTATCTCGCGTTGCGTCTAGTCCTTTGTCTTTCCTCCCAGAATCAGGTGGAACGATGGATACTTTAACCTCATTACAGCAGGTATCTAAGACAAGTACATCTATGATGTTACCGGATCTAGGACATCAGCTCTCTTTGGATTCCGCCACTTCGATCACTATCGAGTCTGAGCTACCCGATATACGTCACAACCACCTTTGGGGTATTCCCAAGGACATCTCAACAGACGTGACAAGCGCTATACCATACATCCTCGCCGGCCGCGATAGCTTTTCTTCGTTCCTCTACTTTGAGACTATCGCTATGGTGGGGAAGGCCCTTCGGGGAGAGATTCCCCAAGACATCTTGAACGGCGTTCTTCGGTACAAAAGACGCTATGCCACTTTCTCTCAGGTCTTGGATGTTGTCACCGAGGTCATGAACATGTTGCTTCACGGAACAAGCCGGAGTCCCAAGGTAAAGAGTAGAGTTCTGGAGGAGCCAGAGGCGAGTTTACCAGATCGGAGACACGTGAAAAGTGCGATAGCAAAGGAAATCGCATCGACGGGTACCCCAGATGTCGAATACCTGAGCACATGGGAGGTGGAGCGATATCTACAGGATGAATGGGGATTGCTAATCAATTCCCATTCTGTCCGAATATCGTCGCATTCATCGATCCGAACACGGCCACATACAGCCTTTGTTTATTTATTTGTTTATTTGTTTTATTATTAACGTCTACTAAGTAAATTAGTTACATAAGTCCTTATTTAGGCACTAGGACGGTAGAAGCCGCTGAGTTTAGATCGGGCGTTTGCTATATTTTAATGTAATAAAGGAAAAGGGGATATATTAATCTATTTTACGTATTTGTTTTTATAGGGGGGGGGCCGTATGGGCTTATGTCCTCTACTAGTTTTTAAAAGTCCTTATACCCTCCGTTACTAAGGAGGTATTAGATATAGGTAGTTCTAAAGTATACCTCCCTCTTTAGTATATTAGGGAGGAAAGGGGCTATTATATAATACTTTATAAAGTATTTTTATATTTTTAGTTTTTTATATTTATAAGTAGGCCTAGCGTTATATTTAAATCTTTTATAGTATTTTATAAAGTCCCTGTATTTAAACTTTTTAGCTAGCAGCCTATATAAGATTAGGCGTAGGAGATATAGTTTAGGGGGTATAAAAGGGGCTTTATAAAGGCCTTATCTACTAGCCTTATAGAACTCTAGGTAGTTACTTTCTTAGTTAGTATCTTATATTTCCTTACGTTTCTTTTTTACCTATCTTTTAATAAAAGTAATAGTAAAGTAGTTTCTTAAGAAGCAAGGGAGTTTTAAACCTTTTTTTACTAGTTAGTTAGCTTTTTTATTTCCTAGTATATCTTTATAGCCTAAGACCTAGGCCACCTTTGTAATTACCTATAAGAGTAGTTTCTAGGTAATTTAGCATAGCCCTATATAGGCTCCTTAGGATAAGGCAGAAGTTAGCCTTAATATTCTATCTACTACTACTAAGTTATTTAAAAAAAGCAGAATCTCTTAAATATTTAAGTTTATAAAGGTGTACGTCTTAGTTAACTTTATAACTTTAAAGGTACCTACTACCTTAGTATTATAAACCTCTGCGTTAATAAGGGGACTATATATTATAGTTCTTCTAAAGTTATAGTATATAACAGCTCCCTAGCTTATATTACCTTATTTATTTTATAAACTATCTAAGTAAGTAAAAAAAGTAAACTTAAAGAGGCTATTAAATAGTTCTAGGTATTTTTCCGCTACCTTTAACTTTAGTAAGCCTCTGAAGTCCAGGCCTACTTAGACTACTTTATTATTCTTAGTAAAAAGGGAGGGTTAAACTATTTTCCCTACTAGGGCTATAGTATATTATAGTTAGGTAAAGGGAACCTTAAGCAGGAGTTTCTTATTAATACATCTGCTAACCAGGTGGTTCTTATCTAGGCCTGTGAAGTAAGCTACTGTATAAAGTCTAATCTATGCTACCTATACTAACGCTAAGGGGACTCCTAATTCTCTATATATAACGGAGAGGTTAGTTATCTTCTACATAGGGACGACTACTCTAGCTGCTGCTTTAAATAAAGGTTCTAAGATTATAGTTAATCCTGCTAAGCCTGTTCCTACTTATTTATTTAGGTTTATTATACTTTATCTACTCTCGCTAGGCTAAAACGCCTCTATCCTATATAAGGCTATAGGGGTAATGCAGGCTTTAGCTACTATAACTACTATATTTAGCAAAGATCCTTTTTATATTTTATTTAAGGATTTTAGAAAGTTAGCTACTTTAAGGGATTTCCCTTTTATAATCCTAAGGTATTTTTTAAAGGAAAGTTATAAGTTTAGGTATATCCCTAGCTAACGGACTAAGTCCTAAGGGGCTATAGTCTTTCCTTTAAAGTCTACTCCCTTATTATATATTTAGGTTCTAGTCCTATAGAAGTATATAAGTTTAGCCTTATCTAGGTTAAAGGAGACTATATTCCTATTACCCTAGTTTAAGGTATTTTTTAATTCCTACTAAAGCTTCTAAGTAGTTTCTTTAGTATTAGCCTCTACTACTATAATACTAATATTATTTATATACCTAAAGCAGGTATTAGGGTTATTAAGCTTTAGGCTAAGGGAGAAATAAAGTATAAAAACAATAGGGAAAATAGGGAACCCCTGTAGGGCTTTATATTCCAGCTCTATCTTTAAGAAAGTAGTCCTATAGCTATTTTAGATAAAAACCTTACAGTTACTTATAAAAAAGTTAACCTATTTTATAAAAAAGGGGGGCTACCTTTATTCCCTAAGTTTATAAACTAAGTAATTATATATAATAATATTAAATATGCTAAAAATATTAAATATAAAGAAGGAGATAATAAGACCTTAGGCTAGGGTAACTTTAGCATTATATAATAGGTAGGTAACTAAGTCTATTGCAGACCTTTTTAAAAAAGCCCTAAAATATTATTCTAATAGTATTTTATATTCTATTACTAAGAGGGAAACTCTTTTAGCTAAGAGTTTTTTAAGGCCTTTACCTATGTAAAAAAACAGGGAGATAGGTCTATAGCCTTTATATATAGTATATACCTTCTCCAGCTTCCTAGGTTTAGGAATAATAGTAATTTCTGTACTTTAGAAAGGGAGTAGGTAATATTTTATTATTAAATATCTGTAGAAAAGGTTAATTACGTACTTGCTAATAGTAGGCTAAGTAAATTATAAAAGGGTGACTAATATACTATTTGCACTAGGTGTAGTATTTCCTAACCTTATTATAGCTTTTTTAACCTCTGACTTTAATATTATTTAGTCTTAGTAAATATTATTATTAATAGGAAAGTCCTCTTCCTATAAGTTTAAAATATCCTTCTTTATTATCTTATACTTAAAAAGCTTATTTTTAAGGAAAGTTACTTTTTCCGTAAGGTTTAAAATACTTTTATCCCCGTCTATTAAGGGGGGTAGTTAAAAGCAGTCTATTACCTTACGCTACTTAACTACTAACTAAATATTCCTAGTAGCACTAGCTTCTACTATAATTTTATCTTAGTAGGCTTACTTACTATAGTATATAAAGTCTTTAAGGGTCTTACGGGCTCCCTCTTAGGCAGGGGAGCTGTCTACTGCTTCTTTATAAGCTTTATAAACTACTTTACACTTTTCTAACCACTATAGTATATTATAGCTATTCTAGTATTTAGTCTTACCAGCCCCCTCTATAGCTTATTTAAAAAAGTCCTATAAAGCTTTAGTATATTTATTAAGGTTAGTTTTTAATAGTATAGTTAAGTTAACCATAGGGAGGGTTTAAGCAAAAGAGTATATAAGTTAACCAAAGTCTTCCTAGTATTCTAATAAAATATATTTTTTCCCTGCCCCTAGGGTTATCCTAAGGGGCTTAAGCAGGTTTATAATTACTATATAGTAGTCTAACCCTATATTAAAGGAGTATTTAACCTTAGTTAACGTAAGGTAGTTTATAAAAACTAAGTTAATGTATTTTCCTAAGTGTTAGGTAAGCGTATTTATTAAAGCTAGGAGGAGATTATGCTTCTCCGCCTATTCTATAATTTTATTGCCTACTAGGTCTACACCCCTGCCTAGTTCTTAAAGTTAGTATAAAACGTTAAAGTTACCTATAATAATTAAGCGGAGGGGAGGCGGGCCCTATTTAATAAAGGTCTTTATAGCTAAGTCTACTAAAGCCCTTTAGTAGACGTTAATAATAATATAACTATATACCTTTATTTAATATATATATTTATCCTTTAGGCCTAGGGGAAAGAATTATTTACTAAGGAGGTTTAAAGAGATTCTAATAAATATAAAAACTAAAAGTTTAGTACCCCTTTAACTATTTAAGGGGTTATATACTTAATATTTAAGGTAATTTTTAATTTACCTTTTATTTAATACCCTATCCTATTAGGCATAGGGTTCCTAGATTAATATAATATTATAGCTACCTTCCTATACTAGTAATAGGGTAATATCCTAGTATAAACTGCTCCTCCTAATATTAGCTTAGAAGATTTTAAAGCTAGTATTTCTTTAGCAGCTGTAACGGGGCCTATTATTTATAAGCTTATGTTAAAAGGTTTATTAGTTCTAGGGGGGGCGTTAAATATATTTTTATTACCTTCGGCTTCTTCTTTTTTATTATTTAGGCTAGCTACATAAACTACCGACCTAGCAGAGGAGGTTCCCTTATAAAGGTCTTCTTTATCTAAGTTAACTTTAATAATAACCTTTTTAACTAAAGCCTAAGGGGGGAAGGGTAAAGCTAAGCTAAAGATTAGCAGCCTTATACAGGGGCCTGTTTAAGTTTCTAAGTTAAATATTTTCTTAGTATTAAGGGCTAAGGTAGGGGCAGGTTTAGGTTTAGGTAGGTTAGCTTTATTATATTCCTACTAGCCTAATTCCTAGATAACTTAAAATTAGGCTTTAGTTATCTATACTTTTTCCCTATTTTTAATAATTAATCTAATAGAATACTTTAAGGAGTCCGCTGTATAAGGGCTATTATAGTTAATATACTAAAGTAAGGATAAATAGTTAACTATAGTATTTTTATATTTAAAAAATAGTTTACTATATTTATAATACCTTTTAGTCCTAGTGTAATTCTATAGGTTATAAAATTTAAAATACCGCAGGTACTAAGTAACCTAAGGGGGCTGGACCTAGATTTCTACTAGGAGGGAGCTGCTAAAAAGTTTAAAGCTAGGTTTAACGTCTTTATTAAAAGAGATAAAGTAGCTATATATATTAAGGGATTCTCCGAAGTTAGCTTTACAGCAGGAGATAGGTAGGCTTTTAGCCCCTGCCCTAGTGTATACCTCCTCTGGGATTAGTATATCTATAGGGTAGGTCCTGCTTATATTAGTATATATCTTTAATACGCTGCGTATAAGAAAAACCTTTTATAAATATACCTTTTTAATTTTTAGACTGTTATTCTCTACTACTAGCTAAAGTATAATAATTTTATTTTTAATATTTTAATTCTTACCTCTAAGGGTAAAGCTTAATTAAACCTTTTAGAAGTAAGTAATATCCTTATTTATAAGCTTTAAGATCTTAATTAGTTCTTATTTAGCCTTAATAGCTAATAGCTTTCTTTATATATAGTCTAGGGGGACTTAAATAAAAATATAGTTATTAAGGCTTTCCTTAGGTTTATTAGTTTTATTTATATTCTTTTTATTAATAGTAGGGGCCAGCCCTCTACTGCCTATAGAGGAATACTTTAGGTTATTAATTCCCTTTTAAAGGTTTTTATTATAAGTATTTTCTTATAACGTAATTTATACCTATATAACCCCAGGGTCCTTTTAGTTTACTTTTCCAGTAGACGTAGGAGCTTCTGCTATAGTAAGGGTCCTAATAGTATTTAATTTATCTTTCTTATTATAGGATATATTAACTAATATTATCTTAGTTAATTAAGCAGCTTTTCTTTTACTACTTAATTTCTTAGGGTCTTTAGGCCTCCCCTTAAGGTTAATATAAAAGGTAATAAAGTTTTTAAAAGTAGTATTTAAGTATAAGCAGACTTATTCTACTATTATTAAAAAAAGCTAGGAGGTATATTACGCTAGGCAGGAGTTAATAACTATAGTTATATTTAATACTATATTTTATTTAGCCTATTATTATACGTTAATTTTATTAATTTAGTTTATAATTTTATTTTTAGTAAGGGATTTCCCCTTTTTATTTAGGTTAGTGGCTTCTTTTACACTATTAAAGATAAAGGTAATAAGGCCTCTTAAGGCTGTCTATACTACAGTTGCTATCGCCGCTGCGCTTAGTCTTACTCTATTAAAACTAGGTAAAGGTATTTTATCTACGCTAAGGGCTTCTCTAAAGCGTCTTTTTTTCTTAGGGGTAAAGGGGAGGACTATAACCTCTTCCGTTTTTAAGCCTAAGGGGGTTACCTCCTTCGGTAGTTAGAAGGCTATTGCTAGTCTAGGGGCGACGGGTTTCGTTTTATTTTAGTTATCTAAAGGGTTTACAGATATTTCTATCTCTCCAGGGTCCCTAGATAGGACCGTAAATAAAAAAATCGTAGTTATTTTATCTAATAGCTAGTTAAACGGGTGGGAGTTTTTTAGTGGTTAGGTACCTAAAAGGTGGGGTACCTGTAGATGTAGGAGGGAAGCTTGCATATACAGCCTTGCTTTCTATATACCAGAATCATTTGCATCAGTTCGCGCCACACATTGTCCCTGGCTTTGCAAATGAGTATGAAAAGATATTAGAGGCGAGAATTTTGATTGAGAAATTGAAAATAGGTGCCATTTCTCTTGGCGAAGGACCAAGATGGCATCATTCCTTCATCGATCATGCCGTAAGATCATTCCTAATGGAGATGAGCATAAGTATGTAGACTTCTATAATTAATTAAGAACGAATAAGATCTCTCATTGAGGATTTTGTGTAAATAGATATGTGAGAGTAAAAGATTTGGGAACAAATGATAACTTGTTGTAACATCAACATCCTTGTGTTGAGCCGTAACCTTCCACACCGCTCGTTCACCAAGTGGTCTGAGTACAAGGCATACTAATATACCAGTGAGGCTTTTTTATATTCAGTTAATCAAGAGATGCATTGCTGTTCTAGCCTTAATAACTTTTAACATTATCGCTTACAATAGCATCGTGTGTGCAGCCGGAAAAGCGACAGAGGAAATTACTAGTGACAGAGCGGAATAACACCACGAACCGCATTATTAACTATTGCAATAATCACCACGATAGTTGAGCCAACTTAATTATGACACGAAAAACGCTCCATTTATTCAATTAATCGGTCGTACATTAATCGGCGGAGGAAAGGCTCCGAAATGGATGCTGCAAGAAATATGTGAATAACCATCTCTATGAGATCGGGTCGTGTTAATAACCAAATATCCTAGCGTGAGCTCTCTTTCCAAAATCGGATTTACGGAGTCTGTTCAACTTGTCTCTTGGCAATCAACATGTGGGGGTTATTTCTCGAACAGCCCATCTCGGTGCACTGTGGCAGTTGTCGCTATGAATACTAAAGTTATGACGGGTACCTAATGGGTTTATAGGTTATTATCACGTTTATAAATAAGAAATGTTAGTGGAGAATTTTGCTTGGAAATAAAAGAGTGTAAAGTAAAGTCGACGAAACAAAGTGAGTTGCTGAATGACCCATTGAGCAATCGAGGAATAAATGCTTCATGAGGACCTTTAAGCCCTTTGCGCCGATTGCATACCTGAATTGTTCCAATCTGATGCATTGTATCCGATTAACATTAACATGGCTGGAGATCTTGTCCTCATGACTGGAGCCACGGGCTTCTTGGGCTACCTTACCATCATCGATTTGCTCAAGCACGGATATCGCATTCGTGCTGCGGTCCGTTCTATGACTAAAGCGGAAGGACTTCTCTCTGCACCAACCCTAGAGTCCCTCTCTCCAACTTCAGAACAGCTGTCATTTGTATCCGTGCCAGACATGAGTGCTCCTGGCGCTTTTGACGACGCTATTCAGGGGGTCAAATACGTCATTCACCTCGCTGCGCCGATTCCCAGCTGGGGAGAAGGTGAACAAAACTCCTCTGTACTGGAAAAGCAATTCATTTCAGCATGCGAAAGAGGTGCCATTGAGATCCTCGAGGCGGCGGCAACAAAATCTCATGGAACTGTGAAGCGAGTCGTAATGACTAGCACCACTGGCGCCATCTTACCGATTCCAGTTGTCTCAGGCCTGGAACGCGACTTAGAACGAGTTTGGACTCCCAACGACCGAAACGCACCTCCGCCACCACCCTATAGCTCAGAGGTTGAGGCTTATCTTGCTGCGAAGAAGACCGCACTCCTTGCTTCAGAAGCTTTTGTCCGAGATCAGAAACCGCTTTTTGACCTTATTACTGTCGTCCCACCATGGATATGGGCTCGTGACGAGCTGTCAAAGGACAAGGAAGCCATTCTCCGCACTGGAAGTAATGGGGTTCTTCTGAGCCTAGTGACAGGGAAACGATTCGAATTCGAGATGGTTGGAAATGCTGCGTATGGAGAAGACGTTGCCCGTGCCCACGTCGTCGCATTGGACCCTCATGTCCCTGGTAACCGGACGTAAGTAATTAATCGCGAAATAGTTTGGAACGATGCGATTACCATCGCAAAGAAGCTTTATCCAGAGGCCTTCGAAGATGGAAGACTAAAAGCGGGAAATTGTCCAAGTGTTGTTATCAAATGGGATATAAGCGAAGTAAGTTCAAGTCTAAGCTTGCCATTTAAATATATATTAACTCACTTGCCTGCCTATAGACAGAAAATGAGCTTAGGATTAATCCCCAGCCGCTTGAAACGATGATACAGAGTGTTGTTGGCCAGTACCTAGAGCTACTGGAGAAAGAGGCGGCCTGAGAGCAGTGGTGATGTGCCATTATAATACGTGTCCCTGACTTCATTTATAAATTTCATCTAATTCGTCCCCTACACTATAAATAGTTGAAGTATGATAAACCATGAGAATCCTATGAAAACTGTGTTCATATATCGATGGAAAGGACTCGCTGATTCTTCACTCGATACACAGCGTGTTCGAGCCTCCCAAACTGGTATATACCATTACGCAGCAACTTTTTGCCGGCCAAAAGGATCAAAGCACGCTGAATTATCCTTCGTACTATTCACTAAAATTGCGACCGAGCAGAGTAGCAGAAGTATAAAAAATCCCACAAGCATCACAAGATTCCCTAGCTAATAGATGGCTTGATCCTCTGAGGTACTTTCTTCTCAAAAAGCCTCCAACGCCTGTGTGGCAGAAGAAACCAGATATCTCCTAATGACACCAGCTGTTCAAACCACCTACAAGCCTTCACGTCAAAATTTGTATCTTTAATTTTACAATTTGATCGCAGGTTATTAAACTTTTGAGGACAAAGTCTTCTGGCTACATAGATGACTTTCGTTTAGATATATATCATGTTGTAATACTCCAACCAAGTCCAGATTCAGCATCTATACTGTAGATGCAAAGGTTTAACCTAAATTGAGTAGGTAGCTTTAAATCAAAGCCCATAGTTTTTATACGAATGTGTTCTTCAAATGACTATCAGCATGTAGGTATCATCCGCTCTTATGGTCCAAGTTAAAGACACACTTATGTATTTGGAAGGACCATTACCCGAAGCAGGAGCATAATTCGGGGTGTCTCTAGCCTTAGCTTAGCTTGTCGCTAAAATTACGTCGGGATTGGATTAGTTAGTTTTAAAGTTATTTTTGCACGCCTAAATCACTCTTTGATAGCGACTTTATGTTAAGTTTTATCATGCGGTTGTCGTCATAGTTGTCGAAACCTGACATCAGGAACACACCACAGACCAGTAGTGCTTCGAAATGGCATATTAAAGCCCTTTTATCTTTTCACTTTGGTTGTTTCTCTTTTCCCATTTTATATTTTCCCATTGATCTTTTTCTTGACACAAGTTGAAGTCAAGACGAAATGGAACCGCTTATTTTTGTTGTTCGCCACGCTGAAGCGGAACATAATGTAATCATGGATTTCTCGCAACGAGACCCACCATTGACCTTGAAGGGCTTTGACCAGGCATCACACTTGGCGAAGACATTTCCGGAACCTCGCTCAATCTCCGTCGTCCTGACTTCGCCCCTCAAACGGGCTCTACAAACTACCCTTAAGGGATTCTCACAGGTTCTCGCCTTAGATAGCGTTGGTGAAGATGGCCAAAACGGAACCGCTAGATTACTAGTAGATCGAGACTTGCAGGAAACAAGCGATCTACCATGCGACACGGGCTCTGATCGCGATACTTTGGAGAAGCTATTCCCAAACGTTGATCTTACCACGTTGGATAAGGATTGGTTTGTCAAAACCGGCATGTATGCGGCGGATGAGAAGGCTGTCATTCTTCGGGCCAAGACCTTTCGTAAGAAGTTATGGAATATTGCCAAGTCTGTACAGTCGGATCAATCTAGTTCGTCGAGTCAAAGGGCTATTGTGATAGTTACGCATAGCGCGTTCATGCAATATCTATCGCAGGATATGAATCTCAATCTTCCGCAGGCGGGGTGGAATTCATTTCGCATTCAGGAAAAGCCTGATGGCGAGATTGTTTTATTATCTACCTAAGAATGCATAGTATAGTCTGTCCTGTCATATGGTATTTGTGTTTTTGAACGCTCGGATGGACATGAACAACAAATCAATAATATGTCAAATACACTGATTGTATGTTTTCATGTAATATAACAAACTTTGATGTCATTTACAGGTGTAGTTGTATGACGTTACTACTAGTTGGAATATACTCACTACTATGCTCATCAAAGGAAATGGGCTGTGAATTTAGGCCATTGTATATTATTTCTAATATCAGAATGTATTATGATACATATCGTAAATAGCCTAATCGTAGACTGCTTAGTTCGCTGTAGAATACCCACACTCATTACATTCTCAAGACTTTGCGACTTCACTATCTTGTCAACACTTTATTCCGTGAGGTCTCTGTCCAAACGGTTCTCAAGTTGAGTGCCCCACACGCTATTGAGAACAGCTGTTGTTTTAGTCAGGCATAAGTTTGGGTCGGCAGCCTCTGCCTCGTGTTGCAAAATATCTCCTCTGGAATAGACGAGTCTGCGTCGAATCTTGTCTATTAGTGAACAAAACCTGTACCGTGGCCAGGTGGACCTGTGTAAGTAGCCCGGCATCCCCGCTATCGTGCCTTGATAGCATAAGGAATTGCTTGTCTCACGAAATAGCTTATGGACTGGTCATTATGCACGAAACACCCGCAATGTTTAATAATTAACATTGCTTGCAACTGTATTTTGATTGCGCAATACAATGTCCCGCACTAGATGTCCTTTGACGTGGTTCGTGGGGGATGCGGCTGGCGGTGACCGACCGGGAGCACTAAAGAGTCTTCCGCCGCCCCTGCATCTGAATACGAGTATGCTATTCATCTGCAGTGGGTGTGAGCGAACTAGTGTAATTTCTTGATAGGACCGCTCCCCATCTAAAGACTACGTGCCATTACGTGTCTCTTGTCCGAGCCCTGCTGTTGGCTGCAATCTCCTTGATGTGAAATCTTTGCTGTTGGCTCTAGTCATGTTAATGCAAAAGTTCTGCTGTTGGCACAGTGTGCCATATTAGGACCATTACGCACTCTGCAGTGATGTCTCTAATTCCGCTTATCAAACTACAACTGGTCGCTCACTCGAATACCCATACAAACTCTCAAAGACAAAGATGGCACAGCGGGCTGATGTTATGCATGGCAAGGGTCATCTTACACTTTGCTCCTTCAGCTTCCTTATGCGACCTGTCCCCTTATCAGTCCATACGGTTCTGTGACTTATTTTCCATGATTTCACATATCGGACAGGATGCCTAAACATAATCACAAACCGTATCGCAAACTGTAGAGAGTGAACACGGTACTCCTGCCTGCTTAAGAAAGCGATTTTAGCTCCGCTAAAGTTTGAGACCATGATGTTAAATTTAGAAATAATTAAGTCATATGCACTTTATCGTGCTATTGAATGCTAGACCTAATGTTTAAATGTTGCCAGATTCATGTCAATCGCACAACCCCTAAGTAAAGGATGAGAGGATTACAACTCACCCAACAGACGGTTTGCACACAAAGGTTCCCCAGGATCTTTGTGTATGCATCCAACTGTACGTCTAAACACGACCAGCTACTTCTTTCACGATCAGCCGGCCACGTATAGCACAACGTGTTACGCATTGTGCCATGCGGTTTCTAAGTAAGGTATATGCATGCTACACTCACACTCAGGTAAGATTGTTGATTGTATGGTGCATATCACCTCGCAGATGACGGTCCACCAACCACAACGCTACGATCACGACCAGTGCCTTTGTATATGATATTCTGCCGAAATGTAATCTTTACCTAACCATATCAGGTTGTATTAGGGTTCTCACAGTGTGTTTTCCGACGCTGTTGCCGAGAATGCCGAACGTCTGGGCGGTGGTGACATTGAAGCAGTTAGAAACATGGATGTCTGGCTTGCAAAATTTGACGTAATAAGTAACGCCGTTTGATGGAGGGTGATTGCCGTCGATGGACTGCAAAGTAATGTATATACAATGCCACCCTACTTAACCCCACAACAGGATGGAAAAAGGAATTGGTCGTCAAAGGGTCAGCTTTTTAGTTTGCAATGTTTAATGCATGTTAAATAGGAGCCAACTATCTAACGCCACATGAATGGATGGAATGGATGATGGGTGAAAGGCAATCAATGTCCGCCATGTCCTCCGACTGGTCAAGTCTGGTCTGGTTATACTGCAGCCAACCAACCGCTGGAATCCCCAACAGCGACCCGCCGTCAGCACCTGTGAACCTGCTGCTCTCATCCCGTAGTGTCATGTCAGTGCATTTCTGCTCCGTAAATTCTTCATCCACCCTGTTTTCTGCGGGACATTAGAGTGCGGCTAGCAGGTCAGCAGCCAGATGCCCTCAGTCACCTCAACAATGGAAGAAAGAGAGGCAAGCGAGTCTACACGCTTGCTGCCTTCCCAAGATGGCCATGATTCAGCGCTGCAAACCTCGCTCTCGATCATCCCAAATTCACGCCGCACAATCCTCGTTGTGGCTGCAATACAAATTGTTCTGAATATTGGAAGCTATGTTAGTTTTGCAGCCCAACTGGCCATATTGCAGGATATTGTCTGTAAAAGTCACTACCAAGAAGGAGAATCTCTATACATGGACAACGATCGATGCAATGTGGATGCTGTGCAGAGCGAAGTCGCTTTCATTAACGGTTGGAAAGATGTGTTTGAGATGCTGCCAGGTACGTTTGGTGGTCCAAAAAGATTGATTAAATGAGAGGAAGAGTCCAAAGGCTAGCGAGCGATACGCTGACCGAGCTGCCAGCCATTATTCTTGCAGTTCCATATGGAGCTTTGGCAGATCGCATCGGGCGCAAAAGGGTCTTTCTTCTCACCATTGTAGGCATAGGTATGAATGACCTGTGGATGCGAATGGTCTGTAAGTAATTGTCTACCTCTCACACGCACAGCATATTGTTTCATTGTACTGAGGTTTATTAGTGTGGTTTTCCAACGTTTTCCCCATTCGAGCGGTTTGGTTCGGCGGCTTGTGGCAAATCATAGGAGCTGGCGCTGCATCTCTGTCATCTATCTCGCATGTCATGGTTGCCGATGTTTGCCCAAGCGATCAAAGGTAATGGTAGAATTCAATTCTAGCTCTCCAGGTTCACGGCAAAACTGACCATTCCTTCTTCCGACGAACAGAACGACAGCCTTCTCGCAGCTTCAATCGGCCATTATGATTGCTCAATTTATCTTTGTCCCCGTGGGAGGCACATTGGTATCCATCGACCCTTGGATTCCTATGATGATCTCCTCCGTGGCGACTGCTCTGGCTTTCCTTGGAGCGCTGATCTTTCTCCCAGAGACACTGCCGTTGGCAGAACGAGACTCTAGCAGTACTAATGTTATTGACAACCACCATGGCGATCAAATATCACCCACAGGCACCAAACATGGCTTTCAAATTCGGCGGACGAATTTGGTAGCAGGCTCCGCCGCGATGATGAAATGGGTCAAGCAAAACTCGCGACTTGTTGTCGTGATTGTATGCTTCTTCCCATGGAGCATCGGGCAGCAGGCAAGCGGGACTCTTCTTTTGCAATACGCATCAAAGCGCTTAAATTGGTCTTTGGGCAAGGTACGTATATCATCAGCAGTGTCTGTGGATGGCACACATTAACCTAACCACGGAGATATTAGGCTTCGTATCTCGTGTCCCTTGGGGCGGGGATTAACTTAGTTGTGCATGCGGTCGGCATTCCTGCTCTATCTACTGTCTTGTTATGGCGTCTCAAGCTGCACGAAATCGCCAAAGACAAGCGCATTGCCCAGATCAGCGGGTTTTTCCTAGTTCTTGGGACAAGTATCATCTTCACTGCGGGATCTTGGACTATTCTTGTCCTTGGCCAAGTAGTGTATAGTATGGGACTGGCATTCAGCGTCCCTGCGCGAAGCATAGTAACAAGCATGGTCGAAAAAAGGCATCTCGCAGCACTTTATACGACAATCTCGGTGCTGCTATATGGTGGTATGCTCACTGGTGGGCCATTGTTTGCGGGGGCGTTTGGCTGGGGGCTCCGTCTAGGTGGGCTGTGGGTTGGGATGCCATATTTGATATCCTGTGGCTGCTTTGCTTTAGCATTACTGGCAGTTTCAACAGCGCCGGCGGTGGGTAAAATGCCACGTGCGGTGGATAACGAAGATGGAGACGGCGTGGATTCAAGCGGCCCGTAGTCATGACAAGCGCAGATCTTGACGGCTTTATGATATATATAGGAAATCTTGCTTATAGAATACCAGCTGTGCTAAGATCACATCCGTCGCGTTTGCTACTGAGAGAGCAACACTAGCTATGATCATGATGACTGAATGCTCTTTGATGTTGAATGGCCTAGGATTAAGATCCAATTTAGGACCTGAAGGCCAGAGCTGTATGCGTTTATCAGGCATACACGTCTCCCAAGTCCGACCCAAAAACCAACCGAGGAACAGCATTATGAGTGATCCAAGGTCAATTCTAGGGGACCGCAAAGAGAAGAGAGTATTTTAAGCAGCTCCAATAATACAAAGGCTCAAGCCTATTGTCCAAGCCCTTAAAGTGTTGTATAGCAACTGCTCCTCATCGAAATTTCGTGCAACGGCTCGTACTTCAGGATACGGCGAATCCTCGACCTCGCATTCATCTTCCTTGACCAGAAGCTGACATATCATCGGCTAGAAGATGATGGTCTGGCTGATCTGAGTTATCTAGATTGTCTTGGATGTCATTGTCCTAAGAAGGCTATTTCGTTGAAAGCGGCAAATACTCCTCGTCTTTGGTTCCAGTTTCAGACCGCATAGCGGACAAAACAGAGCATATGCTGAGATACTAAGCTCTTAATAGATACGATAAATGGAAGGGGAAAGATGAAGAGAAATTATCAAGGACTTCATATAATGCAGTTGCGCCAGCACTTGGGCCTGCAGATGGCTCCAAGTCACCCACCGCCGCGATGCTTCATAGTCCTCGTGTGGCTTATCAGAGCCTCTTTGAGAAAAGACCGTCTTTGTTATTAGTGTGTCCGGTGTCATTGATCCTTCTTGCTCTGGTGTTGGTGCGGCCCGCAACATCCAACGCCTCAGTGCCTGGTCCTGCGCGCTGTAGATTCACACCCCTCTCTCCACCCAAATCCCACCCCCACAGCCTTTGAGTGACCCCCCTGAATGTTATATCAAGCTGTTGGCTGATGACACCATTCGATTAGAAAGTGAGCAATGAATCCTTTTCAACCTACAATCTCATTCGTCGTCCAGCCTGGCACGGGCTCGGGCTTCTGCACTTGCCGTAGTTAGCCATGGGTGCCAAGTGGTGTCCTTTAAGCGTGGTCATGGTCCGATTCGTAAGGCCCCGAGGCTCTACGCACGGTATGCAGGGCATCCCCTCAGATACCGTATTACCTCGCAACATTCCTTAGAGCAATTGGCTAACTATATGTATATAAATTAAGCGAGAAAATCAAAGAGACCTACCAACGAACGTTGTGAGGTAATACGGTACTCTTCTCGACACTCTGGTTCTTGTCGACACATAGAGTTGGCCAACACGCAACAGTGAGCAGCAACCTTCGTGCATGTCCGGTCTGCTAAAATATCGTTTCTTCTCTGCTATGGTACCCTTTTACTACATCCTCTTGCCATTAGTTCGACGTACATTGTGATTGTCATCCTAGGAGAGTGGTTCTGGATGAGTCGGATCGCCTTTGTTCCGAAACAATCTCAGTGATCAAAACGCCTAAAACTAGAGCGCGCACGCAAGGCGAGACAGCAATTGCAACGATGCAATGCCCTACTGGCAGCGATGACAGCTTCGGCCCAAGAGTCAATGTCGCGTGCCGACCCTTTGACTTCACGCTGCTATTTGAGGATGCAGTCTTCATGGCTCTGCCTGCTGCAGTCATGGTTCTGGTACTCCCCCTTCAGTTCCGCAAACTGTGGAGGATGCCGATTGTGACTGCTTCGTATCGGCTTGCAGCGTATAAATCGGCCGCCTTGGTAATTCTCATCATTTTCTATCTGGTTGCTCTCGCACTGCGTGTCCAATCAAGCATTCTACACACTCGAATGGCCATTGCTACGGAGGTGCTGTCGGTTTCGTCCAACGTTGGGGCATTGGCTCTTTCGTTTCTTGTCGATCAGCGATCTGTTAAACCGTCAGACGTGTTAGTGTTGTACTACTCAGCATCCACCATTCTCGGTATCCCGCGGCTGCGCACACTCTGGTTATTTCCTTCAGATTATTTGATACAGCAGGTCATATGGACCGTTTTGCTTATCCTTACTGCTAGTGTTGCCACCATTGAATGCTTTGGGAAAACAAAGTACTTGCGGCCCGCATTCAAGAATGGGCTTACATCTGAGCAAATGACCAGCTTTTGGAGCCGCAGCTTCTTTGTTTGGCTGCTTCCCGTGTTTCAAAAAGGATATAGTAATTTGTTTCTTGTCGATGACTTACCTGATATTGACAAAGATATGAAGGAGTCGGCAACCTGGGCTGAACTGGAGGCTGCCTGGCGTCACACTCAGGGAGGCCGCATTGGATTCCGCCTCGTACGAGCGACCTTTAGAGCGAATAGTTGGTCATTCCTTTCTGCGATCGTACCACGGTTGATGCTGTCCGCTTTCACATTTTGCCAACCTTTTCTTATTCAAGCCGCAGTATCTCATTTGAGTGGTACAGCAAACGAGGACGACCATGAGCGATTCGGGCAGGCCTTAGTGGGAGCATTCGCATTGGTTTATTTGGGCATTGCGGTAAGTCAGCTTCCAGTACCTGCAGTTTTAGACTTTTTGTCTCAACAAACTGTGATAGATATGACCACTAACGGTTTTATGTTCCTAGATATCAAGGGCAGTATACTGGCGTCAAACCTATCGTATGCTCGCCAAGGTACGAGCCGGTCTGACAACAAAGATATACCGCCAAACAGTGTCACTTCAATCTCGAGATGTGGAAGATTCAGCCGCGCTTACTTTAATGGGCACTGATGTAGAGAGAATCGTGGAGTCACTGAGATTCTTTCACGAAACGTGGGCAGCAATTCCGGAGGTCGCCATCGGTGTTTGGCTTCTTACCCGCCAGGTTCTCTACGCCTCAATCGCACCAATTGTGATTTGCGTGAGTAAGTGAACACTTTTGGCTATTATCAAAAGCATTTCTGCACCAATATGTATTAACCTTACGTCAGTAAGCCTAGCTGGAACGTCGCTCGTTGCCAAACACTTTGGACCAGCCCAGAAACGCTGGGTGGACTGCGTTGAGAAGAGGATAGGCGCAACGTCCAGCATGCTGAGCAATATAAAGTCAGCCAAAATGCTTGGCCTCATGAATCACTGGAGTCAAGCAATTGAGAAGTTGCGAGCTGTCGAAATTGACGTGTCAGGAAAGTTTCGGATACTGCGTGTCTGGGCCATCATTATCGGTCAGTTACCCCAGCAGGGCTAAAACGACTACGGCTCGACCACTAACCACTGTGAACTGCAGGAAATGTTCCTGGATCGCTGGCACCTTTCGTTACACTAGCCATCTATGCTCTTATTGCTCTTGCCAGCGGCGACCAATCGCTTCTAGTCACTCAGGCCTTCACGTCCCTTGCCCTCATTAACCTAGTGACAGAGCCGCTGCTCATGTTCTGCCAGGCCTTGCCATCGCTCACACAGGCCGTATCTTGCTTCTCACGCATTGAAAAGTTTTTAATAGTCAACTCATCTTCCTGGCACCTGGAATCCCACAGCCCTCTCGAGGAAGATACATCTTCTATGCCCTTGCGTTTTCGTGCTGAACATTCCGGCTCTACACACCTGGTTACATTCCAATCTGCAAACATCTCTTGGCTCCCAAAGAATCATCAAGGGAAAATAGTTCTACACACCCTCAATTTCAGTATTTCTACTGGCTTCACAGCCATTGTTGGGCCTGTAGGATCAGGGAAAACTTCACTTCTAGCCAGCATCATTGGAGAAACTACGGTAGTCTCCGGCGAAATGCAGTCTCATATCACCTCCCGGGTGGCATTTTGCTCTCAAAGGCCGTGGTTGACAAATGATACCATCAAGAACAATGTCATTGGAGAGCTGGAATTTGATCAAACGTGGTTCAGCTACGTTATTCAATGTTGCGCGCTTCGTGAAGACCTGGAAAATTTATCTGGCGGTATCATGACCGTTGTAGGCGAAAATGGCTCGTCGCTTAGCGGAGGTCAACGTCAGCGAGTGGTATGCCGGGCCATAAAATCTTCCAACTTTAAAATATCGTGTACCTGACCCAGTTTCCTAGGCGCTCGCTCGGGCCGTTTATTCAAAACTCCCGACTGTCATCTTGGATGATTTCATTAGTGGCTTAGACCCAAAAGCAGCCAAGACGATACAGACCAGCCTTTTCCACACAAATGGGCATTTTCGCAAAGCGGGCATCTCAGTGATTCTCGCTACCAATGGTTGTAAGTTTGTCTGTGTACTGATTCGTCACCGTGCAACGCAATCCGTTATACTGACATTCGTGCAGCGAGTTTACTTCCTTATATGGACAGCGTAGTTCTTCTTGAAGAAGGATCCATTTCGGATATTGGTTCTTATGAACATATCAGGGCACGAAAACCTGATATGTTCAGATGGGACGAACATACAACCGATTCCAATTATGATCGGGCGAAAGAAGAGAGTTCAGCTGGTCATGAAGTGCAACCACAAGGCTCCAACTCTATGGCATCACAGCGACAGGGCCAGATTGGCGACTCTGATAGAGCTGGATTCAGCAGACAAAGAGGGAGCTGGAGCGTTTACTCGTACTACGGCAAAAAGGCAGGCAAGCTCTCTTTGTTCTTATGGGCAATCTCTACTCTTGTTGGCGCCATCTCCAACTCTTATTCCAGTAAGCCCATGCCGTCAGTGCCTTTCAGCGATAGTCCAACCGCTAATAAACAACAGCATTGTGGGTAGACCGATGGACTTCGGCGAGTGCAGAACAAGGCAACCAACAGCTCGGGCTATACCTCGGAATCTACTTCTTATTGGTGGCTCTTGCTATAATAGGAGTCTTCTTTGAATGCTGGTTAGTTGTACCTAACGTAAACATTCGGCCTCATTGTTTAGTATCGCACATGTTATCTGACCTTATGAGTCCTAGGACCTTTTTCCTTTACATAGTCAGGGACACTGCGATCAAACTTCACACAGATCTGCTGCACGCAGTTGTCAGGTAAAATGGCAATCACGCAATCATATTCTATGTAATTCATTCGCTAATATCGCTGTGAACTACTTTCTAGTGCGCCATTTTACTTCTTCCTCGAGTCAGACCTTGGGTCCATAACGAATAGGTACGATTTGCGAGCACCCTGCCTCCGAATTGCATAAGCTCCGACTTACGCCTTGCCGCTATAGATTTAGCCAAGATATGAACCTCATCGACATGACCTTGCCGTCTCAAGCTCTGCAATTCACTTCCGGTATGAGCAACTCCTTATTTCCAGTCGATTTAGTACGGTCACTCACTAACGATATGCCTGATTCCAGGATTTTCTTGGTGTTTGGTTCAGTTCGTTGTCTTGTGCGTTTTGGGGAAATACCTTGCAGCTGTGGTTCCCGTCCTTGGTGGAGTTCTGTTTCTCGTTCAGCGTTACTACTTGCGAACGTCTAGACAGCTTCGAATGTTGGAAATCGAGGCGAAAACCCCGATGTACTCTCATTTCACAGACACCATCAGCGGCATTGCAACTATCCGGGCGTTTGGTTGGCAGATACCCTTCAGCGACCGCCTGGCAGCCATATTAAACCGATCCCAGCGGCCATTTTATATGCTTTTCTGTGTGCAACAATGGCTAACGCTGGTAGTAGATCTCGTGGCAGGGGCTTTAGCGGTCACCCTTGTCGCGATTGCACTGTCTCTGACCGCCAACGGTCTCGGACCCGGTGCTCTGGGAGTTGCATTAGTCATAACACTTCAATTCAATGGCCTGCTAATCCAAACAATCCAGTCTTGGACAAAGCTGGAGACTTCCATTGGGGCGGTGGCAAGAGTGCAGCAGTTTGTGAACGAAGCTCCATCGGACCTGGGTAGGTTGCCAGCGCCTTCGAATTCGTGGCCTCAAAACGGCAGAGTACAAGTACAGCGCCTCACGGCGGCACACATGTAAGTATCTCACAACCTAGTCTTTAGACCAGAGTGTTACAGTTTAAGTAGGGAGCACATCATCTGATATAATACTGTTAGACCGAGATCTGAAGACGTACTGAAAGATGTCAGTCTCGATATTGCTGCCGGCGAAAAAATAGCAGTGTGTGGGGCATCTGGCAGTGGGAAAACTTCGTTGATTATGGCCATGATGCAGATGATGGATGTTCGGAGCGGACGGGTGGTGATAGATGATATCGATGTGGCAACATTGGACGGGGAAAGCCTGCGCAGCCATCTCAACGTGGTGCCTCAAGAACCATTCTTTATGCCAGGAACCCTCAGATTCAACTTGGATCCCAGAGGCGTAGCCTCAGACGCATCAATTGAGGCGATGCTGCGACGCGTTAGCGCTAGACTCTGGGACAAGCTTGCGATGGGCTCGAATGGAAGCCTTCATGAAGAATTCAAGTCATCCCAATGGTCTCATGGAGAGCAGCAGCTATTATGTCTGACGAGGGCCTTGCTAATCCCCAGCAAGGTCATCATCTTTGACGAGGCAATGAGCAGGTATGGTCCATTCGAGGTTCTGCTATCTCTGCATTGTGCAAATTTGTTAACCAGGATATGGAATCTAGCGTTGATGAGAAGACAGAAGCACTCATGCAGCACATTGTTGAGGCTGAGTTCAAGGATAGAACAGTCATATCCATCATTCACCGATATTCGCACATTGATTGGTTTGACCGTATTGCGGTTTTACGAGAGGGAAGAATAGTAGAATGTGACAGTGCACATGCGTTACTGAGCAAATCTGGGTCGGCCTTCAGAGCTCTTTATATTGCTGGCGGTGAAAACATTTAAATTCTATGTGTTCGTATTGCATAAACAGTCTCTATTGTTACACTAATTAAGACAACTGTTTATTAATATCTTTACTGATGAATGAATAAAAAATTTCTCAGTAAAAAAGTGATGTCAAATTTCAGGCGTAGTTTGCGGCTTTTGCGTCAGATTAAATCCATACGAACCGACAAAAGCTAACCACTTTTTCGGTCCTCATTTCCCTGGACACTCCAAAGCTTCCCCACAAACACGTCTACCTTCTTGCACTCGCATGCATCTTTATTCCCGCAGTGCCACCCATGACTACTGCCCTGCAAAGCCCATGGCAAGGGCCTACTTCCTACGATAGACGCGTAGACCAAAGATGGGGCACACGAGATGTTTGGCAGTGACTTTCTTTCGCAGAACGTTCTTTGTAAATTTGGATTGTCTGAACTAGAAAGCCGATGACCGTTACATGGATTTACCACCTGCTGCTTCCTAAAATCCGTGGCATATCGCGTTGGTGCTCCCACTTGTCTCTCAGCCGTGCCCTGAGCTCACAAGGGATCCGGTCCAGCCAACCACAGTCAAAATGTATTCGAATGTTCACCCTTTTGCTTCTTAAGATACGACGCGGCTACAAAGATCGGTATTAAAGAAGGCACGTTGGACTACAGATACAATGGATAATGCTGTCGACATGAAAAAAAAGAATGAAAAAAAAAGCAAAGGGAATAGATTCAAAGAAGCATTAGCATCATGTCACGCCTCAGTATAATGCAAGGACTAACCTCAATGGTTATCTTTCATCTTTTGTAAGTGTATATGTCAAGTGACGCAAAACGAAGATGGCAGCATCAGGATTTCGTCAATCCCTCATTTTCAGCATCTCAGCTGACCAATGTGTTCTCCGACACTCTGCGTAGCAGAAGCTCAAAGAGAAAAGGGCTATCCGGGGGCGAAAATCCAGTTGCAAAACACGCGAGAGCTTTTTATTTAGTCGAGCAAAGAGAGATAGAGTTTCAGAGCCGCTCTGCCGATAAAACGTTTCTTCGTGGCCTCAAAGAAGAGATTGGGGCTTAGCCGAGAAATGATACTCCTCGGAACCTACCTACAGCTTTTTCAGTACCAGGCCTGTTCATCACCGAAAGGGGATCGAGGTGTGGAGTTGCTCTACCACCAATTCACCGAGCGACAAAGCTTGTCCAAGCAGCTCTTGATGCGCATATCTTACTCAACTTCGTACATCGGCCTTCTTTTGACCACTTATTCCAGTTGGTTTACTCTTTAGAGCCAAGTGAATATAGTTCGAAGGAGAGGCAATTCTTACCACTTCTTTACGCTCTTCTCGCTTACGGGACGTTGTTCTCGCAACAAGTTGAAGACGCTGGCTATGGAGAGATTTTATCTGAGGCGTACTTCATCCAGTTCCGCAAATGACTTGACCGACACTGAAGCCTTGAACAGATCACAATACTATGCGAAAAGCAAGCAGCTGCAAGATATTGCTGAGTGCAAAAGTCTAATTTCCCTGCAGGCAATCGTCATCTTGAATCTTTTTCTTTTATCCACGACCAGACTTTCAACATGCTACACTTACCTCACGACATCAATGTCTATCGCTTTGAGGACGGGTTTGCATTAATCTCTCGATAAGAGCCAGGATGTAATTTCTCAAGAGATTGGTAAAAGACTTTTTTGGGTTTTAAGGTTTCTCATTAACGATGTAGCCGCTGGCATTGGCCTGCCACATCTGCTCGACGGAAACGATATAGGGCAATTGCTGCCGGTGCAAGATCACGACATTGATTCACCAGACAAGATAATGCTCGACCAGTTCAATGACCTTATTAGTCGTGTGTCAGGTTTCAGCGCCTATCAGTCCTTGCATTGGATATTTGATAAGGTCATAAGACAACTATACCCATCAAAGGCCTCGAGCGGCTTCAAAATCTCTGACCCTACGAGTCAAACCGTAGCATTCAGCGCAGTACGGGAGTTAGAATCCGAGTTGGTGCAGTGGGCGAAGAAACTTCCCCTCCCTCTACGGCTTGGAGTAACTATTTCAAGAAGTCCAGTACAAAGGTGAGTGATTTGATTGGCGTTTGATGTGGAATTCCTAACGACAACGACAGAGCCCATTATATGTTGTACCTGACGTATGCCCACACGCAACTATGTCTTTACCGACCATTCTTGCACTACGTTTCATCACATGCGTTGGGACCCGTATGCTCTGTGAGCAGCGCTTTCTCATGTGCCATTGCATGTATTGACGCCGCTCAGAATATTGTAGCACTATGCTTGGACATGTTTAAGCACGGCCTTCTTGCAGGGCCAAATTGGATTGCAATTCATATTCTATTCAGCTCGATGTCATGCCTTTTGTACTCGATACTAATGTCCAGAGCCACATACCAAGCAGAGATGATCTTCAAAGATATATCTAAAAGCAGGAAAATACTGAATTTCCTTGCTAAAACTAGCTTTCATGCTCGGCGAGCGAAGATTACGTTCATGGTGAGATAAGTCAAGGTACGCATTTGCGTTTGATCCGTCTGACTAAATTTTGAAGGTCATGGTGTCCAATATCCCAAGCAACTTCGAAGCCATTCGAGACCGATTATTCGAGTTTGACGTCGAAACCTCCAATGACCTAAATCGTGATTCGCCAGACGACAGTACTCGTCTCAGCGGAGAGTCTTACACCGCTTCATTGGCTCGGAAACCCCTATCAGTCTCATCAAATTTTCTTTTCGAAGAGCCTCCCCCCGGCATTGAATCATCTACAGATAGAGGAAACGGTGGACAGGACGTCCCAAGCCTTGTTCCGCAAACTCATCAGCAGAAACTGGTCGCATTGCACTCACCTTCAACTTTGCCAATTCCAGTAGTACGATCGCCATCCGAGCACTCTCATCAAACTGGGAGTAAAACAACAGAAGAAGCTGAGACCTTGAGCAATGCCCTTTTGGTCAGCTCAGAAAACGCGGAGAAGTTCTTGGAGGCTCGTTCACTGAGTTTGGAGCACGGACCCACGTTTGTAAACTGGTTGGAGCAGGCGGAGTTGGACAGCTCCAAAAGTCTAACGCTTTGTGATGGGTATTCGAACATGTCTCAAGACTGGGGCGATTCCCCGTGTATGGCATCTTACTTTTGAAACATTTATTTACCGCCGAAGATAATTGACTTTCATGTTGTCTATTGAAAGACACCTATCGCAGATTTGCTTTACAATAAGTTTGTTGTTCATAGAGTTAGGGAAAGGTTGGGTCGCCCATGTAGAGCTCATCAATCCTTCAACGCCGTCTACACCCATTGCTTTTGAGATAATTGATAGATGCAGCCCTGGGTTTATACGTGTGTTCGTTACCGCTTTGTTCAATTGTCCTGCTACGTGGGCTTTGGGGTTGAATGGGTAAATACGGAGTACTTCTGATCATGGTTATAGTTTGTTTATTTATTTATTTTATTTATTTTATTATTAACGTCCACTAAGTAATCTAGTTACATAAGTCCTTATCTAAGCACTAGGACGGTAGGAGCTGCTAAGTTTAAATTAAGTATTTGCTACATTTTAATATAATAAAGGAAATAGGGAAATATTAATTTATTTTATATATTTATTTTTATAAGGGGGGGGTTATATAAGCTTATCTCCTTTACTAGCTTTTAAAAGTCTTTATACTTTTTATTATTAAAGAAGTATTAAATATAAGTAGTTTTAAAGTATATTTTTTTTTTAATATATTAAAAAGGAAAAAGGTTATTATTTAATACTTTATAAAATACTTTTATATTTTTAATTTATTATATTTATAAATAAGTTTAGTATTATATTTAAATTTTTTATAATATTTTATAAAATCTTTATATTTAAATTTTTTAATTAATAACTTATATAAAATTAAGTATAAAAAATATAACTTTAAAAATATAAAAAAAGCTTTATAAAGGTTTTATTTATTAATTTTATATAACTTTAAGTAATTATTATTTTAATTATTATTTTAATTATTATTTTATATTATTTTATATTTTTTTTTTATTTATTTTTTAATAAAAGTAATAATAAAGTAATTTCTTAAGTAATAAAAAAGTTTTAAACTTTTTTTTATTAATTAATTAGCTTTTTTATTTTTTAATATATTTTTATAACCTAAGACTTAAATTACTTTTATAATTACTTATAAAAGTAATCTCTAAGTAATTTAATATAGCTTTATATAAGCTCCTTAAGATAAAGTAAAAGTTAACTTTAGTATTTTATTTACTATTACTAAATTATTTAAAAAAAAAAAATTTTTTTAAATATTTAAGTTTATAAAAGTATATATTTTAATTAATTTTATAATTTTAAAAGTATTTACTACTTTAGTATTATAAACCTTTATATTAATAAAAAGGCTATATATTATAGTTTTTTTATAATTATAATATATAATAACTCTTTAGCTAATATTACTTTATTTATTTTATAATTTATTTAAGTAAGTAAAAAAAGTAAACTTAAAAAAACTATTAAGTAATTTTAAGTATTTTTTTACTACCTTTAACTTTAGTAAATCTTTAAAATTTAAGCTTACTTAAATTATTTTATTATTTTTAATAAATAAAAAAAGTTAAATTTTTTTTTAATTAAAGCTATAATATATTATAATTAAGTAAAAGAAATTTTAAAAAAGAGTTTTTTATTAATATATTTATTAATTAAGTAGTTTTTATTTAAATTTATAAAGTAAGCTATTATATAAAGTTTAATTTATATTACCTATACTATTACTAAAGGGACTTTTAATTTTTTATATATAATAAAAAAGTTAATTATCTTTTATATAAAGATAATTACTTTAGTTACTATTTTAAATAAAGGTTTTAAAATTATAATTAGTTTTATTAAGCCTGTTTTTACTTATTTATTTAAGTTTATTATACTTTATTTACTTTTACTAAGTTAAAAAGCCTTTATTTTATATAAAGCTATAGGGGTAATATAAACTTTAGCTATTATAATTATTATATTTAATAAAAAAAAATTTTATATTTTATTTAAAAATCTTAGGAAAATAACTATTTTAAGGGCCTTTTCCTTTATAATTTTAAAGTATTTTTTAAAGAAAAGCTATAAGTTTAAGTATATTTTTAATTATTAAACTAAGTCCTAGGGGGCTATAATTTTTCCTTTAAAGTTTATACTTTTATTATATATTTAGGTTTTAGTTTTATAAAAGTATATAAGTTTAACTTTATTTAAGTTAAAGAAAACTATATTTTTATTACCTTAGTTTAAGGTATTTTTTAATTTTTACTAAAGTTTTTAAATAGTTTTTTTAATATTAACC